ATCATACCGAATGGGCAAAAACTGGAAGCATTCCCTTTGAAATCTGGCACTAGACAAGGATGCCCTCTTTCACCACTCCTATTCATTATAGTACTGGAAGTTCTAGCCAGAGCAATCAAGCAAGAAAAAGAAATCAAGGGTATTCAAATAGGAAAGGTGGAAGCCAAATTGTCTCTATTTGCAGACGACATGATAGTATACCTAGAAGACCCCATCGCCTCAGCCCAAAAACTCCTGAAACTGAGAAGTAACTTCAGCAAAGTCTCAGGATATAAAATCAATGTGCAAAAATCACAAGCATTCGTCTACACCAATAACAGACTTAAAGAAAGCCAAATCAAGAATGAACTGCCATTCACAATTGCTACAAAAAGAATAAAATACCTTGGAATACAACTCACAAGGAACGTAAGGGACCTCTTCAAGGAGAAATACAAACCACTGCTCAACGAAATCAGAGAGGACACAAACAGATGGAGAAACATTCCATGTTCATGGTTAGGAAGAATTAATATTGTGAAAATGGCTATACTGCCCAAAGTAATTTACAGAATCAACGCTATCCCCATCAAGCTACCATTGACTTTCTTCACAGAACTGGAAAAAACCACCATGTTCTTCATATGGAACCAAAAGAGAGCCCGCATAGCCAAGTCAATTCTAAGCAAAAAGAACACAGTGAGGGCCATCACACTACCGGATTTCAAACTATACTACAAGGCTACAGTAATCAAAACAGCATTGTACTGGTACCAAAACAGAGATATAGACCAATGGAACAAAACAGAGGCACCGGAGGCAACACAGCATATCTACAACCATACAATCTTTGATAAACCTGACAAAAACAAGCAATGGGGAAAGGATTCCCTGTTTAACAAATGGTGTTGGGAAAACTGGCTAGCCATGTGCAGAAAGCAGAAACTGGACCCCTTCCTGACACCTTACACTAAAATTAACTCCAGATGGATTAAAGACTTAAACACAAGACCTGGCACGATAAAAACCCTAGAAGGAAATCTAGGCAAAACTATCCAGGACATAGGAGTAGGCAAGGACTTCATGAACAAAACACCAAAAGCATTGGCAACAAAAGCCAAAATAGACAAATGGGACCTAATCAAACTCCACAGCTTCTCACGGCAAAAGAAACAGTCTCTAGTGTGAATCAGCAACCAACAGAATGGGAAAAAATGTTTGCAGTTTACCCATCTGACAAAGGGCTGATATCCAGAATTTACAAAGAACTCAAACAGATTTACAAGAAAAAAACAAACAAGCCCATTCAAAATTGGGCAAAGGATATGAACAGACACTTTACAAAAGAAGACATATATGAGGCCAACAATCATATGAAAAAATGCTCATCGTCACTGGTCATCATAGATCCTCTCCAGCAAATCAAAACCACATTGAGATACCATCTCACGCCAGTTAGAATGGCGATCATTAAAAAATCTGGAGACAACAGATGCTGGAGAGGATGTGGAGAAAAAGGAACACTTTTACACTGTTGGTGGGAGTGTAAATTAGTTCAACCATTGTGGAAGACAGCGTGGCGATTCCTCAAAGCCTTAGAAATAGAAATTCCATTTGACCCAGCAATCCCATTACTGGGTATATATCCAAAAGACTATAAATCGTTCTACTATAAGGACACATGTACACGAATGTTCATTGCAGCACTGTTTACAATAGCAAAGACCTGGAATCAACCCAAATGCCCATTGATAATAGACTGGATTGGAAAAATGTGGCACATATACACCATGGAATATTATGCAGCAATCAGAAATGATGAGTTTGTGTCGTTTGTAGGGACATGGATGAATCTGGAGAACATCATCCTCAGCAAACTGACACAAGAACAGAAAATGAAACACCGCATATTCTCACTCATAGGCTGGTGATGAAAAATGAGAACACATGGACACAGGGAGGGGAGTACTAAACACTGGGGTCTATTGGGGGGAAAAGGGGAGGGCCAGTGGGAGGGGGGGTGGGGAGGGATAGCCTGGGGAGAAATGCCAAATGTGGATGAAGGGGAGAAAGGAAGCAAAACACACTGCCATGTGTGTACCTACGCAACTGTCTTGCATGCTCTGCTCATGTACCCCAAAACCTAAAATGCTATTAAAAAAAAAAAAGTTTGAGTTACAAAATAAAATGGTTATCTGGAACATATATAACAGGCAATAAAGTCATGTGGTTACATAAAAAATAAATAAATAAATAAATAAATGTATAGGGAAAGTACCATAGAGAAGAAAAAGATTTTCTTCTGACAGTGGTCTCAAAGTAATAGTTTTATGTTGGGACATGGCAAAGACAGGATTGTTAGATATTCCCACTACTTGAGTGTAGTGCTCCGGTGATGTGATTTTTGTCTATAGTAATGCAATTCATGGTAGTTGTAGTGGTACTGGTATCAACAATAAAACTGTATGGTTCATATGTAGTTACAGTTCTCATCTTAATTGTCTATTCCATGGAATGTTTACTTGATGTGGCATCACTGTACAGGTTTAATTGTCCTTCTATTTCTTAACCAATATTATACGTTGGCTCTTCCAATAACCTTTCTACTTGTAATATGTCTACACAGAGGCATGGAGAATAGAAAACCTTTTGATCTTATTTTTATTCGAGGAACCAGATATTTCATCTGGAGAACCAGAAATTTGTTTTCATTTCTAGCTTGTTACTTCCTATGGCTTTTGGAAAACATCCAACCACATGTTGGATATAGTCTAAACAGGCATTTATCCATTGAAGTTTTAGTTTTCAGGCTCTCTCCTATTTTATATACAGAAAAAGAGGCACAATGTACTTCAGCTGTTAGGTCTACCCCCATAATACTATTTAAACTCAGTCTATTTTTAAACTCTTGTATTGGTTAATATTTACTAACTTTGTTATTTCAAATTTTGTGGGCTTGTGTTGGTCTTTCCCATAAATTCTTTTTTTTCTTTTTTTGAGATGGAGTTTCGCTCTTGTTACCCAGGCTGGAGTACAATGGCGTGAACTCGGCTCACCGCAACCTCTGCCTCCTGGGTTCAGGCAATTCTCCTGCCTCAGCCTCCTGAGTAGCTGGGATTACAGGCACATGCCACCATGCCCAGCTAATTTTTTGTGTTTTTAGTAGAGACGGGGTTTCACCATGTTGACCAGGATGGTCTTGATCTCTTGACCTCGTGATCCACCTGCCTCGGCCTCCCAAAGTGCTGGGATTCCAGGCTTGAGCCACCCATAAATTCTTTTAACAATTTTTCTCACGAGAAGGTTTAACAGTTAAGTGAACCAGTGGTTTAGGTCTGGTAGTAGCTAACAAAATCTTGAATTCTGAAGCATGTTTCTATTTTCCCTAGAATGAGGAAAACCATTAGTTGTGGCATTTAATCACATCTAAACCATGGTTTAGCTTAACTTCAATGGTCTGCCTTCTGGCCTAGCAGTTTTCTGGAGATACTGTGCAATGTGATTGTTTGTTTCCCAAGAAAAATGTACAAAAAGGCCACTTATTTAGGAGGTCAGAGGAAGAAGAAGAAGAAATAGGAAAGGTGTGAATGAGAATGAAAATAAAGTTGTTTAGAGAAAAACAGAGATTACTTTAGTCTTGAGAAAAGGTGAGGTAGCTATTTCTTTCTTCTCCTGAGAGGTAGCCTTTTTTCACTGCCTTCACTCAAATGATCTAAAAACTGGCAAGTGATGATAAAAGTTGCCACCTATTAAATTTAATGTAGCAACATATGTGTGTTCTCCCATGTGTTAGGTGAAATGCTGTGCATTTCAAAGATTATATGACAGTTCCTGCCAAGAGGGAGTTACACTCCAGTAGAGTCAGTAGAGAGTGAAGGAACGAATGTGAATTGTATACTTTTCTATCTATGTACCAGACATACTCCCAGGCCCTTCAAACATTTTTATCATATTTAATCTTCAAAATAATCCTAAGAAATATATGGGTTGTTCTTCCTCTCCTCTATTTTGTAATTTGGGCAGTGGTGACTTGGAGAATTTAAATTGTTTTATCACCAAGGTTGCATAGCAAGAAGCATAGTGAGCCAGGACTGAATGTTAATGTACTAAGACATGTACAAATAACTATAGAAGCAGAATGAGATGTACAGTTAACAGAGGCATAAAAATGGACCATTGGGCTTTAAAGCCATTGAAGTCTCTTTATTATTATTATTTTTTTTAGAGATAGGGTCTCACTCTGTTGCCCAGGCTGGAGTGCAGTGGTATGATCATAGCTCACTGCAGCCTCAAACTCCTGGGCTCAAGTAATTCTCCTGCCTTAGCCTCCCTGTAGCTATGACTACAGGCATGTACCGTGACACCCAGCTAATTTTTAAGTGTTTTTTTTTTTTTTTTATATAGAGACAAGGGTCTCTGTTGCCTAGGCTGGCCTTGAACTCCTGGCCTCAGGTGATCCTCTCACCTCATCCTGCTGGAATTAAAAGCGTGACCGCAGCACCAGCCTTAAAGTCTCTTTAGTTCAGGAAGATAAAAGGAAAGCTTCATGAAGGAGATAGCATTTGAAGGGTAGGATTTTTAACAGGTGGATATGGCAAAGAAGTCAAGGGAGGGGTAGAGCTAGTATTAAATTCAGTTGAAGCCAAAGGGTGTGTTCTTCCTATTACACAAAACTAGAATAGCGAGAGCCCATGTGGGAAGCCAACATGATTGAAAAGGGATGCATTATCTTGAGTTACGGGAGAAAAGGCTGGAAAGGAAGGTCAGGATAAGAACATGAAAGACCTTCAGTGCAAATACAACAGGTTCTAGGATATAAAGGAGTCCATTCCAAACACTGTAATTATTAATGAGATTAAATTTTATTTCTCTCCTTGTCACCTGTTATCTAGCACTAGTATTTCAGAGGGCCTGGTGGATTGAATGCTAATGGAGCAACTGAGGTAGAGCTGGATGTAGGGCTACATAGGAGGAGAACTGGAAAATGTTTTTGATGTATTTATTAATATATTTATTTCTAGCTTAGGCCATTCTACAATATGAAACCTCTATCAGAGGCAGATAAAGAAAGAGCAAGAAATCAGTCAATTCCAACACTAGCTGATTTGTTGACACTTGCAAAGAAGGAAAGAAAATTTGTGATATTTGATCTTCGTAGCCCTCCACCAAAACATCCTCTCAGACACACATTTGTCCGCCAAGTAGTAAGCGTGATCCTTGCCTCTAAAATTGAGCAACATCTGGTATGTCGTTCTCAATATTTATGATACAGGTTGGGAGGTGGGTAGCATGTCTTAGAAGCACAGTAGTTGAACTTGACCTACCTTGTAGATCTTCCCTGGGATCCTTAGGTAATTTTACTTCCTATGGAAATGAAGATTGTTACTTACACAGCTACATGTGGTAATCTAGGAATGACCCAGTTAAATTTACCTCAGTGGGGAAAACCATTGAGGCTGTTTGCTATTCCAAACCAAATGAAATATCAGCACCTTGTTAAAGAGTAATATGTATAATAACTATCTAATGTGACCTGTACCACACCAACATCCATTAGAAAGAGCTTTGGTAACATTAAGGCTTTGAAAACTTGGCATGATGGATGATATAGAAAGCAGAGCTGGGTCTTATTTGAGCAGAGATTTGCTTATAATGTTTTTCCAAAGCAACTCTCAGCAATTAGGCAGTCAGTTGTTCCAAATCCCATAAATTCTCAGAATATGGGTGTGCTATGAGTGAAACAAATATGTCTTTTTACAAATGGAAGCATTTCATAGATAAGTCATAATAGCATCCCTGTTGGCAGGAAATGACTCCTTTCAAAGATGATTTTTTAAAATACAATAGAAACAGGGCCTCCCTATACTGCCCAGGCCTGTCTTGAACTCCTGGGCTCAAGGGATCTTATTGTCTTGGCCTCGCAAAGTGCTAAGATTACAGGCATAAGCACCACAGCCAGCCTCCAAGATGATTTTTAACATCATTAACCAGAAGAAATGTTTTTGATTCCCACTCTTCATCCACATCTCTAAACTAATCTACTTTGCTTGTATGAGACTTTGTATATACAGTAGGCCCTTGACACTTGTTGTTAACTGGTAAATGGAGAGGGTCGTGAGAAAACTCAGCTCCTGAGTAGCCCTAGTGAAAGACCCATTATAAGAGTTTATTAGAAAATGGTAAGCCATCTTGACTCTTTCACCAAGGATTAGAATCTCTTTCTATGCTCTATAGAATACTACCTGTGCTGGAATGGAGCTCCCTCCATTCTCTATGGGGCTGTTTGTACCTGAACAGCTGATTATCTACTGAAGGATTTTTTATTTCTCCTTACAGATTTATTGGTTGCCAACTCATGATATGCGATACGTCAGGTCTGTGGCTCCTGGTTTTCAGCATGTGGGTCGTTTTGTATCCATTGAAACCCTTGCTAAAAAAAATATCAGTATAATAAATGTTGACTACAAGAGGTTGTTCCCTAATGGGTTAAGGTATGTGTTTGACCACACCTCTCTTGGCACATATTGCCTTACACAAAATACACATTCTAACTAAACACTTAACTTTCCCTTTCGATCTCAGAATTTCTTTGTGGGGTTATCTTCTTTGAATCTCCTACTTTCTTTTTCCTACCCCTTCCTCGCTCCCTACCTATGCCAACAAACATTTATCAAGTGTTGAATATGTGTCCCTGGAACATAGACTTCAGCCTCTCCTGTGTACTCTATAATCTCTCACCATTCAGCACACTTTTTTTTGTATGCTTGGCATTTCTGTTTGTATATGAAAGGCAGACGTTGAAAAGTCAGAACTCAAAACGTTGTTTATTCCTCCTACCATTACCAGATGGATTGCAGTACCTTGTAAATGGCTTTGCAATACAGATAGCCATATTTCTGGAAGGGATAATTAAGAATATAACAAAACCATTATTTAAAAATGTAAAAATAGCTAAGCATGGCCAGGCGCGGTGGCTCAAGCCTGTAATCCCAGCACTTTGGGAGGCCGAGGTGGGTGGATCACGAGGTCAACATGGTGAAACCCCGTCTCTACTAAAAATTACAAAAAATTAGCTGGGCACGGTGGCGCGTGCCTGTAATCCCAGCTACTCAGGAGGCTGAGGCAGGAGAATTGCCTGAACCCAGGAGGCGGAGGTTGCGGTGAGCCGAGATCACGCCATTGCACTCCAGCCTGGGTAACAAGAGCGAAACTCTGTCTCCAAAAATAAAATAAAATAAAAAAAATAGCTAAGCATGAGAAGAAACTAAAATTAGTAACCACTGTATTTATAAAAATACAATTAGAGACAAATTTTCAGAATTCAAAGCACCTGGGAATAAAATAACTTTTCCAAGTTTATCTGTTATTAATCATGTTTAATTTAATCCATATCCCTTTTGTCTTAGCTTTAAGGTTAATTTTTTATATGATTCTAAATGCTTTAGAGACAATCTCTTTCTTGGGGAGGGAGGGAAGGAGGGAGACAACAGATTAAAGAGAGAGAGAGAGAGATAATAGATATCTAGAGTCTCCTTTGGATTTCATAAAAGGCTGTTGCATGCATCTCTGTTTCTGTTCCTGCTTTTTCTGCTTTTCTGGCCATGGGTTGAGACGATGATTATATAATAATGTCTTTTTTTCTTTTAGCATTGGAAAATTATATATGTTTTACTCTCTAATTTCCATTCAGAAGATTTTTCTTTACACAACTGCTCCTCTATTTTGAGCATATTTCTATTTCCTTCTACTATTTTCAAGTAGAAAATGGCTCTAGAATGATTTCCTTCTCTCTTAATCCTGAGATTAATCTAGTAGTTGAAAAATAATTATGACTTCCATTTATTGAGCTATTAATATGTGTCAGGTTCTATATTTGCTAGACCTGGCCTACCCATCAACTACTCTGGTCACTTTGGACAAGTTTCTAATTGTCAGTTTTCTCTTTTGTAAATTAGAATAACAGTGATACCTGCTGGAGTGGTTAAAAGGTTTAGTGAGATTTCTTGCCACTTTAACTGAGAGTGCCTTAAATGCATTATTTTAATCAAAAGTATGTAAGTACAGAGTTGCCCTCTGTTTTATTTGTGATGCTAGAAATCTTTTTAATGTTTTAAAGAGATTTTTAAAATTTGTAGTATTTTAATTGACATAATTGTATATATTTATAGGGTAAAATGTGATGTTTTAATGTAAGTATACAATATGGAATGATTAAATCAAGCTAATTAACATATATGTTACATCTTTTTCATGTTAAGACATTTCATATTTAGTCTCAGCTATTTTGAAATATACATTATTATTGACTATAGTTACCCTGCTGTGCAATAGATCTCAAAACGTTCCCTGTATCTAACTGAAACTTTATGCATTTTGACCAACATCTGCCCTATCCCTCAACCCTTTGGTAACCAACATTCCACTCTTTGGCAACCAACACTAGCCTTTGGTAACCAACAGTCTACTCTCTTTTTCTATAAGTTTGACTTTTTTTTCTTTTTTTTTTTATGACAGGGTCTTGCTCTGTCACCCAAGCTGAAATGCAGTGTCGTGACCATGGCTTACTGTACCCTCCATCTCCTGGGCTCAAGCTATCCTCTCACCTCAGCTTCTCAAGTAACTGGGACTACAGGCTCATGCCAACACACTTGGCTAATTTTTAAATTCTGTGTAGAGACGGGGCCTTGCTCAAGCAATTCTCCCACCCCCACCCCCCAAAGTGCTGGAATTACAGGTGTGAGTCACTGTACCCCACTGTAAGTTTGACTTTTTTGGATTCCACACATAAGGCTATGTCCTGAATGGCCTTTATTGTATTTTGGTATATTCCTTCTATACATAATCTGTTGAGAGTTTTTATCATGAAAGGGTGCTGAATTTTGTTAAATGCTTTTTCTACATCTATCGAGATGATCATATGGCTTTTGTGTTTCATTCTGTTAATGCAGTGTGTCACATTTATTGATTTGCATATGATGAACCCTCCTTGTATCCCAGGGATAAATCCCACTAGATTATGGTGAATGTTTCTTTTATGGCACTGTCAAATTCAGTTTGTTAGTACTTTGTTGAGGATTTTTATGTCTAAATTCATCCATAATATTGGCCTGTAATTTTATTTTCTTGTAGTGTCCATATCTTGCTTTGGTATCAAGGTAATGCTTGCCTAGTAATGTGGGTTTGGAAGTATTCCCTCCACTTCAATTTTTTGAAAGAGTTTGATAAAGATTGATGTTAGTTCTTCTTTAAGTGTTTGGTGGAATTCAGCAGTAAAGCCATTATGTCCTGGGCTTTTCTTCATTGGTAGACTTTGTATTACTTTTTGAGACTCCTTGTTGTTGAACTTATAGTGTTTTTTAAAAAAGTTATTGAGATGAAATTCACATAACATAAAATTTTAAAGTGAACAATTCAGTGGCACCTAGTACATTTACACTGCTGTGCAACTTCCACCTTTAGTTCTAATGCATTTTGATACTGGAAGTTTTTATTTTCTCTCTTTTTCTTGATCAGTCTTGCTAGGGGTTTATGAATTTTATTAATCATTTCAAAACACTGAATTTTGGCTTTGTTATCCTTTTCCTATTGTGGCTTTACTTTCCAATTTCATTGATTTCTGCTCTTTATAATTTTCATCTTTCTACTGACTTCAGTTTTAATTTGCTGTTCTTGCTAATAGATGACTTTTTCAGGGTAGAAAATTAGGTGACCTGTTTTAGATCTTCTTTCTAATGTAGACATTTAAAGCTATAAACTTACCTATTTTTTATTTTTATTTTTTGAGATAGGGTCTCACTCTCTCAGTTTGGAGTGCAGTGGCATGATCTCGGCTCACTGCAACCTCGGCATGGGTCGTTGTGCCTGGCCTTAAAGCTATAAATTTACTGTAAGCATTGCTTTAATTTTCTCCCAGAAATATGTTAATATATTATTTCCTTTGTTATCATCCAATTTAAAATATGTAAACTTTTCTCATTTCTCATTTGATTCGTGGATTACTTAGAAATGTATTGCTAACTTTTTAAACATTTGAGGATTATCTAGCTACTTTAGTTATTGGTTTCTGATTTAAGCTTATTGTGACCAGAAAACAAACCTGTATAATTTCAACCCTTATAAATTTTATGGCTTAAATTTTAGACTTGTTTTATAACTTACCATATGGTTTATTTTGGTGAGCTTTCCATGTCCCCCTGAAAATTATGTGTCCTCTTCAGTTGTTGGGTTTAATATTCTATAAATGTCATTTAGTTCAAGTTGATTGATAGGCTTTTTGAAAATTTCATATTCATTTTTTTCTTTTTTTTTCTATTGGGCTAATAAAAAGGATTAGATTGCAGATCAAACATACACATATCAGATAACTTACCTACTGTCAAGATTTGTCTTTAAGTTCAAGAATACAGCAGGAATCAAGAGTCTCAGACAAAGCAAGGAGAGACATTGATTGTGGCTCTGCAGGTATCTTCATTTATTGGACACATACTCTGTGACCCAGAGTAATAGATGAGGGCCCCAAGTGAGTTTGTGCTGGGTTAACTCACTCATAAGGAGAGCAGTTGAGTCATGAAACACCTCTATTTGATAGTCCCAGAGAGTTATCTAGTTTATGTATCATTCTCCAGGGACCCATGCCTCATAAATCTGTTCTATGTTTATTTACAAAATATGTAATAAAGAAATACTTAATCAGGAACATCCTTTTAAGAACATTATATATAAGGCCATGCTTCCTAGTAAATATTATTGTTTACTAAAGATCTAGTTCTTGTGTTGAACAGGGGAGTTCTCAGACTTTTCAAGATCAAGACTTCTTCCTTCTTTCTTCTGGGAGAAACCTCCCCAATTAAAAAAAAATGAATGGTTCTTTATACTGCCATCTGTCAGTTACCAATATATATCCAATTGTATATATCTGTCAGTTACCAATATATATCCAATTGTTAATATATCCAACTGTAATCGTGATTGTTGATTTGTGTTTTTCTTTTTCCTTCTTGTACTTTGAAACTGTTTTATTAGGTGCATTTGCACTTAGAATTATTAGATTTTGGTGAATTGGCCCCTTCATTATGAAATGTCCCCTGTTTAAGGTAATTAATCTTATCTAAAATTTACTTTTTCTCGTATTAACATTGCTGCATTGGCCTTCTTATAATTTGTGTTGGCTTAATATGTCTTTTTCTATCCTTTAGCTTTCAACAACTTTGCATCTTTAAAGTGCATCTTTTATCAACAAAATTTTGTCAGTTCTTTTCTATCTAGTAGGACAATCTCTGACTTTTAATTGTAATGTTTGGTCCATTAATATTTAGTTCACATATTAATACAATTGGGTTTACATTACCATCCTGTTTTTTTTTTTTTTTTTTTCTATTTGTTCTTTCTATTCCTCGTGGGGTTTTTTGGTCACTTCTTATCTCTCTTTTTATTTTTTAATCATTTTTTGGTATCTCATTCTATCTCTTCTATTGTTGTTTAAGTCTTTTTTTTTTTTTTTTTTTTTTTTTTAAAGAGACAAAGTCTCGCTCTGTCACTGGAGTGCAGTGATGTGATCATAGTTCACTGTAGTCCTGAACTACTAGGCTCAACCAATCTTCCTGACTCAGCCTCCAGAGTAGTTAGAACTGGAGGTATATGCCACCACACCTGGCTATTTTAAAAAAATTTTTTGTACAGACGGAGTCTCACTCTGTTGTGACGCTGGTCACAAAATTCTGGCCTGAAGCCATCCTCCTGCCTTGGCCTCCCAAAGCATTGGGGTTATAGGCATGAGTTGCCATATCTGGCTCCGGTTGACTTTTTACATCTTTGGATTTTTTTTACTGATTTCTCTAGGAACTATAGCTGTGCAGTTACTGCAGCACTATTTTTTGAAAAGACTACCTTACCTCCATTGAATTGCTTTTGCACCTTGGTCAAAATTCATTTGTCACCTTTGTTTGAGTCTATTTCTGGGTTTTTGTTTCTGTTCCATTGATTTGTGTGTCTATCTCTCCTCTTATACCACACTAGCTTGATTACTGTAGCTATATAGTAAGTCTTAATATCAGGTAGAGTGATTCCCTCTCACACTGTTTTTTTTTCAGATTATTTTAATTATAGTAGGGCTATGCTTTTCCATATTAATCTTAGAATCCACTTGCCTGATTGTACAAAAAACCCTTGCTGGGATTTTTTGGAATCTTCATTAAACTTACAGATCAATTTTGGGGATAATTGCCATCTTTACTACATTGAATTTCCAATCCATGAACACATATGTCACTCGATTTGTTTAAGATAATGGGCAAAGGATATGAGTAGATACTTCTCAAAAGAAGACATACAGGTGACTAACAAACATGAAAACATGCTCAGCATCACTACTCATTAAAGAAATACAAATCAAAACCCTGATGAGATACCATTTCACACCAGTCAGAATGGCTATCACTAAAACGCCAAAAAATAACAGATGTTGAAAAGGTTGTAGAGAGAGAATGCTTAGACACTGTTGGTGGGACTGTAAATTAATTCAGCCCCTGGGGAAAGCAGTTTAGAGATTTCTCAAAGAATTTAAAATGTAACTACCATTTGACCCAACAATCCCATTACTGGGCATCTATGCAAAGGAAAATAAATTGTTCTACTAAAAAGATACCTGCACTTGTATGTTTATTGCAGCACTATTTACAATAGCAGAGACATGGAATCAACGTAACTGCTCATCAGTGGTGGATTAGATAAAGAAAATGTGGCACATATACACCATGTAATACTACGCAGCCGTAAGAAAGAATGAAATCATGTCCTTTGCAGCAACATGGATGTAGCTGGAGGCCATTATTCTAAGTGAATTAGTGCAGAAACAGAATATCAAATACCACATGTTCTCACTTATAAGTGGGAACTAAACATTGATTACACATGGACATCAAGATGGAAATGACGGACACTGGGGAGTCCAAAATGGGGGAGAGAGGAAGAAGGGCAAGTGTTGGAAAACTACCTATGGGGTACTATGTTCACTATTTGGTAGCGGGTCCAAACCCATTTTTATTTAGTATCATGTGATATAGCCATGTATTAAACCTGCACATGTATCTCCTGAACTTAAAATTTAAACAAACAAGAAATGTGATTGGTTTTTGGGTTTTGGTTTCAAAAGGCAAAAATAAGTTACTTTTTACTATTTTTTCCTCATTTTATTTTTAAAATTTATCTTTATGTTATTTGAAGGGATTGGCTCATAGACAATTCTAACATATTGGGTAACTAATTGCTAGCACCTCTCTGTTAAGGAGGCACTATTATTATTTTACAGTTTCTACACTGAGGCCAAGAATTCACTAAGCTTGTATATGAGAGAGCTGGGATTCAAACCCAGGCTTCTACAGAGCAGTTTCCAATATGCCATACCATTTCAAAGTTGAAAAAAAGTTTTTGAAGTCACTTACGTGGTATGTTTTCTGAGAAATCAAATCCCTGAAAATGACAACTTAGCTAGAATTACTAGGTGTTCCTCCACTTATTTCCTTCCTGTCTCTATAAACAGTGCACAAGTATCCACTGACATATAGTGCCATAGGAAAAATTAGGTTTTATTCCCCCTATTTTCATTACTTGCAAAAATTCTTTATATTTAAAACTTAATAAGTTCACCAGATTGGTACTCATTTATTTATTTTTTCAATTAATATTTGTGGAGCCTGGTATTATGCTAGGTACTGAATATCCAGAGATAAATAAGATACAGTCTCTGCTTTTATTTTGCTTAGAGTCAAGTAAAGAAGACTGATAAGTCTTTTTTTTTTTTCTGAAAACAAGTTTTATTTAAATAAGGGTTTAAATACATTACACGTAACATTAAAACTGAAAGGGGAAAAAACACAAAAACCAGTTTGTTACTTCACATGGCATTAGGCATCCGCTGCTATTAAGGTGCAAGCTCTACAGCTAGCTACATGACTCATCACTTTCAGATCTGTTCCCTTGTCAAAAGTTTAACTCTGATAGAAGGTTGGCCTCACATTCTGATGTTTGGACATCCCTTAGCTAGGATACGTCTAGTCAAACAGACCTTTGTGGCAAGCCAGATGTCCTATCATCTCACTAGAGGGAAGGGGGCCTCTCTGAACTCTGACCAGGTCAGGCTGGAGACACCAGGGGATCTTCTACCAGCCTTTGTTTTCAAAGGCTTCCTTCTAGTGGTACAGTTGCTGGTGCTGCCTTACCCCATCCTCTCCTCTCAGATTCACTGACTGTTCAGGTGGTAACATTCTCTTAGGGCAGGGAACTCTGCAGAGGGAGAACGGAGGAGTTTCTGGCCATGGTTGTCTGTGATCTTAGGGCACTGGGCTTGGCTGAAACATGATGGTACTGTTTGGTTTCAAGCTTGACATTACCAGGCACCTACTGCTTGGCCTCTGTTTAAATGAGGGACTTCAAGACTAAACAGCATGGCTCTTTTCAGTTTATTGCATGAAGGAGTTACACTAGTCCAAGTTAAAAGCAGACCCCAAATCGTTATCAGAAGACTGGTAAGTGGGCAGATCATTTGAGTAGATAAGTGCTCTGATAGAAGCGAATATATAGGTGCTGCTACACAATCCCATGCCAGAGCCAGCCCATATCAGCTTATTATTAAATGTTCAGAACCTACAAATTGGTTCTACCAATGGTAGCTTGCAATTGGCTATGGTAGGAGTGTTTATAACATGTAAATTTGCAAATGCTATGATAGGGTTTTCCTTTTCTTTTTCCTTTTCCCCATTCTTTGTTTCTTACTTTTTTTTAAATTATGTTTTCTTTCTTCCTATTTATTATTCTCCTTAGGACATCTGGTTTACCAGCACACCACTGTTGCTACAGGAGCAGAGGCGCTAAATCCAATCCTTTATCTCATTGTAGCATGAGCCCACCATGTCACAATTATGGTGGCTGTTTCCCTTTTAGATGATGAGAATGAAACTTGGTCTAAATCACTTGTGGGTTCTGTTTTTGTTCCAGAGATTATAAAGCAGCTAACATCCGTATCAACATATATACTATCAATGAGCCTTGGCTTTTCTCACTAGCGTGGTGCTCCAGGATTAATTCAGTGACCACAGACAACATTGGGCTCCTGAGTCAGCTTAATCACCCTCACTTCTTCATGGTGAGCTGGTTGTCCAGATTGTTCTTCCAGGCTTGGTACAATAGCAGTGCTGGTCCCCCAGCCCTGTGTTGCCCACTATGCTGTCCCCTAGGGAGCCACTTAAGAGCACAGATTTCTATGGATATTGGAGATGTGGTATTTTCCATTCTCTCACACAGATCCTTCTTGGATTTTCAGGCAAGATTTAGTATTGTTATAACAGTTGACATTTACTGAATCCTTACAATGTGCTTTACATGCATTATGTCATTTTACCCTTTGAATTAGCCACTGTTACTATCTTCATGAGGAAACTGAAGCTCAAAGATAACTGTGCATGTGGTCTCCTGAGGTAGGATTCAGATTGAGGTCTGACTTCAGAGTTTTGTTATTGTAGCCCACCTTTGTAAAGGCATGGCAACAATTGACAGCAGCATGGAGGGTGCGGAGAAAACCAAGCGTACTGGACTCCGAAGTGGAAACTGTGTGTCCTAACAAATTGCTTTCGAAGAGGGTAGCGGTTGCCTGGTCTGATTGCCTGTTCTAGGCCTTCTGCTACTTACTGCTAGAGGCTTGAGGACCTGAAGACCTGGTTTACAATCCCAGCCAAATCCTATCACTCACTGTCTGTGGAGGGAGCCCCCAGCCAACCAGTTACTGCTACAGAACCTGTTCTTATCTGTATAGAAAGTAGGTTGACTGAGTGGAACACCATAGCATAAAACAGAAAACACTTTAATTTTGCTCCATTGATTCTTTAAACCTGGTCTGTGATCTAGGCCTTTCTCTGTCCTTGAATGCAATTTCTTCACTCGGGTCCTGTAGCTTTTCCAAACACTCTTAGATAACTTTTTAAAGTTCACTTTTAGTCATCAAAAAGCTCACTTCAGAATTTAAGTGTCCAATCCCGAGTAATAACCCAAACTTCAAACGGTTTTGAAATTTAAAGCCTTTGGCAGAGAAGCCTAAGAGGGGAGGGGCCTCAAGTTACCTCCTCCATATTTCCACCCTCACTGGCCTGGGCTTCTGATCTGTTCAGGGTCAGAACCAGGAGAGAAGGGATCAGGGTCAAGGGCACAGTCTTACAGGGTCAGTACTGCATCCAGGCCCTCTAGTGGAAAGGAGAAATTGCTGACTTCTTACCCTGGTGGCTTGGGCAGCTTTCTGGAGATGACCCTGAAGGGAACTTTGGATGGCAGGTCACTCAGCACAGATAGAGCCTTTCTACCCATCTATCCCCATAAAACTCCCCTTTATGTATATATTATGTATTTTTCTAACATTTTAAAATTCAGTTATTATGAAAATGCATAATTTAGAAAGCAGCATACCCCTCCATAATTCTATCCCCCTGAATCAGTAATGTCTTAAAGTTGTCCCTTTAGGAGGTACTCATTTACTTAAATGATGCTATTTCTGAATGCATTTTTTTCATTTTAATATTCAAGTTGATGATAAATCCATGTTATTCAAAATTCAAAAAGTATAAAAGGATATATGTAAAACAAGCAAACTTCCTTCCATGCCTGGCCTGGGCATTTTTAAAGGACCCAGTGCATGGTTCCCAGACTATGGCATGTGTCATTTTATTTAGGGAGGTGGGGCTGGTATCCCAGAGGCCTTTACAGGCAGCCCACACTCCAGAATTAGACTGATTCAGATCTAGATTCAGATCTTGGCTCTACTACTTACTGTGTAAATGTGGAAATATTAGTTAACCTGTTTGTGGTTTTTGGTTTTTATTTTGTTTTTTCTTTTTGTAAATTGGGGATATTAATAGTGTAGTAGAAACCCTTGTGTCCAACATAATTTGGTCTGGTCATTGGTCTCGTAATTGAGAAAGTTAAAGTGAGAAATCATTTAAAAATGATGTATACTTTATCAGTTAGCTTTTAATGCTTAATAAAAATATCTAAAAGTTAGTGTCTTAAATATTTATCATGTCTCAATTCTGGCTGATGGCTAGGTGGTGCCCCTGGTTTGAACCAGGTCAGCTGGGCTGATAGTCTAGGATGCCTTGTTCATTTGTTGAGAGGTGCACCTGGGATGACTGAGTTTCTCTTCATGTTTTTGCTCATCCTCAAGATGGCTGGCTGGAGTGTGTTCACCTGGTAGAGACAGATTCCCAAGAGCGAGAGGGAGCAAGTCCCAAAGCACATGCACTTTTAGGTTCTCCCAGTATTATGTTTGCTTAGGTTCCATTGGCCAAGGAAAATCACATGGTCAAGTTCAGATTCAGGGTGGGAGAGAAACAGACTTTACCTCTTGATAGGAAGGTACAGCTAAGTCATGTTGTGTAGGGGCCTGCATGTAGGTTTGAAAGGAATGTTGTGGTCATTTTTATAAACAGTATGCCACACACATACCTCACAAATTTTATTTTAAAATATTCATTTACCTTTTGACATAGCCATTTCTTTGAGGATATTTCAGCTGACTGAGTTATATTTAAACATCCAAATGAACTAGCTATGATTTCTAATTGTTGTTTCTTTTAAACAGAACAAGAAATTAAAGTCATTAGGAGAATCAGTCTGAATGAGGAATCCACCTAGATTTTTATAATCCCCCAAACGCTTGTAGTGTTTCACCTACACACAATCTAATTGCAGTTTATTCTTTAATGATCTATTTTGACCTTATTGAGTTTTTCAAAGCATTTGACTTAGTTTCTTTGAAAATGATACACTTTTGTCACTCAGATCTCACAAATTTAAGCAGCATCTAATTACATTGCTTACAATAACAAGTTTAGTTGACTTAAGCCATTTGGGAAACAAGGACAACTGATTCTTTGTGAACATTCTACTCATCTGGTAGGCCTGCTGGAGCAAGCAGCTGACTACAGCAGCCCTCAGTCAGTATTTTTCCCAGAGGGGATTAAGAGCCTCAGTTCAGTGGAAGTTGATTAAGAGTTTCTACTAGTGGGGCTATTGTGAGGCTTAAATGTGAAAATACCCCTGAAGTGCTTAGAACACCTACCTGGCTCCTGTTAATTGCTAACTGTTAGGTGTTGTTATCATTATTATCATGGTAATTAGTGTTGCTGTTAATTTTATTATTCAGCTCAAGGGAAGACCTTGGGATAGGGTGGAGAGTGGCCTGAGAAAGGATAAAATGTGCCAGCCCTAATAGCATCAAGTAAAATTGGAGAGGGAGCAATGGACGTGGAAAGGAAGCATCAAACTCAATGAGAGGACCCAGAAGACAGACCTCTGGGAAATAGGGGACTTGGGCAAGGAGCATAGAGGAGGGGCATGTAGGTAAAGGGGAGTTATACTTGAGTCTTCGTAATTGTAGTGTGATGCTTTAGAACAATGCTTCCCAAATACTGGCTCAAAGACATGTACCTTCAGCATCACCTGGGAGTGTGTTAAAAATGCAGACATTCTCATTCCTTAGGTCTCTAGTGAAACCCAGAAACCTGTACTACTAAAAGCTGCCCAGGGAGGCTTGGCTACATAGCCAGGTTTGAGAGGCCATGCCATGAAAACAGCAGTAGAAGTCAAGAACCTGGACTGTGGTCTTGAGTCCAGAATAGACTTGTGTGACTTTTCTGAGACCCCCTATGCCTTCTGTCTTGAGAGATGAAAGGTGAAATGAAAGATGTGAAGTGTTCTGTTCCCTCTAGAGCCCCCTGCATGTATAAAGGTGACTGTTAGGACACTTGCAGGGACTCTCTGTGTTTGAGAATGCCACATCAATCAAAGTTCCTTGGCCTATCTATCCCCTCTTCCTCTCCTCCTCCAGCCTTGGCAGCAAAGCAAGGGACTTAGACCATATGGTCCAAAATCCCTTCTAACTGTAAAGTTCTTTCACTATGATTTGTTTTATGTTTTGCAGACACCAAGATCCTATATGTTCATGTGGCTCCTTGCAGATATCATTTCTGTACTTTTTATTATTACCATATTTTGTTTTCACTGGTAAGTATATATTTATAATTTTAAATGATTATTTTTCTAAAATAAAATAAAATAAATGGATTCTTGCAGGAAATTGAGAAAAATAGCAGTTATACTCTTCCCATAATCCCACATGGCAAGACGGCATTTATAATCTGAACCTCTCTTCTCATGCTGTCTACGGTTTCTCACATCCCTTTGACCTCCCCAACACAAGACAATATTTTCAGGATAAGGACTGTCACTCAAGCTTAGTCAAGCCTATTTCTATGGATTCAATGTGAAGCAGTTGAAAGGACAGAGCTTGAATATTGCCCAGAACAAGTGCCTTCATCTTCCCACCTTCCATGAAATTGGGTATAGCAATGTGCAAAAAGCAAGGTCATGAACCAGGAAGACTGGATCTTAGCCCTGGCTTTGTCCCTTAGTTGCTAGGTGACCCTGAAAAAATAACTGTTCCTTTCTGGGCCATAATCTATTTTTTTTTTTTAATGGAGTCTCACTCTGTCACCCAGGCTGGAGTGCAGTGGCATGATCTCAGCTCACTGCAACCTCCACCTCCTGAATTCAAGTAGCTGGGATTACAGGCACCTGCCACAACACCTGGCTAATTTTTGTATTTTTAGTAGAGATGGGGTTTCACCATGTTGGCCAGGCTGGTCTTGAACTCCTGACCTCAGGTGATCTGTCTGCCTGCCTTGGCCTCCCAAAGTTCTGGGATTATAGGCATGAGCCATCATGCCTGATCCATAATCTTTTTATCTGTACAAGAAAATGACATTTGAGAATGCTTGCAGGCGAATGCTATAAAATTATAAGTTTGAAGATGAAATGGGGAAGAACATCCTGCATGAGGAACATTAGAGGAGACCATGGTTCTTTAAACCCCTTCATTTTTCATGGTTGGTCTGCTTCCTTCTAGGCGGAGAGAGACTAAAAAAGAAAAGTGGTTTGAACCCTCCAGAAATCCCACAGGTAAGTTAGAGGCCTAGCTCACTCCTGTCTCTTCATGCCTCCTCATTGCTTCCAGGAGACAGGGGCTGCTTTTTGTGTCCCCAACAAGAGCTGAGGATGTTTGGAAAGTTGTGGATGGGGTAGGGGCAAGGACCAGGGGAAATATAGGCTGAGCACAGATTCTGGAGGACTCTGTACATCAGGCCTCAGATTTTGGATTTCATCCTCTAAGCAATGAGGCCCCTTGGAAGATATCAAGCATGGGTGTTTACTTCTTCATATATTCATGTGTCATACAGCCACTAAGTCCACACTTTGTGCCAGGCACTTAGAGAGGGGCTGAAGATAACTGAAGGATGTCTGTGGAGAGTGGCTGGAGAGAGGGGAGGGGCTGGCCCTCAAAGAGCAGTGAGGAAGCAGGTAAAAGTATAGCCTTTGACATCATTGAGCCAGGCATCATAGGTCCAGGACAGAGTGGCTGCCATGCCCACTGGGGGAAGATGCTTTTTAGATGTCATTTGTGGGTGACATATGTTAGAGGCTAGAGGAAGAAAACTTCAGCAGTTCTGGAATTGCTAGCCTAGAGGCGAGTCACTGTATATTGGCAATTATGAGATGGCAAGTGAGTATCACACAAGGAGGCCATATGTAAAGGGCTAAAGAAGTGAACGAGGCCTAGTAACAGGAAGGGATGCTGGAGTTTATTTCTCTGTGGGTTTTGAACATGGTCACACAGTGATTTGCTAGTTTTGGAGGCCAATGCTGTGTCAGAGGGAAACCAACTAGGAGGCAGAAGACTGTGAGGTGTGGGATATAATTTCCTTCCGAAACTCCTGGAGACTTAAGTAAAGTTGGAACAGTCCCAAAATCATGAGTTAATTTAATTTCTTATGGACAATGGTGAAGCTCCTGATATTCCATGTACCAGCTGGCAGATGAGTGGAACTGTTACAACACTTAGGGTTGCAGGAATGAATCCACAGGGATCATGAAAAACTAAGTTTAGAAATTTGAATAAATTAAATAGAAGGCAATGATCTTTCATATGCTGTGAAACTGAAGGTTTAAGCCGAGTTTACCCAGATCTCTCTGTGGCAGGGAGATCTAAAGTTATATGAGTTACAAGTTACAAGATTCCAAGTTACATGGAATTTAAGATCACTCTACTGGCTATGTTAAGAAGTCTGAAGCTAATGATTCCAGCTAGCTTATGATTATATCAGTAGTTGTTCCTTAGTAAGCTAGGGCTGTTATAACAAAATACCATAGACTGGGTGGCGTGAACAACAGAAATTTATTTTCTCACAGTTCTGGAGGCTTGAAGTCCGAGATCAAGGTGCTGGCAAATTTGGTGAAGAGCCCTAGTGAAAACTGTCTTCTTAGCTTGAATACTGCTCCCTTCTCACTGTGTGTTCACATGGCCTTTCCCCTGTGTGTGCCTGGGAGAGTGGGATCTCTGGTCTCTCTTCCTCTTCTCATAAGGACACCAGTCCTATTGGATTAGGGTGCCACCCTTATGGCCTCATTTAACCCGAATTACCTCCTGAAAGGGCCCTATCTCCAAATATAGTCACACTGAGGGTTAGGTCTCTGACATATGAAATTGGAGTTGGGGAAACATAACTCAGCCCATAACAATAATCCAGCCAAGAAGTGATAGAACATGGAGATGAGAAGGAAACATGATTGGGAAAGAAGTTTTGAAAGTAAAATTGAAGAACTGTATAAACCTAGATAAAAGAGGTGGCTATAATGCCTTAGAAAAAGTACTCCATTAACTTGATCCTACCTACTACCATATTGAAATGGTGATAAGAAAAGGTGAGTAGAAAATAAATTAAGGATTTTCCCTGTTTTCAAAAGCTCTTTGTTGCCTGTTACAGAAACCAGTTTTTCTTGATCTAAGCAGAAAGAACAGGCATTGGAAAGCTATTTGGGTACCTCAAAGAGATACCTAGAAGGTACAGGACCAAGTTTAGAATCAGGGAAGGAACAAGGAAGACTAAAAAGAAGCCAGGACCTCAGCCATAACCACAGCCCAGATCCATTCAAGTTGAGGAGAATGGAGTCTCATCTAGTAAATACAGAGTTCCATACCACCTCCAGGATGGGCATGTACTGCTGCATCTACTGATGCCACGTCCACCACCAGAAGGCATTCACTGCCTGTCTAGTGTGAGGGAATATTTTTCAGCAATTTAAATGAGTCAAGTTTGTTGTCTTTGTTTTATGTAGTTCTTATGTAAAGTTTTCAGTTTTCTTACTCCTGTTCCTCTGTAACATGTCTTTTTTCCTCTGGCTACATTTTACGATTACTCCTTTTATTATTGGTTTTTAGTAGTTTGATTATGGCTTACTTTGGTGTGTGTGTGTGCATGTGTCAGAGAGAGAGAGAGAGAGAGAGAAACTATCTTGCTTAGAGTTTGCTGAAATTCTTAGATTGGAGTATAATTTTTTATCAAATTGGACATACTTTCAGTCTTTATTTCTTCAAATATTTTTCTGCCTCTGCTGGGATTCTGGTTACACATATTAGACATATGTATTATCCCATAGGTTACTGAGACACTGTGTTTTTGTTTCTTTCTTTCTTTCTTTTTTTTTTTTTTTTTTTGAGATGGAACCTTGCTCTGTTGCCCAGGCTGGAGTGCAGTGGCATGATCTCAGCTCACTGCATCCTCCAACTCCCAAGTTCAAGCAATTCTTCTCCCTCAGCCTTCTGAGTAGCCACATTTTAAATATTTAATTAATTTCTTTTTCTTTATTTTGGATATATTTTATTGCTCTGTGTACTTGTTTTTTGTTTTGCTTGTTTGTTTAGAGGCAAAGTCTCACTCTTTCACCAAGTCTGGAGTACAGTGGCATGTTCATGGTTCATTGCAACCTTGAACTCCTGGGCTCAAATGTTCCTCCCTCTCAGCCTCCTGAGTATCTGGGAACACAGGCACACACTACCATGACTGGCTAATTTTTTCAAAAAAATTGTAGAGATGGCGTCTCACTATGTCACCCAGGCTGATTTCAAACTCCTGACCTCAAGCAATCCACTTGCCCTGGCCTCCCAAAGCACTGGAATTACAGATGTGAGCCACCTGGAATTACAGATGTGATGCCCAGCCTATGTTAGTTTTTATTGCTATATTTTAAAAATTACTTCAAACAGCTTAACATTACAAAAATTTATTATCTCACAGACAAATTTATAAAGGTTAGACAGTTCCTTTACTTAGTCTTTCCAGGCTGATCAGGGTATCAGTTGGGGCTGCAGTCTTATTTGAAGTTTATGGTCCTCTTTCAGGTTAACTGCTTGTTAGCAGAATTAAGTTGCTCATAGTTGTAGAAGTGAAGGCATCTGTGTTTTCTTAATGGCTGTTAGCAGGGTTTTGCTCTGAGCTTCTAGAAGTGATCCTCAAGTCCTACCCACATGGTCCTCACAACATGGCAGCTTACTTCTTCAAAACTGACAAGAGAATATCTCTCCAGTCTGCTGTATTAAAGTTTATGTAATTAATGTAATGTAATCATTGGAATAATTATCCCAGAACCTTTGTCATATAGCATAACCTAATCAAGAGAGATAACTATCCTACCAAATTCACAGGTCTTACCCCACTCAAGGGAAGGGGATTAGATAAGGGATATATACCAGAGGTTGGGAATCTTTAGGGTTTTCATAGAATTTTGCCTTCCATACCATGTCTTCCACTTCAGTTATCTTATATAATATCTAATTTGCTGTTGATTTCAATCAGTGAAATTTTTATTTCAAATATTATATTTTTTATCTCTAGAACCTCCATTTGTTTTTTTATATCTCACCTTTCCCCCCTCATTGTGTTCATATTCCTTTAAATATTTAACATAGTCATAATCATTGTTTTAATATTCTTATCTTCTTATTCCATCACCTCTGTTATTTCTGGCTCTATGTCTCTCTCTCTCTCTCTCTCTCTCTCTCTCTCTCTCTCTCTCTCTCTCAAGAGACAGGGACTCATTCTGTCACCCAGGTTGGAGCATAGTGGTGTAATCCTAGCCCACTGTAACCTCCAGCTCCTGGGCTCAAGCAGTCCTTTCACCTCAACCTCCTGAGAAGCTGGGACTACAGGCACATGCCACCGTGCCTAATGTTTTTTTAAAGAGATGTGGGTCTCACTATGTTGCCCAGGCTGGTCTTGAACTCCTGGCCTCAAACAATTTTCTCTGGGTCTATTTTTATTAACTGATGCTTCTGGATATGGATCACATTACCCTGGTTCTTAGCATGTTCAATATTTATCATTATTTAACATATAAATTTAAAAATATTCACTGGTTAATTTTAAAATAATTTTTTAAAACCTATTTATATATAACATAAATATCAGTTTTTGAAACAAAATGTCAGTTCTACGAAACAAAAATAGAGTGAGAAGTATGGAGTTGTACATTTTTATAAATCTCTCTAATGTCTGGATTAATAGATGACAAGAATTCTCATATCTGCTTCTGCATTTAGTCTCTTCAGTGTCACTTGTAATGTGATCTCTGGAAAACTCCACCATACACTGATGACAGCATGAGAATGAAAATGGCAAATAACATATTAATGTTATTATGAAGATAATTTGGGCCTCATGAACCGCTGAAAGGGTCTTAGAAACCTCCAGAGGTCCCTAAATGATACTTTGAGAATCGGCTGATCAAAATTTTCACATGTATCAGCAAAATGGTATACATAATGTCCTCTTCCTGAGGATATTCATTATTACAGGTGATTGGAGCTTCTGTAGTCATATTCCTTAATAATTTCGTGCTCTTATTTTTAAACTATTGCTAAGTCTCAATACTTAGCAATAGTTTAAAAATAAGAGCACAAAATTATTTATTCATTATTTGATGAAATATATGAATATAAATATCCAAGAAGCTCAAGATAATCCAAGAAGGATGAATTCACACCTACAAGACATATGAGAATAAAACTGTCAAGAGAGAAAAAGATACAGGAACTTAGAGACAGCAAAAGCCTATAAGGCATGTAGAAAACAAATAGCAAAATGACAAAAGTTTCTCCTTATTAGTAATAACATTAAATGTAAATGGACTAAACTCTCCAATCAAAAGGTGGACATGGGCAGAATGGATTTAAAAAAAAACATGATCCAACTGTATGCTGTCTATAAGAAACTCATTTTAGATCCAATGACACAAACAAATTGAAAGTGAAAGGTTGCAAAAGGATATTCTATGCAAATAGTAACCAAAAGAAAGCAGGGGTTGCTATACTAATATCAGAAAAAAATAAACTTCAATCAAAAAAGCCTTTGCAAAGGAAGGCATATGATTGATCATTGAAAACTACAAACTTTACTGAGAGAAAGAATACCCAAATAAATGGAGCAATATATCATGTTCATGAATTAGAAAACTTAATATCATAAAGATATTGTCATGGAATTGATCTAAAAATTCCATTCAAATCCAATAAAAATTCCCTTTTTCATATAAAGCTGACAGAAAAAATGAAGCTCATGTTTGTAACTGTTTCTTCCAGATTGAATTACACTTGCATTAAAAAAAAGCTTTGAATATTTATAATAACTAAAAATTTCTAAAAATTAAACTAATAAAAATAAAAGGTAAATCTAAGCAGAAAACAAAACAAAAACAAACAAAAAAAACCTGAGTTCTGAGCCTACTTCTTTGGATTCTCACACTCTTCTAGATTTTGGCCACACAATTTCTCTCTATAGTTTAAATGTCTGGATAATTTTAAGATGTTTTCTTGTTTTTGCATATCATCCAGTTCGTAATTTGTCTTTGGCAGGAAGATTGGTCTTGATCTCCTGGCTCCATTATTTGAAGTATCTACCATGTATTTTTTTCTGTTGACAAAAATTATTTATTGAGCATTTTCTATGTGACAAACACTTCTGAGCACTGTATATGTAGTGGCAAGCAAGACAAAGTCTTTGTCCTTAAAAAAGTCCTCACTTTAATTGAGGATGTATTCGTTTTTCTTTTTCTTTTTTTTCTTTTTTCTTTTTTTTTTTTTTTGAGATGGAGTTTCGCTCTTGTTACCCAGGCTGGAGTGCAATGGTGCGATCTCGGCTCACTGCAACCTCTGCCTCCTGGGTTCAGGCAATTCTCCTGCCTCAGCCTCCTGAGTAGCTGGGATTACAGGCACGTGCCACCGTGCCCAGCTAATTTTTTGTATTTTTAGTAGAGACGGGGTTTCACCATGTTGACCAGGATGGCCTCGATCTCTTGACCTCGTGATCCACCCACCTCGGCCTCCCAAAGTGCTGGGATTACAGGCATGAGCCACCGCGGAAATTTAATGGCTGTGGAATACATGAACTTGAAGCAAATGTCAGTTTCTGCTTTCTGAGCCTCATGTGGTAGACTCTTAAGCTCCAGCCTCAGGCTGAATTGGAGGGTCATAATGAAGTTTGTACAAAGCCTGAAGTAGAGGGGAGAGCTTGGAGGAAAAACCTGAAAGGCTAAAGGAGTGGCTAACACTTAAGACATAACTTGAATTTCACACATGACTGGCAGAGAGTGGAGAAGGGACATTTGAGGAATCTGTGTTTATGTCTTTTCTACCCCACAGATACTCACAGTGGAAGTGAGAATGAGAAAGATTTGCACATATCCGTTAAATCTCCTGCCCGAGTTGTGGAACGTCCTTGGACTCTAGCAGCCCTCCACCCGGCTTTACCCAAGAGCGGAAAGGAACACCAAGGCCATTCCAGTTTTTCAGCAGCATCCAAGAAACTAGTACCTATCAAGAATGCTGTGACACCTCTGAAGCCTGCCAAGCATTACATTCAACCACCAACACCCACCACAGTCTTTGAACTCACCCAAGCACCCACCAGGCAGGCTGCTACTGGTGAGGCTACCTTTCAAACTACATTGCCCACCTCGAAGGCAGATAAGCCAACAATGCCCCCCGTAGAGGTCCCCTATCCTGAAATAAGAGACCTCTAAGACATCCTCATGGCTGAATACTCCAAAGAATCATATGTCACAATATATTCCACTGCATCTGACATACCCTCCTAGGAGATGTTTCCAAAGAAGAATTAGCCACATCTTGCCCGCTTCTTCCTCTTCCTCTCTCTGCAGTGGTGGGAAGTGGTTGATAAAGGCACACAGAAGGGCCATTAAGGCTCTTGGGAACCATTCTGCTCTAGCCTTTCTATCAAGAATGCATCTCAAGGGGCTAGGCAAGGGTAAAACTGTTGTGTATGGTCTTGGAACTGGAGCTGGTTGCTCTCTGTCAAGTTTTTCTCATCTTCACACCTCCATAGTATTCCCTGCTAAGGGAGTGACTGTGCATATAAATAAAGGCAACCTCTCAGGAAGCCAGTGGTGTATTCTTTGGACCCCTCTGTGATGAAGGCGGGGGTGATCTCATTCTCTAAGCCAGAGAACGAGAGGCGGCATGGTCAGGGACAAACATCTCATCCCCATCACACATTGTCTGCTCTAGTGTGCAGTGGGATACTTCCTGATAGCTTGTGGTTTGCTGATTCCCCAATAAGATGATGGACAGAATCCATGCTCACTCAATAGCTTTTGGCCTTGAGGGGAAAACAGAGCTTAGAACAAGTATCTGAAGCCCCTTCTGTCTGTGAGCCCAAAGTTAGAAGCAGCAAGTTGAGCTCTTCCTACTTACACATCCTTTCTAGGCCTGAGCCTCCCCATCTTTATGATGGTGGTGTAAGGCAGACAGCCACAGCACCTTCCTTCTGGTTCAGATTTCTCCTGGGCTACCTGTGGAGCTGTGTCCTCCAACAGCCACATTACCATCCCAGAAAGCAGGGTTATCTGGTTTGAGGCCTCCATTTACACACACCAGCTGGTCCTACAGTAACAGCTAGGGAGATCAGGCACATAGATGCTGATGACCCAGACACTTGAATATGTGAAGAGAAGCAGGACCGGGCCCTGCTGAAGTATCATGGGACCTCAAGGGCAGATCACAAACCCTCCCCCAAAGGGATTGTTCACTATTACTTCTCTAGGTGCTCATCCCAGCCACAGACCAAGGATGCCCCACCCCTAAGTCACACCTTCTCTGTCTGAAGCCCCCACCCACAGATCAACTTCAGTCATGGCCAAACCTGGTTGTCCCATGCTGGTCATACAGCAACATTTTACAAGCACCCACTGGACATGAGGATTTATCCCAAGGCAGCATTGTTCTTGGGGTTCTTGGACATGTCTTGATGAGCCAAGATGTTTTTGGCAGATTCAAGGGCCACTGTGGCTCCACTGGCCCTAGCTATGGCCCAGAAGCTGATTCCTCCTCTAGAGCCCCAACCCATGCACACTTAGGTCCCCACCTCCCAGCATGATGTCCAGCATTTCCTCCCAACCTACCCCAATCTCAGCTGGTCCCTTTAAAGCACATCTTGAACTCAAGCTCCCAACCCCCAAACCAGACCAGCTTGGCCCCAGCAGGTACAGACCAAGGAAGTCATGTAGGCCGCTCTCCTGCAAGGCCCTGTCCTGACCCCATATGCCTTCCCCTTCCACTTCCCCTCCCCCAGCAAAGACGCTGTTGGGCCAGAGGATGAAACATGCTTTATGCCCTGAGGTGATCAGGGGGGAGACTCAAGCAGGAGCCCAGCACTCACACAGCAATATATAAAAGTGTTGTGTCTCCCTCATCCCACCTGCAGATCCAGTCCCTTCAGTTTCAGAGTAGTCAATGCATATTTGGTTTGGTTGTTCCAAGTATGGAGAGCTAGGTTGTCCTCTTGATTCCTCTATCCCATTGGTACATAGAAAGTCAAAGAAAGTTGCATGGTGGGGCTGGTATAAGACAGGAGAAGCATCTAAGAATGATAGGCTCTCACAACTGGGAAGGCCACAGCAAGCTAGGACTAGACCAACCCAGGCGCCAGAGGGGTGGATGGCAGGAAGTTCTGCATCCCAGAGAGATGCTTCACTGGAAGAACATCAGAGGCCCAGTCGGTAAGGTCAGTGGTGGTTGGCCAGCCTAGCCTCTATGCCAGGATGGAAGAGGTCTTCCCCAGCTTCAGGGGTAGCTGGTGGGCCTGAGCCCGCTGCTGCCTCGAGAGCAGACATGGAACCAGCCCCTCCCCCTGACTGTTCACTTGCCGCTTCTGGAGCCCCGCTGTTTGCTCATGGCTGTGAGCATCTGGCTAATGTAGGAAGTCAGGAGGTCATCCATCTTATAGCCCTGGAAGCAGGGGCGAGAAGATAAGCAGAGTTCATGGTGGGATGGGGCCAGCCACTCAGACCATAGCACAGCTCCCAGGAATCTGCAATGGGCAGAACCCAGGACAAAGGCAAATCCCTCCCACTCAGGGCTCATCTCCCGCCTGCACAGTTGAAGGGTTGGATTCATCCAGCCAGATGGCTAAGGTTCTACACTGTTATGACCCCACATTAAGCCCCTAGCTTGTGGGTTCCTCAAGTCATGGATGCCTCCCTCCAGGAGTGACTCTACTGGCTCTCAGCTGAACTATGCCTTGGATGTTTGAGCTTGGTCCAGGAGGTCTCGTTGTTAATGGTTCCACTGTGGAATTCGGGGGCTAAAGGGCTGTCACCACAGGCTCAACCCCCAGACACTGAAGGCACTCAAACCAGTTGTTGAGTGAGGGGTCTGTTCCTCAGCCCCAGATTAAGTCCCTTCCCCAGACCTAAGTTGAGCCTCAGACTGATCTGATCTTGGCCCCAGCCTGACCCTTGCCCATGACCCCAGGCCCAGCCACACACTCCTGTGTTTGTTCCAGGCCGTGGGAGGCTGGCTAAGCTGCAGGCAAGGCAGGGAGTCCACCGGGCCCAGCAGGATGTGCCCTCACCAGTGACGTCTCGCAGAGCAGTTTGCTCCCGCGCACCAGGTTCCCGATGGTGATGTGGAAGTAAGTATTGCCGCTGCTCCAATTGGAGATCTTGGTGAAGGGGTGAGTGGTGAGGATGTCCTGGGGGAGCAGAAAGGGCATGGGGAGGCACAGCCTGGGCCCTGTGGCCTCACTTTCCCACACACACCCTCACAGAAGGCCTTGGGCCCTCAGAGGAGCCCACAGCCCGAAGGAGAGGCTGGCTCTGATGTGGAGCTGCAGTGGGAAGCAGGTGCCTTCCCCTCCACACCTTGGTTTGGACATCCAGGGAAGTTTAGGAGGCTGTTTGGTACTTGGGGCCAGAACTGGGAAACTGAGAGGCCTAAGGGAACTAACATAGTGGCCTGGATGAGATGGTCCAGGGAGAGTTTGAGCCTAGAAGACAGGGAAGAGCCTTGGGAAACATGGTATGCAGGAACAGACACAAAAGGGTCACAGAAGGAATGATCAAGACACATGAGAGCCAGGAACGTGGATGCATGAAGCCAATGGAAAGATGGTGATCATGAGTGCTCTTCACCATCTGTCCAGTCAGATCCTCTGGGTGTGCAGCGGCTGCTCTGGCCCAGAAACAGATGTACAGTCACCCCTGCACAGCCGGCCACCCCGAGCTGCATGGGCAGAGCATCCAGTGATGATGAAAGGTCAAGTACTAAAAAGAGCTCGGATTCCATAGGAAGGAGTTTGTTAGTAACTTCAGGAGAGCAATTTTGGTGGAGCAAACATTGGGTAAAATCCCAGCAAAAGCTGACAGCTTTTGCAGCCATGTGGCAGGTGGATGAGCCTGGAGATGGTGGCTTGGATGGCTTGTGGGGTTCATTCCGGGACTGTGTCTGGGGTTCAGGCAGAGAAGCCTCCACACTCGCCTTTTTTTCCCTGCTCACCTTTGTTCTCGGATCGATGAGGCTGACCCCATACTTGTTGATGGCAATTAGGAGGATCTCAGGGAAGTTTGGCTCTGTAGTTTGCTAGAAAAAAAGATGAGAAGCCATCAGATGGGGCCCAGAGCAAGAAAAGCATTTGGGGACTGGAGTGAAGTCTGGTCCCAGCTGGGATAAGATCAGCCTCTCCTGTTGCCTATGTGGTACTAATGGCCCTGCCATGACCTCATGGTCTTCATCTCCGCTGGGCCCTCAGTGCTACCCCACATCTCTATTTAGGTCCCCTGGACCATACTCTGCTTTGTACTCCCTCTGAAAAGCCTCCTGAGCCCTGCACCTGCCTCTGGCTACCTACCTGTTCTCCTCCCATAGCAGAGCTTCTCAAAAGACCTCCCATCCTAGCTGTGTGACCAGACCATCTCTGTCCTCTCACACCAGCCTCCTCACCATTCTCCTGCCTCTGTCCTGCCCCTCAGACCCCTCTTCCACCCAAACCTGAGCGGCTTTCTGGCCATGTCACCCTGTGTTCAAAATCATCCAAGGTGGGCCGCCCCTGCAGGAAACCCAGCCCCTCAACTGCTTGCCAAGCTACTGCTCACCACAGCCTGCTCTCGCTCCCGCCCCCCGCCCATCCACACTCCACTACTTCCATCTCCTGCCCAGACCTGAGTTCTCATGCCTCCAGGCCTTTGTCCATGTGGGACCCCTGCCATGCACACTCTTTCCAGGGTTTCCTTGGAAAGCTCAGATACCAACTCCTCTAGAAGCCTCCTCAGACTCGCAGAGCCTCTCAAGCTCTGCCACCTGGGCAAGGGCTCCCGACTGTCACAGCACAGGCCGACCCCCATTACCCTAGTCTGTTTACATGTCTGCTTCAGCTGCCAGGCTGAGCTTCTGGTCCCTCTGTCCCCAGGACTTAACCCAGCTAAGATGCTAAGCCAGGACAAGGCTGAGGGTGCTGCCCTCCTTCCTTCACCAGGGCAGGTGTCCAGGGCCATGGCTGTTTCTCACAGTCCTGGGGAGGAGTCTCTGTGCCTTCTTAATGCCCCTTCCCTCCTCCTCTGCTGAGAAGCCCATGGTGTACCTTCACCTCGAAGAATGCTGAGCCAAAGGTGGGCCACTTGAAGATGAGCTTCAGGAAGGCCAGCTTGGCCTCCTCCTTGGACTTCCCCGCATGCTTGTTGAAGTAGGCGACAATGGACTGTGGGGACAGGGGGTCAGGGCTGGGCTCAGTCCTGGGGACAGGCCTGCTCAGGGCAGGCCTGCTTAGAGCTCAGAGTCCTCTCCCCACCACCCCCGCCCACTCTGGCACTGTGTGCATCATTAGGACCAGGCCTAAGATGGAGACCTGGGGGCTGTGAAGGGCTCTCCCCATATTTCAGCTAATGGACTCCAGACCTCCCTTCCTACCCCCAGGCAGGCAGACCAAAGAGTATCAAGGACAAGCAGGTCACCATGGTAACCAGGACAGGGCAAATGGCTGCCAAGTGCCTACTCAGTCCTTGGCATGGAGGACTAGAGGCAGGCGGAGGAAAAAGGTTGGCGGCCTCATCATGTACAGGAGCCACAGATGCACCTCCCTGGACTGCTGACCAGCACCTGCCCTCTTGACCCCTGGGGTGCCCAGAGGCCCATTCAGGGCCCCTCCATTCCCACTGCCCACCCCATGCTCACCCGCTTCCAGTCATCAGGCGAGACCTGCCGGATAAGGTCCTGGGGCACCAGCTCCCGCAGCAGCTTGGGGATGCTGGGGAAGTAGGACTTGTCCTCCTCAAACTTGACCCTATAGATCAGCGCCCCCAGCTGCAGCACCTCCTCCCGCGTGCACTTGTGGTAGCCTCGGAGATACTTGGGCAACTCCTGCCAGAGACAGAGCAGGTCACAGGTGTGGAGGGACCTGGCAGAAGTGGGCTCCTTTCCCACCACACCAAGACCCCAAAGGCCAGGGTCTACTACCTTACCCAACATGTGGGCCCACCCACCTCACTAGCCTCAGCTGAAATGGCTCCCCAGAGGAGATGGCACAGGACAGGGACAGAGCAAATCTGCCTGCACAGACTCAGCACTTGGTAGTTGTAGCTCATGCCATGTCTATTACCTCATTTTCCCTCATAACAGTCCAGCGAGATGAGTAGCCCCATTTCAAGATGAAGAGACTCACAGAGTGACCATCTGGGGCCCCTGAGACTGTTTCATAACCCTCACCTCCTGGGCCCTTCCTCCTTTGGAAGAGCCTCTCAATCTGGCCTCTTTGCATTGGATTCTCTTGAGACCATCAAGAGCAGCAACAGAGGCCCTCCCACCCCCTTGAACTTCCAGACCCAAAACCAGAGAAACTTAGGCTGGAGAATGGGCCCGGAGTAGAGATGAAGGCTCTGAAGGGCCGGCACTGTCCACAGGCTCCTGGAGCCTCAGGATCATCTTATCCACAATTTCAAAGATAGGGAAACTGAGGCTGTCCTGAGGACACACTGTTGGTCAGAGACCTGAGTCAATCATTTCCATCCTATACACCCATCCTTGCAGTTATGGGTCTGTCTACCTACACGTCTCCCTCCATCCATTTCCCTCTGTCCATCCATCTACTCACTCATCCATCCACTCACCTGCCTACTCACCCATTTACTCACCAATATCCACCCATCAATTCATTCAGCATTCATCTGCCCATTCATCTGTTCATTGAGCCACCAATTTACCTGTTCACCCATCCATCAATCCAACAAGCATGCGTTGTACATCTGTGAGCCAGGCCCTTTAAGCAACAATGCCTACTCTCCATACGCTCATGGAACTTGTAGTCTCAGGGCAAGAACAGACATCAAAAATCATTCCAAACAGACACATAATAACAACTTTCAGAGGAATTGTTCACAGTGCTATAAAAGAATATAACAAGGTGACCAAATCTAGGCTTAAGGACAGGGCAGACTTCCTTTAAGATAAAATGGCTAATTCCCTTGGTAGCTGAGGGAAGGAACTGGGGAAGAGCAGCCCAACATTACAAAGTCCCCAGTGGCACACTCAAGACATGGAAACAATCCAGTTGGAGTGAACTGAGCCGAGGAGAGCCAGGTACAAAGCAAGGCAGCAGGAGCAGGTAGTGGCACCCCCAGGCAGGCCATGGTCAGGATGAGGGTTATGCCCTAAGAGCAAGGGGAAGCCACTGGGGGCTCTGGAAAGCGGGATGACCGTCCTGCGGAAAAAGGATGGAAAGGGACCAAGACAGATGAGGAGAACAGGGAGAAAGTCGCTGACCCAGTTGTGAAGGTGGTGATGGAGAGACCTGGGGGACTTTAGAGACATCTGGGAGGTACAGTCATCAGGTAAGTGAATTGGGGTGTGGGGGAGGAGAAGCAGATGTCAAGGCCAACTCTTGGGGGAACTGGCAGTCAAGGGGCATGCACTTAGTGGGCAGCACGGGGTAGGTGGGGAGGGCATAGGGGAGAGGCAGGTTTGGATGAGGGTGGTCCTTCTCATGCCCAGGCCAGTGTCCTCTCTGCCACAGCAGCCACCATCCCTGCCTCCTCTGCCCTTCCATGCATCCTGCTTTTTCCAGAATGGTAAGCAGGCTGAGCCCAGAAAAGGGCACTAACTTGAAGTCATGAAAAGCTGGAATCAAATCTCAGTTCCATCAGCTGTGTGATCCTAACCATGGCACCTTGGCTTCTCTGAGTCTCTTTGTCCCTCTGTCAGATGGGGACAACATGCTTGCTTTTTGGGGTTAGTTGGGAAGACAGAATGAGAAGAGTGCCAGACACATAACAGAGGCTCAACATGCAAGCTTCCCTCCTGGCTTCCTGCAAGTCCCTGCACTAGAAACTGTTTGCACAGAGGCCTAGGAGTTAATTACCCCGTTACAGCAGCAGAGTCTCCAAGTCAGAGGACAGCCCTGCACTGAAGGAGGGGCCTGAACAGGCAGGGATTGGAAGCTCAGAAGAGAAACTGCCAAGCCCCTAAGGGCTGAAGAGTCAGGAGACACAAGGATTAGGGGTTGGGCCATCCCCTGGCTCCAGTGGTCTTGGCAGGAATCCCATTGGGGCCAGGCTGGTACAGGCCTCACACCTGGCAAGGGCAGCGGGTCTCAGCTTTCAGGGCCAGAGTACAGCAAGGCTAGCCATGCATAAAGGCAACTAGAGTGCAGAGGTGCCTACCTGGTAATAGTGGAAGATGGAATCAGCCATGGGGTCCTTCCCTGGCACCGTAGTGGTCCACAGCTTCTTCATGAAGAACACCTGGTAGGTGAGTGACGGCACAATTCCTGCAGCACAGGGCAGTCGGTCACCCAGAGGGTCCCCACACAGACAGGTGCTCATGTCCCAAGCCCAGCCCTAGCCTCAGCCCCAGCCCCAGTCCCAGAGGAGGTCCTCACTCAGGCCCACCCAGGTCGGCCTCACAGCACAGCCTTGAGCCTGCACCTCCCTGCTCTGGGCCTCAGACGGTTCCAGGACCTGGCCTCATTACCGTCCTTGATGGGCCGAGCTTTCTTTATCCAGTCTGTCAGGTGCCGAACGAAGTCGAAGAAGAAGTCATTCTCAGGCACGCTGATGACCTGGGGACAGGGCCATTGAAGCGCACTCATTTTAGTTCAAGCAACATTGAATTTTCTGACCTACCCACCTAAGGCCTGTCTGGCAGCTCCTTTTCAGGGATGACTCCACTCTCGGCCGGAAGGGATTTCTGTGTGTCAGCCCCACCCTGCCCCATGTGCCTATTGAGTGTCCCCAGAACGGCCTACTTCTTTTTTTTCTTCTGAGATGGAGTCTCATTCCATCGCCCAGGCTGAAGTGCAATGGTGTGATCTCAGCTCACTGCAACCTGCATCTCCCTAGTTCAAGCAGTTCCCCTGCCTCAGTCTCCTGAGTAGCTGGGATTATAGGCACATGCCACCATGCCCAGCTAATTTTTTTGTATTTTTAGTAGAGATGGAGTTTCACCATGTTGGCCAGACTGGTCTCGAACTCCTGACGTCAGGCAATTGGTCTGCCTCAGCCTCCCAAAGACTCAGGCTCCCCTGGGTCTAGGACCTCATCAGGATCACCTCTGGGCCCTAGTGTCTGACACAGAGACAGTCACAAAGTGTTGGGATTATAGGCGTGAGCACCAGGCCAGAACAGCCCACTCCTTACCAGGAGTGATGGTCATTCCATTCAGTGCCTGGGACACTGAATGCTGCCTTAGGCCCAAGGGAAGCTGGCCAAGAATGCAGCCCAGCCCCTAACTTGGACATTCTCTGGCATCCATTTCTAGCTCCTCCCACAGACTCTGGGCTCCCCTGGGTCTAGGACCTCATCAGGATCACCTCTGGGCCCTAGTGTCTGACACAGAGACAGTCACAAAGTGAGGAGAGAGACACAGATGCACATAAAGCCATCATCAGGCAACAGGATGGGGCACTTAACTCGGTCAAGGAAGCTTTCCCATGGAGGGGGCTTTAGCTGGGCCTGTAAGACTTCCAGCGACAAAGGTATTGGCGGAGGGGTGATGTGAGAAGGTGGCAGAGGCATGAGCTTTAGAGTCACGCCCACCTGGAGCTCAGTCCCTGCTGTGTGACCTTGGACAAGTTACCTAACCTCTTGGAGCCCTAGCTCTGTGATCTGCCAAGTGGGGATGATCACACCTTATTTCAAGGGTTAATTTGCCCCATCATGACAGTGAGGGACGAGTCAAAGCAAATCTGGAAAGAACACATGTGTTGGGGCAGGGTGAGGAGTCTGGTGTGTCAGAACACACAGCGCCGGGGCACGTGCCCCTAAGAGGGTCTGAGCACATGCAGTGCCTCAGAGGAGAGAGAGCCGGGGGCAGCCACTCCACATCAGGGGAGGCTGTAGGGATGGAAGATGGCCAGATGCCAGTGCCCTCTTTCCCTCTCTTCCCCAGTCTCTCTCTCTTCCCCCTGCTGTCCATAAGTTCTTATGGCCCCAGCAAATTTCCCAACAGTTGGGCCGGTGGCAAGCAGGAAGATGGCGAACCACTCACCTTGTCGGCAATTTTGACAAAGAGGCTGAATCCCTCTGAGGACTTGAGGAGCAGCCGAGTTGCAATGTTCTGGCAGAAGTCCTTGGCCTTGGTGCTGGACTCCACTTCGAAGGCCTGGGAGGGCAGTGCGCACTGGGCTCTGGCAGGACCTTTCCCCGGACCTGGTCCTCCAGGGCTTCCCTCGCTGGGCCTCCTACACTGAGCCCCCTCCGAGGCCAGACACCCTTCCGTGGGCCCAGAGCAGGGCATGGCATTTAACAAAACGAAAGGGCTACTTCTGTCTGGGCCTTCCTTGGCCTCCTCCTCCCAACCCTCCAAGCAGACGTGGCCTTGGCGTCCAGAGTCCTGGGCCAGGCTGTACACGCCTGAGTGATGGTGAGAGTCCAGAGAGCACAGCAGGAAGGGATGACTGGAAGGAGGAGACTTGACGAAGAGGAAAAGCAGAGGGGAAAGCAGCCCAGACAGACAGGTGGGCTTGAGCGTCTGGGGGAGGTTAGATGGAGGGAAGAGGGATGTTTGGAGGGACAGGAAGGGATTTCAGGAGATCTTTGGTCCTTGCAACTGAAATCCTCTCGTGGCATTTGTGAGTCTCCAGCCTCAGGCCAGTTTCAAAACAACTCTTCAAATGAAAAGTTTATCTGAATGAGACACTGTGTTGAGACAGGCAGGGTCTGGGGACCATGGGGGCAGCGTGACTACAGGTGTGACAGACCAACAGGACCTCTGGCAGATAGGACCAGGATGGAGGGACCCTCAACCACCTCAGGTGGGGAGGGAGGAAGGGGTGTCGAGGTTCTGCCTGCAGGAAAGTGGGCTCAGGTGACAGGGGAGGCCTGAACCCAGGGGCTAGCGGGGACCTGCATCAGGGAGGTGCAAAGCCAGTGCAAAGCCAGCTCAGAGGGAGAAGTGCTGTTCTGCAAGGCAGGTCCTCCTCAGAGACGGGGGTGGGGGGGCCCTTCTGAAGGAGGCTGCTCCAGCAAGCAGGGCTTGGATCAAGAATCAAGGGCTCCCGACCTGGGAGGCAATGGCCTTCTTCCTGAGCTCTGACTCCACTAAGGGGCAGGAAGATGAGGCGGCAAGTGTGGGGTGGCGGGGGAGAGGCGTAAGGCCACCCTTGGTGTCCACCCAGGAAGCCCGGCCCTGTCCTGGGCATCTGTAGAGCCAGAAGCCAGTGGCCCTCACCTCGTCGGTGTCGTCAGGGAAGTAGACCTTGTGGAAAATCTGGGTGGTCTTGTGCTGGATGGCCTCCACCTCCACCAGGTGTGGGGGGTACTTCCGGGACCCATTTCTGAAAAGAGGGCAAGGGCAGCAGTGGGCAGCTGTGTGGGACTGCGGAGACCAGGGACTGGCATCCTTGGAGGCAGACAACCCTGGTTCTGATCCCTGCCCACCACTTCCTATGATATGACCAGCCACTGAGCCTCCCAGAGCCTTGAGCTCCTCATCTGTAAAATGTAACGATGGCTGTGGAGGGGACCAGCGAAGTGAAGGACGCAAGTGCACTTGGAGAGTGTGAAGTGGTCCCGGGTGTCTGCCCACCCGATAGCCTGGGAGCTCTGGGCCGAGCGCTCCTGAGCCGCTGGGCTCTCCAGCTGCATCTCAGGCAGCTGTGGGGCCTGCACCTCCATTTAGCTGGCAGCTGAGGTACCCCAGGGGTGGGTGCCTACTGCTGTGTTGTCCTCATCCCTAAGGGGCTCATCCCACTAGCCCAATGTTGCCAGGAGCCCACCCCAGTGCCTGCCCCTGGCAGCCGCTGTACCTCAGGGCTTTCTGGAGCCGCTGTAGGCAGTCGATGGCGAGTGGGCAGTGCTTTCGGGACTGCAGGAAGCGCTGCACATGGGGCAGGAGGATGTTGCTGGGTGGGAAGAGGCCCGTGCACAGCCAGAGCAGCTCCCAGCCCCGCTCCTCGCTGTACCTGCAGGAGGAGGCGTGGGATCCAGCAGGGGCAGCTGCCATCAGGAGTCACAGGACCTGTGCACCCCTGGGTGAGGGGGCCACACACCCCTCAGCTGCTCATCACAGCAGCAGCAGCCCTCCCTGACCCTAACCCTGTCTAAGGACCTCTCACCCTATCTACAGACCCCCTCCCTGACAGCCAGATGCAACTAGTGCTACTCAAAGTGTGCTCAGCCCACTGCGCCAGGCTACACTGTTACCAGTCCATGTGGCTATCAGGGGCTTGTGCCAGAATAAAAAGCTACCAGGTTACCATGCACTCTGCTTCAGCTGAGGCTTTTTGTTTGTTTCCATAGCAAGACTTTCTCCATGAAGGAAGCAATGTGATTTATATTCTGGCAGAAGCTCTTTGATTTACCTACACTTTAAGTATCGACGAGTTAAACCAGTCCCACCCCAGGATACTTCAACCAACACTCTGAGCTTCTTGGGCCTGACAGTGGGAAGTTTGGAGGGCTTCTAGGAGGAGGTGACATTTGATCTAGGCTTTGAAGAATGAAGCAAATTACAGTATGCAGAGAAGGGGCTGAAAAGTTTTCCTGGGTGTGGGTGCAGCAAGTACAAAGGTTTGGCACCATCAAAAGAGCTGATGTGTGATTTGAGGATGGATTTGTGGAAGATGTAGAGGGTGATACAGCTGGGAGGAAGGCAGTGGGCTGGATGTAAGAAGAGAGGTGGAGCTTCTCTCAGTCTCTGAGAGGAGCCTATGCCTGACTTCCTAATCCTGCCTCGGACTGCCCCAGGGGGAGGAGAAGGTGGTACCCTGTGGGCATTGTGGCCAGCACCCAAACTCATGAGTTTTCAGCCAGCGCTTCCAGCGGACAGCCAGCCCAGCCTGCACCAGGGAGGGGACACTTGACTGTGCTGGACCTGCAGGCAGACAGCAGGGTCTAGGCAGGGGAGGGGCACAGAGAGGAGGCTCCAGCCAAACCTTAGGAGGAGCTGGGACTCTTCCACTTAGAGAACGGACTCAAAGGAAGACAGCCACCACCTCCCAATTCCTGCCAGGCCCTCCTTGGGCCTTGGGGCCAAGCTAAGATGTGAGGGGTCCATGGGCGGCTCCCAGCTCTGCATGAGGAAGGACTGAGTCCAGGCAGAGCTAGCAGCTGCCTCACCTGATGTTGTTGTCAGTCAGCTGCTTCAGGATCTGCACATACGCCTCATCCTTCAGCGGCTCAGCTTTCAGGGCGCCCTCAAAGATCTGGTCGGTGAGCTCGTTGACAGAGCGTGTCCTCTTGGATGGGTAGTCACCCATGTACTTGAGCATGGGTGGGGGCTGTTAAGGAAGGGCTCGGCCGAGTAGAGGGAGCACTGGCCTGGGGTCTGGAGGCCCCACTCTCCATGGGGCCTGCCTCCCTGGAGCTGTGACCCTGGCCTCAGGCTACGCACTCACGAAATGGGCGTGATCTGCCCCATCTGCTCTCCTCCTGCTCACAGCCACCAGCCCCACATCCCAAGCCCTCACAGCAGCTGGGACGGCCTGTCCAGATGGCCAATCTGACCATGCCACTCCCTGCCCAGTGGCTCGCCCTGGCCTTGGGACACGGCCCAAGCTTCCTCTAAGGGTCGGGAACCCTGCCTGAGCACAGTCTTCCCATCCTCTCTGTGCTGAAGCGCCAGAGCCCGGAACAGCCCTGCTCTGTGTGCCTCGGGGACTTGCTGCTGCTCCCTCCCTCTGAAACACTCCGCACCCCTGTCCCCTTTGCCTGGTTAAGTCCTTCTCAGCCTTCAGGTCTCAGCCTAGATATCACTTTCTCCAGGAAGCCCTCCCTGCCCCTTCCAGATGGGTCAATTTATAGTGCTGCCCCATCTGGTCCGACTCGACTCGGAGCTGATCTGGATGTGCGTGTGGCCCCATGAGGCCAGGGGCTAGGCTGGTCCCTGTGCTACCTCCATGTCTGGCCCAGCATAAGGCACCCAATCTACCTGGCACTCGGGTGACAGGGTCAGAGGAGGCGGTGGGTAAGGCAGCCCCTTCAAAAGGTGTCAGGGAGGGGGTCCTCTATCAACCCTTCCCACGCCACAGCAGGCCCTCAGGAGGAAGGTGGTGTGCAGACGAAGACCCTGCCCGGTCCCTGGCTCCCCTGGGTGCTGCCCTAGGGCGCGGATATCAATGAAGGCCAGGCAGGCCTCCTGCGAGAGCTCCTCGCTGCCCAGGAGCTTCTTGAGCAGCGCCTGCTTGAGTGGTTCCCGTGTGTGGCTCCACAGCCGGTCCTTGCCTCGGGCCTTGGACACCATGACACGGCTCAGCGTGTGCTTGGGTGGGGGCCTGCCACAGCACAGGGACCGTCAGCAGTGGCCCCATTGCCAGCAGCCCCGGGGAGAAACCCCCAGGTCGTGAGACCCCCATCCCCGCCCACACCGTGCCCGGAGACTGAGGGTGGGGATCAGGCCCTGCTCTTCCCTGCCCTGCATGTGGCTGGAGACTAGTCACTGGCGGTTGCTGGGCTGTCCTTTCTCAGCTATGAAACAGTGGCAAGAACACCCCAGGCTGTGCCCCAGCCTCCCCACCACCCTGCACCCCTGCAGAGCTCAGTGCACACTGCTTCCTCCAGGAAGCTTCCCACTGCCCCTCCATCCTCATCACAGTGTTGGGCACGCAGAATCCCAGCTGCCTGCTTCCTGCCCACTCCCCCACCAGGACTGAGTCTCCAATGCCCAGGACCAGCCTGGGGTGGATGCAATGACAACTCTTAAATGAAAGAACGATAAGTCGAGACACACAGGACAGGTCACCTCGGTGGACAGAAACAGCCCTCCAGCTCCCTCTGACCCAGGCCCTGCTCACAGGCGGGGCTTCACAAAGCCACCCCAGCATGCAATCTGAGGGTAGCAGAAGCCTACAGCTCCCAGCCCTGTGGCCCCCATCCTTCCCTGGGAGGCATCACCTGAAGTAGTCATAGGAGAACTCCTCCAGCGTGTAGGGCTTGGCGCGCACCTCAGGCTCCGTCGTTCGCAGCTGCAAGAGCCGGAGGACGTCCTGCCTCTGGTCGGGAGTCATAGTGACTAGGGCCTAGGGGCCAGGAGACAGGGGGCTGAGGTCAGCTCTGCACCTGTGGCCACCAGAACCAACACAGTACACCCTGGAGCCTTTGGGACTCGGGGAGACTCTCCAGGGGAGTGGACCCCGTGCTCCATTCTGATCCTGGGAGCCCTGTTCCTCCTTGGGGTCTCTGAGGTCCCTGCTGCCTCCTTCGTGCTGAGCTTAGGGCCCTTCCCTTGGTGTCTGATCAGGTTGGGTCAGTCTGAAAGGCTGGATGAGGCAGGAGAACATGGTGTGAGAGCCGCCTCATCCACTGAGCCTGGCTCAGGAGCCACTGGGGAGGTTGGGCTGTGAGTCCCCAGAGTTGCTCTCAAGGTGGCTCCAGAAGAAGCAGGGCCCAGCACTGCCCCAGGTGTGGCCCCACTGCCTGTTCAGACAGTGTGGGGGATATTGCTCTCTCCAGTCCCTGCCCCTGGCCACACCCCTTGGCTGTTCCTTATCTGATGCCATTGCTAGGCCCCTCCCCACCAGGCACAGGTTTGAGGGCTGCCCCAACTCTAAATGTGTGGTCCCGTAAGATCCCAAGATCATCTTCACAGATGCACTAGACCATTAACCTATTGTATATCTGTGGGGAGTGGATGAAGAGGGGTCTAGTGGTACTTCCCACTCATCTGCCGCCCCAGGCCACATACCACAATCTCCCGCGGTGGCATGGTGACAGTGGGCATGACGTACACACAGTCAGTGGGGAAGTCCCCACGCTGCTTGGTCCTCTCATTGATGCCGTTGGCCCAGCCTGAGTTCATGACCTGCTCGCCCGTGTCGTGGTCCAGGATGATGAGGTCTCCCTTGGCAAAGCTGAGGAAACCTGACTCCTCGCCCGCTGCAGAGCAGAGGTGAGCGGGACCACGGGGCAGAGACAGAAGCTGAGTTGGAACATCTTTATTTTGGTTGATGATCTATAAGCCGCTACTTCCCACAGAAGAACTGATGTGTTATCATCCGTGTCTGCCTACCTGCCACTCTGCCTCCACCTTGTCACAACTCCCCATATAGACATCACCACCAGAGTGGGCCACTCTCCCACTCAAAAGCCTTCCACGGTTCCTCATTGCCTTTGGGAGAAAGCTCCGCACTCCTAAGCCTGTTGTGAGTGGGCTTCCCGGACTCCTTCCACCTTGCCCCTCCTCCCTCACTGCGCCTGTACCCAGTCAAACCAAGCTGTTTGCAGTTCCCCGGACAGGCCGGCTTTCTCCTGCCTCTGTGCTGGCTTCAGCTCAGCTCTCTGCCCGCTGTGCTCTGCTCACATGGGCTTCCTTTCTAGACCCCAGTCTGCATGGGGACTCTCCTCCGGGCTTCTGTGGCTCTGGGCTTCCCTGCTCACTGCACTGTTGCAGGCTGTCACTGTCTGCTTCCCACACTCCTCCCCACTGAGGACAGGGTGGGGTCCATTTCATCTTCATCTTTCCCACACTCTGCCAGGACCTCAGTGGCCTCAGGCAGGGTAGTTGTTACTGCTGTTATCACTTGAAGATGGTGGGTCTTTTGAGAACACTGAGAAGGACCCCTGATCTAACTTGGAGAGGGGACAGGAGATGAGTATTGAAGTACCAGAAGGAGGGAGGGAGAGGAGGCTCCCTGCAGGGCACACATTGAAGGAACAGGCTTCTGCTATTTGGTCCAGCTGCAGGGGAAGGATGGGAACAAGACCCTAGCAGCCTTGAGTGTCAAGGCCAAGGCCATGGGACATGGTCTGTGATATGGTTTAGACATATGACCCCTCCAAATCTCATGTTGAAATTTGATCTCCCTGTGTTGGTGGTGGTCTAGTGCGAGGTGTTTGGGTCACAGAGGTGGGTCCCTCACGAACCGTGTAGTGCCGGGCTCATGGTAATGAGTGAGTTCTCCTCACTATAGATTCCCTGCGAGAACAGAAAAGAGCCTGGCACCCCCTCCTCTCTCACTTCTTTCCTTCTGATACAGGAACCTCTTCTCCTTCTGACGTGAGTGGGAGCTTCCTGGGCCTTCATCAGAAGCAGGTGCTGGCCCCTTGCTTTCTTTCTTTTCTTTCTCTTCTCTTCTATTCTCTTTTCTTTTCTTTCATGAGGTCTCACTTGCCCAGGCTGGAGTGCAGCGGCACAATCACAGCTCACTGCAGCCTCTACCTCCTGGGCTCAAGCAATCCTCCTACCTCAGCCTCCTGAGAAGCTATGACTACAGGCACATGCCACCACACCGGCTGATTTATCTAACCTTTTGTAGAGACAGGGGTCTCACTCTGTTGCCCAGGCTGGTCTTGAACTTTTGGCTTCAAATGATCCTCCCATCTCAGCCTCTCAAAGTACTGGGATTACAGGCACGAGCCACCATGCCCAGCCAGCACCATGCTTCTTGTAGTGCCTGCAGAACTGTGAGCCAAATAAACCCTGCTTCTTCATAAATCTCCCAGCCTCTGGTATTCCATTATAGCAATGCAAATGGGCTAAGACAGTCTGCATGATGCCCTGAGCCCCAGTGCCAGGCAGCCCATGCCAGCAGCCACTCACCAGGGTTGGGGTTATCTTGCAGGGCCACAACATACTTAGATCTCTTCCGGAGCCCCTCTAGGAAGGTGACCACCAGGTCACGAATGTCCTCGGCATTGCTGGAGGTGAAGGTGTATTCGTCCCCCTTGATGGTGGCCAGCGTGAAGCTGGAGGCAGTCATTTTCACTCCCCTGCAGGACCAACACGGAGAACAGGGCCCCGCCGGGGTCAGTCCTGCCCAGCCTGAGCGAGGCGCAGCACAGCCAAGATCAGAGCAGCCCAGTGAGAGCCAGACACGACACTCCCTGAAGGAGACCAAGGCCAGTCGAGTCAGACATGGCCCAGCCAGTAGGGGATGTGGCCCAGCTCAGCACATCTCAGGCTAAGTCAGAGCTGGCCTGGCCAGAGGCAGGCATGGCCCAGAGGGAGACCCACACTGGCCTGGCCCACTTCTTCCTTGCTTGTCTAATTTCTACTCACCCTTTAAATCTCAGCCTACATGCCACTTCCTCCAGGAAGTCCTCCCTGCCCTCCCACAGTCCTCATCATACCCTGCTTTAAAATGGCCTGCTCAATGTCTGTCTCCCCGCTTTGACTGAAGATCCAAGAGGACAAGGACTACTTGTCACCACTGCATCCTATGTGTCTGGCATGTATCAGGTCTGAACTGAAACAGTCTGACTCCAGCCCCTATCAGACGCAGCCCAGAGACACTGCTACAAGCCCCAGATGGCAGGGGAGGGAACCACTGCACTGCTCGGAATGCCAGCCAATCCCAGCAACCCACCCCACCATCCCATCTGCGTGCACCGCGCTTTGCAGTTTATAAAGGGCTCTCCCATCTATTTTTGCATTTCTTCCTCACCACTGTTATGGGAGGAAAGTATTAAGACTCCTGTTGTAGGAACGAAGACATAGAGTGAGTCCTACCCAGACCCCTGAACCCCAGGCCAAGCTCTTTTGTATACACTTGCCTGACCCTCACTGTCCCGACCACCCGGTCCTGTCTCAGAACAGCCTTCATGTGCTGTGAAGCCCACGCCCATCCTTCCAGCAGAAGGAGGTGCCAGAGAGGTCTGCACAGTGTGGCACAAACTGCCCAATCACGTGCAACCAGGGCAGGCCACTTCGTGTCTGTTCGCTTCCTGTGACCTGCAGGGAAGCTTCGGGCCCTCTCCTTCCCCCCTGTCTGTCTGTATCTCCATGCGGCCCTCCTCACCTGCTGCTGGACACGGCCATGATCTCTGGGAAGGACAGCTCCAGAAGGACCTGCTCCTGCTCATCCACAAAGTACACGCCTGTCCAGTTCACGGCCACAATGACGTCATTCTTGGGGAGGCTGGGGCCTGGGGTCCAGACCAAGGCACTGAGAGGGAGGCCTCCTGTCCCCAGGCCCAGCCCTTCCCAATCCTCATGACAGCCAGGCAGGTGGCAAGGGTGGCAGTACACTGATTTCAATTTACAGATAGAGAAACTGAGGCTCAGAGAGCACAAACTCCCCACCTGGCAAAACCCAAAGTGCAGTGGGAAGAGAGTGCTGAATCAGGAAATTGGTTTGGGTCCCACTCCTGCCATTGGTCTTTGTGCAGCTTTGGACTAAAGTGAGATCTGAGGAGAGGCTGGACTGAGGCCCAGGGTTCCCTCTGGCCTTGGTGCTTGGTGGTTCTGTAAACAGCAGCATCAGCACAGGGCCTGGCACAGAGTAGGTGCACAGTAACAATGGCCCAAGGGCGGCTGAGCCAGTGGCCTGCATGGGTTTGTATCTGCTATTCTTGACTTCATGGAGTCAGCCCAGCAGGGCTGTCCCTGACTGAACTCTAGGTCACCCTGTTCTATACACAGTACGTGTCTTAATGATTCAATCTTCACTCAGCTTTTCAATCCAGTGTGCCACTGAGCACATAAGATGTGCCATGAAGTCACTACTGGGTGTCGGGAGGCAGGACCAGCACAGCCGCATTGACCAGAACAAACCAAGCAGGCCGCAGGCTGGAGTTCCACTGACAGGGGCCCTGCCTCAAGCTGCTTCCCTCCCCTGTTGTGGGCTGAGCCACAAAGCCAGGGGCCTCGCAGGCTGGGGGTACCTGAGAATTTGTAGGCTTCATAAAACCTGGAGAAGAGCAAGGGCCACTTGAAGCGGGCATAATTGACCACATCTTCTTTCACCTTCTGGGCATCAGTTCTCCTCTGGGCATAAATCCCCTAAAGGGACAGAGTGACAGAGGACAGAAGACAATGTATGAGTGAGTTTGCTCTACAAATCAGCAGCCGCTGCCTTCTAGCCAGGAGCAGCGTGGGGTTCTCACACCTCCCGTGCATGGTGGCCCAGTTCTGCTCCCATCTGTCTGCACCTGCCCTGTTCCACCTTTCTCATTCATCAACATCAGTGAGCACTTGTGAGTGCCCTCTCTATGCAGGTGCTGGGGCCCAAAGTCAGGGAAAATATAGGTGCCCCTCCAGGGAGCTCTCAGTTCAACAGAGACAGGGAAGCAAGGATTCCAGCCAGAGCCTGTGGGAGGCCCAAGGCCCCTGGTCAGCAGGAGGCATGCGCAAGGTAGACTAGGAAGAGAGGGAATGGGGACACAGCATGGGAAGCCAGGGGACACAGGTCCCGGGGGACTGTGAGTGTAGCCACAACTGCAAGAAACCGATCTGGCAAATCTGGGAGTTAGATCAGTGTCAAGGGGGAACTGGAGTTTGGAGGTGAGATGAGCCGTGAGGGGTGCTGCCATGCTCTTGGTAAGATCCAAAGCCAGACACGGTGGCTCACGCCTGTAATCCCAGCACTTTGGGAGGCTGAGGTGGGCGGATCACCTGAGGTCAGGAGTTTGAGACCAGCCGGGCCAACACGGTGAAACCCCGTCTCTACTAAAAAATACAAAAATTAGCCAGGCATCGTGGTAGGCGCCTGTAATCCCAGCTACTAGGGAGGCTGAGGCAGCAGAATTGCTTGAAACCAGGAAGCAAAGGTTGCAGTAAGCTGAGATCGAGCCATTGCACTCCAGCCTGGGGGACAAGAGTGAGACTTCGTCTCAAAAAAAAAAAAAAAAAAAGATACAAAAGCACCAGCATTGTGTTTCTCTAAAAATATTCTCCCAAGCCCTAAGGAGAACTTGGGGGTGTTGGGGTGGCATCGGACGGGTCAGAATCAAAGCCTGGCCTTTATAGTATGTAGACACAGGCGTAGATAAGGGTGCATGTGTATGCCAGCTCACAGACGGCCCCATCTCCACCTACAAGAGAGGCCATGAGGGGTGCCATCCTGAGAGCAGTGAGAATTCAAAGGCAAAGGGCTCAATGTCACCAATCCAAGCTCAAATGACTCAGAGAGAATACATATGTAGGTGGAGAGGCAAATCACAGAGCAAGTGTGGCTGTCACCTGGCGAATCTGGGAGGCGAAGTGCGCGCAGTGGTCCTATTTTTTTGAATGTGGAACTTCTCTGTACATATGAAATTATTTCAAAATAAGATGTTTTCAAAACACTTCCCTGTTATGGACTGAATTGTGTGCTTCCTTCCCCACCCCACCATATTTGCATATTAAAGTCCTCACCCCAGCAACTCAGAATGCAACCCTATTTGGAGATAAGGTCTTTAAAGAGGTCACTAATGAGATCTTTTGGATGGGCTGTAATCCGATATGACCAGTGACCTTTTGAGAGGAGGACAAGTGGATACAGAGGTGCATGTGCACGCATCAACGTGTGGTGACAGATGGAGAAGACTGCCATCTGCAGGCCGAGGGGAGAAGCCTCAGGAGAAAGCACCCTGCGGACACCTTGATCTTGGAGCTCCAGGCTCCGGAACTGGAAGGAAATACATTTATTTCTGTTGTTGAAACCACCTAGTCTGTGGCACTTGGTTATGGCAGACCTAGAAAATGAATAATGCACCCTCCTGCCCTACAAAAACTGTGATTCCCAAATGAGGGGCCTGGCCCAGGGCTCCAGGACAGACATGCTGAGGAGCGCCAGTCCAGGAAAGACCCAGCCCAGCAGTGGGCGCCAAAGGGCAGAAACCATGTCTGTCCCACAAAGGGCTGTGTCTCCAGATCCTGGTATGATGCCCAGCACATGGCAAGTGCCCAAAATAAAATGAATGCATAACAGCACCCCACCCACATGCCACAATGGCGGTGAACCCCAAGGGAGTCCTTAGGGAGGTGGGGGTGGGGGCTGCAGCTGTTTGAGACACAGCTGAACAGGCTGCAGTGGGTGCCAGCACATGAAGGCCGAGGGAGAGGAGGTGGCTGAGGATGAAGAACAGGGTTCTCACTTGAGGGGCAGAGGGGTGGCAGGAAGGACACACTTCTTCTCTGAAGGGAGGCTCAGTGGGGTGAGGGCCTTGGGGAAGCAGGCCTGGATGAAGAACCTGGCACAGGGAGCACTCAGGATTCAGGGGGGCAGAGCCTGGTGGGGAGCTGACCAGAGAAGGCACAGGATCAAGTGGGGGGTGGCACAGAGCTCCCAGGTGAGGACAGATGCCTCGAGATCTGTGGCGCCCTCAGACTGTGGAGCCCTAGGCTTATGTACAATTCTCTTGTACAGCCAGTGCCATGGAAATGAGGAGGCCTTGGGTCCCCTACCAGCAGCCAGTGGCCCATCTTCTCCCCATCTGGACACCCATGCTTTACTTGGGCAGGTCCTTAGCTTGGGAGGGAACCACTCATAGCTGATTATGGGCCTGGGCTCCAAGCAAGGAGGTCAAGGGGGCCTGTCTCTAAAGCTCCCCAGGCAGGAAGTTGGACTGAAGTTCTTTTAGGAAGAAGGAGGTGCACTTCCTGAGGCTGTGTCTAGTGCCCACCGCCACTCCTAAGCCCTGGAAGCTGCAGCACCAACAAGTGGCTGGCACAAGACCAGGAAAGGGGGCCCCAATACCTGTGGCCCCACAGAGGCTGCAGGGTTAAGTGTGATCCCCTCTGTGTGCCTGGCACACAGATGGCAGGAGAATGAGTGAGCTGATGCCAATGAAGGAAGGGCCACTGGGATGCAGGAGGTCAGGTGCCATCCCATCCCCTGCAACCCCAACAGACAGGTTCAGGTGAGGACTGGGACCTCCTTGGTTGCTTGGGTCCACGTCCCTTCTTTATGACTCCTCCCAGCCCTCTACCTTCTTGTGGGCGGCAATGGCCAGCTGGGCCCACTTCTCCAGCGTCTTCAGGGGTGTGATCTCACGGTCAGGGATGTAGGTAGGCACAAGGTTCAGGAGGCGCTCCAGGATCATTTCAGAGCCATAGTCCACAAAGTACTGCTGGGAGGCCAGCTCAGCCAGGTCGTCCTCCTAGGTGGGGGAGGCCTCAGTCATGCACTGGCCCAGGCCCTCCAGGAAGCCCTTCTAAACCACCAGAGGCTCCAGGCCCCTCTCCCGGCCCTACCTCCTGTAGCTCTCAAGATCCCCGCCTTTGGGACCCAGGCTTCTCACTGATTCACCAGGGAATTCTTGTCTGCTCAGAGGAATCATGAGCTCCACAAAGGCAGAGCCACACCCTCACTTCTTCCTGGGTCCCTTTAGCACTGGCATTGAGCTGATCTCTGCTCAGGGGCACACGAAGTGACCCAAAAAACAAGGCGGCCCATCAAGTAGCCACTGCACACTCAGCCCTGTGAGACAGTGACTGGAGCTGACAAACAGCAGAAGAGGAAGTGTCTGTCTTGGAGAATGGGAGACCTGGGGCCTGCTGGAGGGTCAGAGTGAGGGGAGTGCCTCACTGTGACTGCCTCTATCACAATCCTTAAGCACTGGGGGAATAAAGTGGTTAACAGCTGGCAGGATCTACTGCAGAGGGTCAGAGAGCCGAGCAGCCACTGGGCATCTTCCCCTTCTCTGCTTGGCCTGGTGCACAGCAGCCCCAGTGATGCCTACCTGAGGCTCCGCAGGCCTCCAGCAGCAAGGGCATAGAGAAAGGCTCTTGGGGTCTTGAAAGCAATAGGTATTTTCAAACTAGCTTGGAATATTTCAGAATTTTAGCAACTGATGTGTCTATACTAATGCATTCTGCCTGAATATTTGCTTCCCACCACCAATACCACCATTATCATTTTTCTTTTCTTTGTAAACCAAGCAAAAGTTTTATTGGGGAAGTACAAGTACACTCCAGGAGAGAAGTGGGCTGGCTCTGCTGGAAACACCCCCATGACATTGTGCATTGTGATCATCTGTTGCCTCAGTTCTTTATCCAGTTCTCACCAAAGTTTGGGGGATCCTTCCTTACTCTGCTTAATGCACATGTATGGGAACCAGTGATCAATACCAATCCTATCTAATGGTGGCACTGCTTCTTACCGCTACCCCAGGAAGGTAGAGCAGTCAATTTTGTACTCATTGTGCCTGCTCAGCTCTCAGGAATTCCCCTTTCTTATCAGGATCTAGTTAACAACATTCTGATAGCTCAACCATGGAGTGAGTACTGGGCATCCTAAGACATGGTGAAATTCTTTCCAACAAGGACACCTCCCCCTTGTCCCTGCTCATATCTGACTGTCTACTCTTACACTTCTCCCTCAAGTAGCTGGGACCCATCGAGGACCATCGAGGGTCTTCAGGGTCCTTCCTCCCCTCTTTGAAGCAAGGGAAGCAGCGCTGGATGATGGAAAGAGAGGTGACAGGTGTTCCCTGCCCAGCATGTCAACCAGCATTGGCAACATTTTGTGCCTTCAAGGAATCTGGGGATGGCTTCAGACAAAGCTTTCACCATGGAGAATACCAAAAACGTGGTACTTCTGTCCAGCATTATGAATGTGATGACTGTGGCATGGCTTTTGGGCATATCTCACAACTTAATGGACATCAGAAAATCCATCAGGTAGGGGAAGCCCACAGATATGGTGAAAACACGAAGGCCTTTAGGCATCGCTTATCATTTACAATGCTCCAGAGAATTCGCACACTATTTAAACACTTTGTATGTAACCAATGTGGCGAAACTTTTAACAGACTTTCAAAGATTATTCAACATCGGAGCATGCACAATGGACTGAAGCCATACAAATGTGATGTATGTCAAAAGGCCTTCAGGTTTCTCTCATCCCTCGCTATATATCAGAGGTTTCATGTCGACCAGAGACTAAACCTGACTCAGCATCAAAAAACTCTTACTCAAAGGAAGCCCTTTTCCTGTAACTTTTGTGGAAAAACCTTTTGCTATTTCTCAGAAAAAAACTCAACATCTATTAATTCATACTAGAAAGAAATATTACACATGTAATTATTGCAAAAAGGAGTACAATCCATACTCCAAATTTATTCTACATCAAAGAACTTATAGAGGAGAGAAACCCCACAAATGTGATGTTTGTGAGAAATCTTTTAAAAGCATCTCAAATCTTAATAAACATTAGAAAACTCATACTGGAGAGAAGCCCTTTTCATGTAATGAATGTAAAAAAGCCTTTGCCCAGCGCAAGGATCTTGCTCGCCACCAACAAATCCATATTGGAAGAAAATCTTTTATTTGTAGTAATTGTAAAAAGGCCTTTGCAAGGATGTCAGATCTAACACAACATCGAAGAATTCACACAGGAGAGAGACCTTACCAATGTATGACTTGTGAAAAAACCTTTAAATATCGGCCAAACTTGACTAAACCTCAGAAAACTCATTCTATAGAGAGGCCCTTTACATGTAATGAATGTGGAAAGACCTTTCACCTTAACGGGGAACTTAATCACCATAAAATAATTCACACTGGAGAGAAACGCTATGAATGTGGCGAATGTGGAAAGCGTTTTAACAATAATTCAAATCTTAATAAACATAAGAAAATAAAAAAAATCAACAAGACTACCACCACTACCTCCACCATCACCATCATCACTAATGATGGTGACCATCATCATAACGATGGTTACTACCTCAACCCACCATCACCATCATCACTACTAACAACACTATCACCACCATCATCACTACCAACACTATCACCACCATCATCACTAACAATACTATCACCACCATCATCACTAACAATACTATCACCACCATCATCACTACCAACACTATCACCACCATCATCACTACCAACACTATCACCACCATCATCACTACCAACACTATCACCGCCATCACTAACAATACTATCACCACCACCATCACTAACAATACTATCACCACCATCATCACTAACAATACTATCACCACCATCATCACTACCAACACTATCACCACCATCATCACTACCAACACTATCACCACCATCATCACTACCAACACTATCACCACCATCATCACTAACAATACTATCACCACCATCATCACTACCAACACTATCACCACCATCATCACTACCAACACTATCACCACCATCATCACTACCAACACTATCACCGCCATCACTAACAATACTATCACCACCACCATCACTAACAATACTATCACCACCATCATCACTAACAATACTATCACCACCATCATCACTACCAACACTATCACCACCATCATCACTACCAACACTATCACCACCATCATCACTACCAACACTATCACCACCATCATCACTAACAATACTATCACCACCATCATCACTACCAACACTATCACCACCATCACTAACAATACTATCACCACCATCATCACTAACAATACTATCACCACCATCATCACTACCAACACTATCACCACCATCATCGCTACCAACACTATCACCACCATCATCACTACCACCACTACCTCCACCATCACCATCATCACTAATGATGGTGACCATCATCATAACGATTGTTACCACCTCAACCCACCATCACCATCATCACTACTAACAACACTATCACCACCATCATCACTACCAACACTATCACCACCATCATCACTACCAACACTATCACCACCATCATCACTACCAACACTATCACCACCATCACTACCAACACTATCACCGCCATCATCACTACCAACACTATCACCACCATCACTAACAATACTATCACCACCGTCATCACTAACAATACTATCACCACCATCATCACTACCAACACTATCACCACCATCATCGCTACCAACACTATCACCACCATCATCACTACCACCACTACCTCCACCATCACCATCATCACTAATGATGGTGACCATCATCATAACGATTGTTACCACCTCAACCCACCATCACCATCATCACTACTAACAACACTATCACCACCATCATCACTACCAACACTATCACCACCATCATCACTACCAACACTATCACCACCATCATCACTACCAACACTATCACCACCATCACTACCAACACTATCACCGCCATCATCACTACCAACACTATCACCACCATCACTAACAATACTATCACCACCGTCATCACTACCAACACTATCACCATCATCATCACTGCCTCCACCATCATCACCACCAACAAGACCATCACTACCTCCACCATCACCATCAGCACCAACAACACCATCACTACCTCTACCAATGTTACCACCACCAACCATCCTCTTGATTTCCATCACCTCCTTTCTCATCCATCCATCACAATCACCAACAGAACCATAGCAACCATTACTATTATAAAAAACAAAATAACTGCGTAACTCCTGTCCACAGAAGGAGAAAAAAGAATACACATTTGCAAGTTCTGATTTCAAGGAATGGCTATCTTTCTCATTTAGAGCAGCTATTACTAGACTCACTCAGAACAGTGCAGCAGGTCCTGAGGCACATCCCCTGGAGCAGCACAATCACTACAGCAGTGTGGGGGCCTCCTCCACTGGTGGAATTGAGGACACTCCTCAGAAGCCTTTGCTCCCGCCATCTTGCCTCTCCTGACAACCTCCCTGAGGTAGGCCGTGTACATTCAGGATCCTGGAGAGTGCCTGACCGCAGTCAGGCTCACCTCAGCCTGAGCTAATGATGGCCCAAACGTGGAAAACAGGCGGCTGTGAGTCAAGCCCTCTTGGCGGAAGATCCACTCCCACTCACCTTCTCACACCTGTATTCCCCAAACTTGACTCCTCGCACCACCTGCTGGTAGATGAGGTTGGTGGCCACATTGTCCTCGGAGGGGCTGTGCCAGGGCGTGAAGACCTCTTTGCGGAAGAAGAGCCTCCAGGGGGCGTTGCGCTCCTGGGCGCCCTGCTCCTTGGCGTACTGCTCACACTGGGAGATGGCGTCCATGACGTGGTCGCTGCCACTGCCCAGGGAAGACACCTGTGGGCACAGCGGGGAGGTGAGCAGGCACGAAGTCAGGAGCCTCGACGGTGCCAACGGTCGGTTCAGACAGAAAACCGAGGCCCAGCGAGGGGCAGGGACACGGGCAGTGCCCACAGGAGGCAGACCAGATCCTAGCCCTGGGATCTGAGCCCACCATTGCCTTCCTAGCCTCAGTTCTGGGCACCATGACGTGGAAATTCCCATTTTCCAGTGGAAGCCTTTTGGGAAACTGGCCAGAGTCCCTGGAAACACAGGGGCATCGATGAGAAAAACCCAGGCAAACTGTCCAGTCACAAGGTACCTCCCTGGGCGTGCAGGCAAGGGGCCCCTCTGCTGCGCACAGTGTTGCCAGGGGTGGAGGCAAAATCCCCCAAGCCCCACGTCCCTCTCCGCTGAGGTGGCTCCCGCCTCCGAGGTAAGTCTGCGGGTTGCCCTTGTTCCTGCTGCTTGAGGGCAAATGTGAAGGAACTCCCGTTTGCCGAGGAGTTTCTCCATCAGACGCCATAGCAACCAGACAAGGAATTCCATTCCCATTTGCACACGAGGGCTACGCAGGCCTCCCATCAGCCTGTGCCATGCCCGTCCTTCAGCTCCAGGAGAGGATCACTGGGCCTGGGCACACAGGACTGAGGGCATCCTACTGCTGGGTTTTCCCTCTGGTGCTGAGGAGCTCTGGGCAGTTCTAAGGAGTCAGGCAGAGCCGATTAGCCTGGGCTCAGGGGGAAGTTGATGTGCTCTAGGTTGAGTAGCCCCTGCCAGTAGGTGGCAGCACTGGGCGGCAGGGAGTGGGGCTGGGAGGAGGCACTTATGGGAGGCCATACCTTGTCAAACAGGGCAATGTAGAGGGAGAACCCAAAGCGGTCCTTGAGAGAGATCTTGTCGGCCAGTGCGTTGCAGAGCTCCTTGGCGGTGGTCGCTGAGTCTGTCAGCAGGGTCTTGGTGGTCCCGTCCATGAATGTCACGGGCAACATGATTGGCTTCTTGGACTTGGTGGCCTGGAAGTGCCCCAAGAGGGTTTGTGGGGTCCCTTCCCTTCAGACCCGCTTGCCCCTCCAGACTCTGGCTCTCTGCTTTCTGTGGGGTTGGAGCTTCCCCGGAGCCCCAGGCCCCAGCACCTCACTGGGACACCGCCTGTCCCTGTCACAGATGTCTAGGGAGTCCTGCTGTGCACCCCACCCCAATGGGACCTTAAGAACCCCTGAGCCAGGCCTGGGGTTGAGAGGTCAGGACTGCCACGGGCTAGGGGCCTCTGCTTCACTTCATATAACCTTTACCATGTGGCAGGTAAAGCCATTGAGACACAGAGGGACTCTCCCTTGCCCAAGTTGCCTTGACCATAAGCCCAGCAAATGAAGTTCCTTATCCCTTGGGAGCTTTTCTGCTGCCATGGGCCTGGGGTTCCAGAACTTGAGGTTGGGTGCTTGAGGAACCACAGAGTCCCAAAGCAGGGAATGTTTCTGGGGCACCCGAGTGCACTGGACACACACACACACACAAACACGCACGCACTCATGCACATGCATGCATGCACACACACACACACACAAGAGCACACACCTACACACACACACAAGCACACACTCGTGCGCACATGCACACAAGCACATGCACACACACACACACACGAACCTGCAGCTCCAGCCAGCTGGGCGGCTGTGTCCGTGTTCCATTGACAAAAGTCCTTCTCAGGCGTTCCTCACAGTACGGGGCGTAGCCAGGAGGGCCCCCATGGATGAAGTTCCGCAGGTACTGCAGCCAGAGCACCCACTGAAGCAGCCCCACCGCGGTCCCAGGGCTCACCATGTGTTTTGTGAGGGCAGCCTCCAGCCCTCCCCACCACTGGGAGGCCGCTCCTCCAGGCCAGGCTGCTTTCAGTGGCTTCCCTACCCTCGAGCCTCCACTGCCTATTTCCAGCCACATCTGCAGCCTCCCCAACCTCCCCCTAGCTCAGCCTAGTGGCTCCCCCCCATACCCCTTTACAGCACCAGCCAATCGGGTTAGTTCTGCCATGACCTGCTCCACTCTGACCCCAGCACCCAGGGCCTGCCCCAAGACAAGGGTGCAGAGGGCCCAGGACATGCTCCTGTCAGACTCAACATCATCCTAAGTAGAATGGGGCTGAGGGGAGTGTGGGGCAAAACAGTGGCTTTCTGCGAGAAGGGGGGTGCTAGGAAGATGAGGCCCAGTGGGTGGGGTGGCCAGGTGGGCCTTATGACCAGGCCCTTCGGAGCCCCTGGCTCTTGCTCTCCCCACAGTGCTGAGACAGGGCCTGGCTCCCCTTCCCACTCCAGGAGGCCAAGCGCTTTCCAACCTTGACAAACTTCTCGGAGGGGGCAAAACAGCCGACACAGAGAGACACGAGGATCCAGCCCCGGGCATAGCTGCTCTTGGAGGGGTTGTGTGTCAGCTGCTTGCTGATCTGGCAGTAGATCTCGTCCCTGGACAGGCAGTGGGGCAAGGGAGAGGGAATCACCCAGAGAACAGCCCCGGCACCCACCTCCTCCCAGCAGCCTGTGGGACACCACATAGCTGTCCTCCCCAATTTGCCAAGACCACCCAAGAGGAGGCAGAGTGACGCTGGGTGGCAGCGCCGAGCCCAGGCTGGGGTCTGACTTTGGAGACAGGATCATTAGGCATAAAGCACATCTCCAGCTCCAATCCAGATCCCACAGCCAGGGTCCCACCATCCAGGGTGGTGAGTATCCTGCTCTGGACTCAGCGGCCACAACTACTGGTGACCATACTGACAAGAAGCGCAGTCTCTGCCTCGCCTCCTTCCTGACCAGTGGTGGCCCAAGCAGGTGAGTTCGCCTCTCTGACACCAGCCCATAGTCGCGGCAGCAGGTGCAACCTCTACCCATGGCAACGGACAGAGCATGAACAGGAAAAGCATCCTGGGGTGTCAATGGGGAATGGAATGAGTAGAAACTTTGTCTCTGGTCTATTTCCGTGATGTTTGAACATTTAAGGCATATTTCTGTACTGTTTGAATGTATGACTTTTGTAATGGGATGAAAACAAGGTAATTTTTGGTGTTCATTTTAAAGGAATCCTTACAAGACTGCTGTGAAGATGAATGAGCCAAGGCTTATGACGCACCTAGCACAGTGCCAGGCGCAGTGAGCCCCTCATAAATGCCAGCTGCAACTACTGCTGTTCTTGTTCTTGGGAACGGTTCTTCTCTTCTGCAAACTGGGTACTGCAGCTGCCTGTTCCAGGACAAGGGCAGGATCCATGACACTGCAGTGACCGCCAGGGGGCACTCACTACTGCTCTTCTCTCTCGAAGGACAGGGCTGGGATGACCTAATTCAGTGGCTCACCAGTTTTGAGTTTACAATTTCAAAGTAAATTCAGAAGTTAACCATTTTTTTATCATGATAAATGAGAATATTTATAACACTCACAACCTTCCCACTATCTAGATCCCAATTATTTCATAAACAAAGGTAATTTTATATATTCCAAAAGTAGGAAGGGCAAAATCTCAGAGCAGTCTTTTAAAGAAAACAAGCTTAGCTTTAGAAACATCCCTCCTTTTCCCACCTTGTCACAGACTAGTGAAATGTTATCACCTGCAGCTGGGAGTCCCCATTCACTTTACAGATGGGGAGACCGAGGCCGAGAGCAGGGAGGGATTAGCTGTGCAAGGCCCTTCAAAGAGTTGACACCCCAGCCTTTGGACTCTTGGCTCAGGGCTCCTGGCACCATGTTTTCTAGAAGTGTCAGCTGTAGCTGTGATGGTGAGGTGATTTGGAGGCAGATTCTTGCCCCTGAGACATGCCTGCAGCAGCTGCCTTTTCCTCCTGTTGGCGGGTGACCCTGCATGGTGTGGCCACCTCTAGCCAAGTAGTGATTGGCCATGGGGAGCAATAAAAGGGGAGCCTGGCAACAGGCAGGAGGTCTAGTGACCCCTGGGCAAGTCTCTTCCCTACTCTGGACCTCAGTTTCCCCATCAGGAAAGTGAGACTCGATCCCGCCCCATCCTGCTGTCCTCCCAACCAGCACACACACATTCATAGCATCAGCTCTCCTGACTGACCTGTCCTGTGCAGAGACTGTTCTCAGAAAAGTCCTACCCCTCCTCTCACCAGCTTAGTTGATTTTTTCGTGGCTCCTGGTGACTCCTGGGTCTTCCCTTCAACTCCCCCAAACCCCAGGGACCTGGGTAAAGGCCTCTCCTGGGCCTGGGGAGAAGGAAGCACTTGCAGGATTCCCAGGCACGCAGCCCACAGTAACCCTGACCATGGGCTTACTTTTTTATCAGATGTCAGACCCAACTGATAAATGTTAGGTGTGTTCTGACTGCTCTACCGACCAGCCATTCCCCCACCTCTCTCCCTCTCCTCAGGCCTCCTGATTCCCCAGGACACCCATGGGGTGGGTGACTAGAGGTGAGCAGGCAGCAGGGGATTAAAGCAGGAAATGCATGTTGGATGATGATCAACGCTACCATCCACAGGGTGCTTACTATGCTCCAGGTCTTGTGCTACACATGCTTCTTAGCTTTGTCTTCCCACAAGCCTATGTATGAGGTCACTACTGCAGGCACACCTCTTTTTCTTGTACTTCACTTTATTACACTTCACAGACGCTGCGTTTTTACAAATTGGTTTAAGGCGACCCTGCATGGAGCAAGCCCACCAGCCCCATTTCTCCAACAGCATGTGCTCACTTCACTTTCTGTCACATTTTGGCAATTCTAGAAATATTTCAAACTTTTTCAGGATTACTAGATTTGCTATGGTGATCTGTGATCCGCAATCTTTAATGTTCCTATTGTAATTGTTTTGTGCACCATGAGCCATGCCCATAGAAGATGGCAGACCCAACTGATAAATGTTAGGTGTGTTCTGACTGCTCTACCGACCAGCCATTCCCCCACCTCTCTCCCTCTCCTCAGCCTCCTGATTCCCCAAGACACAGTCATATTGAAATTAGAACAACTAATAACCCTACAATGGCCTCTGGGTGCTCAAGTGAAAGGCAGTGTCACACATTTTTCACTTTAAATCAAAAGCTAGAAATGATTAGAGAGGAAAGCATGTTGAAAGCCTAAACAGACCCAAATCTGGGCCTTTTGTGCCAAGCAGTTAACCAAGTTGTGAATGCAAAGGAATAGTTCCCGAAAGACATCAAAAAATGCTACTCCAGTGAACACACACGATAAGAAAGTGAAACAGCCTTATTTGCTGATATGGAGAAAATTTTAGGGGTCTGAATAGATCAAACCAGCCACGACATTCCCTTAAGCCAAAGCCTAATCTAGAGGAAGGCTCTAAGTCTCTTCAACTCTATGGAGGCTGAGAGAGATGAAGAAGTTGGAGAAGGTAAGTTGGAAGCTCACAGACATTGCTTCATGAGGTTTAAGGCAAGAAGCTGTCTCCAAAATATAAAAGTGGAAGGTAAAGCACCACGTGCTGATGGAGAAGCTACAGCAAGTTTTCCAGAAGGTCTAGCTAATACCATTGATGAAGGTGGTTACATTCAACAAGAGATTTCCCATGTAGATGAAACAGTCTCCTATCGGAAGAAGATGTCACCTGGACTTTCATAGCTAGAGAGAAGTCAATGCCTGGCGTCAAGTCTTCAAAGGCCAGACTGACTCTCCTGTCAGGAGCTAATGCAGCTGCTGACTTTAAATTGAAGCCAATGCTCATTGACCATTCCAAACATCCTTCATTCTAGGGCCCTTAGGGAGAGTAATGTTTTCATGTCTGCTAATGCAGCATCCATTCTGTAGCCCATGGATCAAGGAGTCATTTTGGCTTTCAAGTCTTATTTAAGAAATACATTTAGGCTGGGTGTGGTGGCTCACACCTGTAATCCCCGCACTTTGGGAGGCCAAGGAGGGCAGATCATGAGGTCAGGAGTTCAAGACCAGCCTGACCAACATGGCAAAACCCCGTCTCTACTAAAAAAAAAAAAATACAAAAATTAGCTGGATGTAGTGGCAGGTGCCTATAATCCCAGCTACTCAGGAGGTTGAGGCAGGAGAATCGCTTGAACCCAGGAGGCGGAGGTTGCAGTGAGCTGAGATTGTGGCATTGCACTCCAGCCTGGGCTACAAGAATGAGACTCCATCTCAAAAAAAAAAAAAAAGACATTTTGTAAGACTATAGCTGCCATAGATAGTGATTCTTCTGGTGGATCTGGGTAAAATCAACTGAAAACCTTCTGGAAATTATTCACTATTTTAGATGCCATTCAGAACATTCATGATTCATGGAAGGAGGTCAGATTATTAACATTAATAGGAGTTTACAAGAAGGGGATTCCAACCTCCATGAATGACTAAGGGGTTCAAGACTTCAAGAGGAAGTAACTGCAGATGTGGTGGAAATCAGTAGCAAGAGAACTAGAATGAGAAGTGGGGCCTGAAGATGTGACTGCGTACTGCCATGTCACGATTAAACTTCAGGGGATGAGGAGTTGCCTCTTATGGATGAGCAAAGAAAGTGGTTTCTTGAAATGGAATCTACTGGTGAAGATGCTGTGAACATTGTTGAAATGACAACAGAGGATTTAGAATACTGCATCAACTTAATTGATAAAGCAGCAGCAGGGTTTGAGAGGATTGACTCCAATTTTGAAAGAAGTTCTACTGTGGGTAAAATGCTGTCAAACAGCATTGCATGCTACAGAGAAATTTTGTGTGGAAGGAAGAGTCCATGTATGCAGCAAATTTCCCCACTGTCTTATCAAGGAACTGCCGCAGCCATCCCAACCTTCAGCAACCACCGCTCTGATCAGTCAGCAGCCATCAACTTCAAGGCAAGACCCTCCAGGAAATAGGAACAGCTTTTTTGCATCCCAGCACTGACCGGAGTGCTGGCCGCAGGATGCCGTTGCCGATGATGAAGTGCAGCTTCTCCAGGTTGGAGGTGGGCCGGTCCTCCAGCATGCTGTTGCCCTGCACTGTGGACTCCCCATCGTGCAGTCTCTTGGTCACCTGGGCCAAAGGAGAGGACAGGGCAGGTGAAGTTAGGGACGTTGCCTCTGCCAGCCAGGGCACCAGCACCTGAGGCTGCCTGCTCCACAGAAAGCAGAATCTAAGGAGTGAGCAGAAGAACCAGGCTCCCCACCATGTGCAAAGCAGATGCTGGGCCAATAACTGGCCCACACAGCCGGGACACACTGGCCCAGTGCCACCTGATTCTGGAGACAGAGCTCCTCTGCCGTGTCCTCAATACCCTGCACCCCAGGGAGGTCCTCTCAGCCAGCACATGGACCTGCTCTTCTGACTCCAAGCAGGACCCCTATCTCTCTGGGGTGGCCCACATACACATAACTGTGGCACCTGGAGTATACCTCAGGTTCCAACCACCGGTCACCATCACCCTGCCACCAACACCCTTAGCCTTGATGTGACACAGCCCGCAGCACAAGCCCCGAGCTCTGTCCAGAAGATGGAGTGAGTGAGAGTTGAGTGGCAGAAGTGGGTGCTGCAGACGGAACACCATGGAGGGCCCTCATGTTTACTGAACACCCTCAGCTGCCATCTCCACCATCTTCCCAGCACCCCACAGAGTGGCCATTTTCTTCCGTGGGTCCCTTGAATACTGAGCGGCAGAGCTGAGATTCAAATCTGAGGCCACGCACCTGCAAGGCTGGATGTGTGCCTCAGGTGGGGACAGGATGAGGGCACAGGTGAAGTGAAAGCCCCTGACTCTGCAGTGAAGGGCTTGGGGAGACTTCCTGGAGGAGGTGACCCCAGGCAGAGAAAGAGGGTGTTTCAGGCAGAGGAACTGGCATGTGCACATGTGGGCTGTGAATGCCTTGGTTTGTGTCTGTCTCTCCCCCGCATCCTCCCCTGCCACATACACACCAGCCTGGACAAGCCCAGAGCACAAGGGCTGGGACAGTGCCCAGAAAAGGCAGGGTGACCGAAGAATGAATTCAAATAAATTAATGCCGTCCATGCTCCGTGAGCACTCTTGTCCCACAGAAAAGCTCCCATGCCTCAAAGATCCTTGGACTAAGTGCCTCGGGTCAGCACCTGGCTGAAAGTGTGCTCCCTCTCACCTGTGTCTTACGGCCTCTCCTGCTCTCAGTGCCCCCTAGGAAGCCCTTCCCCACCCCAACCTGAGATCCCACCTTCTTCAGGCACTCCTGTCTGCCTGATCACCCACCAAACCACCCATGTTGTCCCGTCCCTGGCCAGCCAAGACCCCTGAGGATAGACAGTGTCCACTCCTGCTCCTGCTCCCGGGGGCCCCCAGCTCAGCTGTGCTCCAGCCTAAGCCACCTAAGGCAGCCACCCATGGGCTGCCAGACCCCCAGAGTCTGCCCTCACCTCCTCTGTGAGCTTGGACTTCTTTTTCAGGGTCAAATGCACCAGCTTGTGCCTCACACTGCTCTTCTTCTGGCCCTCGGGGAGCTGGGCCTGCAGGACCAGCAGGGATCAGGGTCAAGCAGCTGAGCAGAAAGCATTGACGAGACCCCCTGACAGCAGGACTATGTGGGGGACCATCTCGCCTCCACATGAAGCTTACAGGGTACCCCCACAATGCCACCCACCACCCGCTCACCTCTACCCTTCCACCCCCACCAGCCAACTGGCAGTCAGGAAAAGTGAGACTCTGAAAACCATAGTACAGGAGCTGGCTCCAACTGCAGAGTCCCTGTATGCTCTGCCACGAGGCCCCTCAGTTATGGTCAGCACTATAAAGTTTCACACATTTGTTCCCACAAGTAGACAAAGGAGGGTGGGAGGCAGAGTCAGTGAGGCAAAGATGAATTATAGGAGCCTTTTTCTGCAGAGGAGCCCAAGGCTGGCAATGCCAGCAGCCCTCCCCGTCAGCCTGGGAGGGACATCAGCCGGAGGGCACCTTGGCCTCACCTCACCCTCGCCCTGCAGGGCCTGCAGCTCCCTCTTGTACGTCTTCTTGCCCAGGGTCTCATAAATCTTGGTCATCACGGGGATCTTCTCGCTGCCATCACTCATGGCGGTGTGGTACTTGGGCTCAGGGAGGTCCCCCATGAACCGGAGGATGGTGATCCAGACCGCTAGAGCTGCCTGGGGCAGAGTGCACATGTCAGGGGCCAGAGCGGAAGACATTGCTAAAGCCATCAAAATGAACTGGTGGTTTGGGGAGAAGGCTGACCCCCTACTTCATGGTCAGGCCTCAGGCTGGGCTCCACAGTGAAGACTATAGTCAGACCTGGTCCCTGGCCCCCAGGGATCCATCACACTCAGCACCTACAGCCACCAGCAGCAGCAGAGTCCACAGCCCCAGCCCTGGCCCTGTGACCTAGTGGCAGGCAGGCCTCACCAGCTGGTCCCCCTCATCCTCATGGTAGAGCAGTGGCTGTTTGAGTGGCCGCCGGGTATAGGAGTGTGTGGTTGTCCCCTGGAAGTAGGTGGCAGCAAACTTGGCAAATTTATACTCAGAGAGGTCCTCCTCATCCTCGTCAGGCAGGGGCAGGGCTGCATCCAGGTCCTCCTCCACCATCTCCCTCCGCCCTCGCTCCAGGTCCTGAAGGAGACAAGAGGCATGCCCTGAAGTCCCAGCTACTTGGGAAGCTCAGGTGGGAGGATTGCCTGAGCCCAGGAGTTCAACGCTGCAGTGAGCTGTGATCATGCTACTGCACTCCAGCCTTAGTGACAGAGTGAGACCCCATCTCAAAAAAAAACTGAAAAAACCCTTGAGAACGGCCTTGGAGAGGGACAGGCCCTGGCCCAGGTCATCTTGCTCCCCACTGCTCAGAGGGGCTGGGTAGGGTTTAAGTCCAAAGGCACAGGAAGAGGGAGGATCAGCACAAGCGGCATGTGGGGGCCTCTGGAGCCCCTGTCCCCAGCCTGGTACCTCGAAGCCACTAGGTGCCTGGCCCTCCTGGCCTGGCAGACCACCTGAAGTCCCCAGGAAGCCAAACATCTTGTCCACCATGTCTGAGTGATTGACAGGCTCGTGACGGGCCCGTTCCATCTGCTCCAGGAGTTCCTTCTTCCGCCGAGCGGCCTCCTTCTCCTTCAGCTCCCGCTCGGCGTCCTCACGAGCCAGCTGGGCCAGGCGCTCCTGGGCGGTTGGGGTGACACAGAAGACAGGGGGTCAGCCCCCAGTGCCACAGCCTCAGGGAACAAGCTCTCCCTGGGGTGCTCCTGAAGCAACCAGAGCCTCAGTCCCCCACCTCCTGCTGACTGGGGAGAATGGAGCCTCTTACTTCCCCACCTCTGTGCCACTCAGAGGCCTCTCCACAAGCCAAACAGCAATCCTGCCCATCCTTCAGGGCTCTCGGGGAGCCACCTTCTCCAGGCAGCCTGCTCCATGGGGACCACACCAACCCAGACATCCCAGAGCCACTGGCTTGAGGCTCTAGACCAGTGCTGCCCAACAGAAATATAATGTAAGCCACCCATGTTGTAGCCACATTTTAAAAAGGAATAGGTGGTATTAATCTTAGTAATATATTTTATTTAACTCAGTATTTCCCAAATATTATCTTAGCACGTAATCCACATTATAAAAATAATACTGAGATATTTTATATTCATTTTTCCCCACCAAGTCTTCAGAATCTAGTGTGTATTTCACACTTACAGCACTGTGTCATTCAGACAGGCCACGCTGCAAGTGTTCGCTTGCTACAGTGGCTGGTGGCTCTCTATCAGGCAGCATGGCACTTGCCACTGTGGCTGGTGGCTCTCTATCGGGCAGCGTGGCACTTGCCACTGTGGCTGGTGGCTCTCGATCGGGCAGCGTGGCACCTGCCACTGTGGCTGGTGGCTCTATCGGGCAGCGTGGCACTTGCCACTGTGGCTGGTGGCTCTCTATCGGGCAGCGTGGCACTTGCCACTGTGGCTGGTGGCTCTCTATGGGGTAGTGTGGCACCCTTGTGCCATTAGCTGGCTGGGGCTTTTATCAGGATGCTGTCTCTCAATTAGAAAGGGGCTGCTGAGGGCCTGGGCCTCTTCATCTGGTGCCACCACAGCCCTCTGTCCTTTTGCATGGCACAGGACCAGGTGCCCAGCGAGAACTCAGGCAACATTGGCCAAGCGGGTCTAGTGCAGCCACTCTGAAGGACGCGGAAGGAAGGCTGAGGCACCAGGTGACAGATGAGCAGTCAGCCTCAGGCAGGGGACAAGCCAGTGAGTGGACACCTGAAGTACCTGGAGGCTCTCGGCTCACCTGATGCTTGCGCTCAGCCTCCTCCTTGGCCTTCTTGGCGCTCATCTCCTTCCGGAGCTTCTCCTCCTCCGCCAGCCGCATTTTCTCAGCCTCGAGGCGCCACAGGTACTGAGGAAAGGGGATTCCAGGGGCACAGAAATGTGTGTTGCTGTTGTTGCAGGGATTCCCACCAGCTCCACCCAGTCCCACTCTGAGTTCTGGAGCTGGGCATGACTGCCAAATAATTTGGCAGATAGGACAAGTGAGGCAACCAAGAAATTCTCTGGGTCACCCAGAGGATTGAAGGCACCACCTAAAGCCTGGTCAGATTTGCCTCCGTCTCCCAGAGATTCCCAAGAGTGACTGGGAATCTGTTGGCTGGGAGGATGGAAATGAGGGTCTGGTCCCAGGTTTGTACACTCATCTGAGCAGGCATAACCACAGGTCCCCTCCCTAGGCCTCGCTTCCTGGCTAACACTTGAGGGTGATGCATGGACACCTCCCTGCCAGGGCTCAGAGCTGTGGGTGCTATGGACTTGCTCCCTCACCTCGGCCCTGAGGCGTTGGTGCAGCCTGCGGGCGATCATGCCCCGGGCATAGGCCTGCACGGTGAGCACAGCCCAGAGGCGGTGGCGGAAGGCCTTGCGCACCAGGTAGGCACGGCAGCGGGCCTGGAACTGGATGATTCGCTGGCGGGCCAGGCGGTACTGCTGGTGCAGCTTCCGGGAGCGGTGCAGGGCCTGCAGCCTCAGGAAGCCCAGACGCATCTGCAAGGACAGCCACCCCATACTCAGAGCCTACTGTCCCATTCCAGGCTGACCCTGCCTACAGCTTTCACAGCACTGGCCTCCACTCTCAGAGAAGCACCCCCAGATTAGGGCCTCCCCATTGTTAGAAAGTTCTGTCTCCTCTCAGGCAACATATTTTCAGAAGGTGACCTTGACTCTCCCTCATTGGGGTCCCCCTAAGAGAATCCCAGATTAGGAGCTGCAACCAACAGTCTGCTTCCCAGCCAGCCCCCACAAACTCTAAGCCCAGCTGCTGCACAGAGGTCCATGTGACGCAGCCAATCCCAGCCCCCTCTGAGATCTCTAATAATCCCAGAGTGCTCCCAACCCCCAAAAACACTCCAGAAGGAGAGCAATAACATTGCTGGCCAGTTGGAAGAAGCCACAAGAGCCAGATCCAGACTTCAGGCAGGAGGAATGGAAGTGGCTGGCCAGGGTGGTGGCAGGAGGCCAACGAGGCCAGGCTGTGCTGCCTGGGTGCAGGCCAGTTCCGCTGCCATGGCAGCAGGGCTGGGTTCAAAGGCCTGTTGGGGCAAGCGCAGCTGTGGGGAGGCTCACCAGCCCATAGTTCTTCCTGCAGTTGTGGCCCCGCCAGTGCCTCTGAATCAGTGTGGCAGCATTCTTCAGCTTCAGGAAGTTAGACCTGAAACAGCAGTAGTGGTGCAGGTGAGTCTCAGAGCAGTATCCAGAGGCAACCAGGGTACAGGGGGGTTTGGGATCCAGAGGGCACGCTGAGTCCCAGCTCTGTGACTTCCTGGCTATGTGACCTTGGGCAAGGCACATAACCTCTTTGCCTCTTGGGCAAGGCACATAAACTCTGTGCCTCAGTTTCCACATCTGTACAATGGGTAGAATAATGCCTGCCCTGCCTGCCTCACAGGCCTGTCACATAAGCCCATGAAGGTAGACATTCAGAAGGTATTTGTTGAATGAATAAATGTATGAACAAATAAGTAACTAAAATAATATAAAGATTAAAAGCTTCGAGTAGTCTAACTTCCTCATTTTATACATGGGGCAACTGAAACTTGATAGGTTGGGATTAGAGCCCCTGTCTTCTGACTGACCCTACGTGAGCTCAGTGCTGTTCCTCCTGCACACAGCAGGCTGCTTCTACAGGAGAACAGTCATCTTCATCCTGACAGAGGACAGAGACCACAAGCAGACAGTGGGGGTCTGCTGAATGTAGAAATAAATAAAGGAAAAGTGAAGGATAGGTATGTCAGTGTGCAAGTGCGCCAACAAGCCAATGCTTGGAGACACACGTAAGCAAATGAGCAACTGTGGTAGTGGGGGTGGGTGGATGGATGGATGAATGGATGGGTGGATGAATGAGTGGGTGGGTGGGTGGGCTGGTTGGTGGATGGGTGAGTGGGTGGGTGAATGGATGGATGGATGGATGGATGGATGGATGGGTGGGTGAATGGATGGATGGATGGATGGATGGATAGGTGTGTTGGTGAATAGGTGGGTGGATGAATGGATGGATGGATGGATAGGTGGATGGGTGAATAGGTGGGTGAATGAATGGATGGATGGATGGATGGATGGATAGATGGATGGATTGATGGGTGAGTGGGTGAGTGGGTGGATGGATGGATGGATGGATGGATGGATTGATGGGTGAGTGGGTGGGTGGATGAATGGATGGGTGGGTGAATGGATGGATGGATGGATGGATGGATGGATGGATGGATGGGTGAATGGATGGATGGATGGATGGATGGATAGGTGTGTTGGTGAATAGGTGGGTGGATGAATGGATGGATGGATGGATAGGTGGATGGGTGAATAGGTGGGTGAATGAATGGATGGATGGATGGATGGATGGATGGATGGATGGATGGATGGATTGATGGGTGAGTGGGTGGGTGGATGAATGGATGGGTGGGTGAATGGATGGATGAATGGATGAATGGATGGATGGGTGGGTGGGTGGATATAGGTGGGTGGGTGGATAGGAGGGTGGGTGAATAGGTGGGTGGATGAATGGCTGGCTGGCTGGATGGATGGACGAAGGGAGAGACTGACCATATGAACTACAAAGGGGTGGGTTGTGGGATTTTTGCAGAGCTTGACTCACACTTTGGAGTCAGTCCCGCATATTTGTGAATTGTTGCAGGTGTACACATATCCCTTACATAGAATATGAGACACATTTTGCATTAATAATTTATGAAATCTCAAATTTCCTCTTTGCAAAATTTCATCAGCATCTGAAATGAACAGTGGGCTCACACATGAGTCTCATGTATCTATATGTGCATGTGTGTATGTAGGTGAATATATTGCATTATTTGGCTTATATGGCACAATGGGTTTATGTAAATTATGTATCTTTTCCTCTGTGCTTCCATGATCATATGTGCATGCTATGCATGTATGCACTTGTTTTATGGGTAAACATGTTTTTCTTTTCTTATTGTTCATGTGGGCAGAGCAGAGGTGAGCCAAGCACCACATATACACCTGAGTTTGGGCTGAGGTGGAGAGGACCTGTTGGGAACACGCACCTGTCTTTGAACCCCCGGATGACCTTCTGGAGGAGGATCACTCTGTCAGTGATGGCTTTGTCCCGCTCCACTTCCAGCAGCATGTCATGGTGGTCCTAGGAGGCAGAGCTCCTGAGCAGTGCCCTACAAGGTCTCCTCTACCACCTGCTCAGTCTCAGCTGGGCCTCCCTTCCTTCACTGGAAGCCCAGGTCTAGAACTCAGTTGGGCCATATGAGCTCCCAGCTAACTCTGGCTTCTGGGGCAGCCTCCCATAGTCACCAGGACAGACTGGGTTGTAGCTGTTTCCTAGAGGTCCAGGCAGTACAAATGGAGCAGAAGGTGCCTAATCTCTCTGGATGGGGTTGGAAGGCTTCTTCCCTATCGCCAATCTGCCCAAGTCCCCTGCTTCTAGACGTCTCTGTCACATCAGTCTCTCACCTGGGCCAGGCTATTGCCATTCCTCTCCTGAATCTTGGCAGCAGCCTCCTAACTGAAGGTCTTTCAGCCTCCCTGGCTCTCCCTCTGGCCCTCCTTCAGAAGCTGACAGAGGGACCATCCTCAACACAACCTGGATGGTGAGGATGGTGACCCTACAGTGACACATGGTTCCCCAGGCCAAGCCTGGGCTCCTCACCCTGGCACTAAAGGCCACCCATGATCCGGGCCCTGCCAACTTTTCCAGCCCTCTTTCCTCACCCCTGTGATCCCAACCCTCACTCTAGCTGGACAAAATTTCATTGGTTCATTGAATACATAAGAATCTAATGTCTCCATGTGCCAGCACTGTGCTAGGTGCTGGAAGGGGGAGGGGGCTGCCACAGTGAACCAGGGAGACATGGCCCCTGACCCTGGGGAGGATAGAGTCTCATGAGGGAGCCACATCCATCGGATAATCGTGGACACATAGGGCTCGGACAGAGGAGATGCTCAGCCAAGGCATTCTAAATGAATGAATGGATGAATGAGCATGTTTGGACTTCCAAAACCATGGCCATGTCGGAAGAGCCTAGCAGTGTAAGTCAGAGGAGGCTGATGGCACTCCTCTGAGTTCGCTGGCACTAGATGCCATCGTGATTCCTGCCTTTCCCACTTTGCCCACACAGGGGCTGGGCATCAGCCCCTCCCAGGATGGAAGCCCTGCTCCCTGCTTCCTAGCAGCCTGGCTTCGGGCAACTCACTTCTCTCTGAGCCTGTGAAATGGGTGTAATACTTCCTTCTCTACATGACTGTTTCAAAGAATAAATGAGATCATGGATGAAAAGCCCCCATCCGGGGCCTGGAACACAGAATGTGCTTTCTGGCTGACAGCTATGGGAGGCACAGGCAGGGAATATTTGTCACATCTTGACCATGAGGAAATGCAGGTGCAAGGAGAGAAAGGGCCTTGGCCTGAAGCCCGTTGGCTGGAGAAGAATTAGAAGAGGCCTCAGGCTCCCTCCAGTTCAGGGCTGGTTCTTGTTCCTCCTGTAGCTGTCCTGAAGTACCCAGGCCCCACCCCCACACCAGAGGAAGGAGCCCTGCCCTGTCACCCGGGACAGCCAGAAATCTAGTAGAGCGGAAATACAAATGGGGAAGCCCAGCGCATGGAGCTTGCACTGTCCCTGCTGCGCCTGCCCTGCTACTGCCAGCTCCCACCATCTCTCCAATGCTGTAACTCCATGGCTCCTGCACGGCCCCACTTCCTGCGTCCCTCTCCAGCTGCCCAGGCAGCAGTGGGAGCTGAACTCCCTGCAGAGTGACGGACAGGTGGCAAGCCGCAGACCCCAGCACGGGATGGACCTGGCCAGGCAGGAAACCACAGGAAGGAACCTAAAGATACACTCAAGAGACCTCACACAGGCATACCCCAATTTACAGATAGGAAAATGAGGCTCAGAAAGGGCCATAACGCAAGTAGCACCCCTGCCTCCCTGCTGCGGGCCTGAGAGACAGCTCACCCCTGGTGTGTGGTTTCTAACCTGTGGTCAGTGCTCTGACCCCGCTCCCAGGTGGTAGATGATCTCAAATACCAACTTCCCCTTCCCCACTGGAGAGGCCAGATCCCACCTGCTCCTCCAGCCACACCACAGCCCGGCAGGAAGGATCTCAAAGCACTGCCTCCCTCTCCCAAGCACCCCACCCCACATGATGGGAATTCACAGCCTCTCTAAGCAGTCCAAGGAAGGCGTCTGTGCTCACCTTCAGAAAGATCTTGGTTTTGCCAATCTGCCAGTCATCGTGGGTGCCCAGCACAGCCTCAGCCATGTGCTGGCATGTCCCTCGAAGGTCTCCCTGGAGTGGGGGTGGGGTACACAGGGAATGAGTCAGTGGGAAGGCCTCCGGAGTGTCCCCGAGGCTGGGAGGCAGGGCTCTTCCAGAGCTCTGCCCCTGACTTGAAGTGTGACCTCAGCTGGTTCCTGCTTTCTCTGAGCCTGTTTTCTCCTTAGCTCAGCTGGATGGTAAAATTGCAAAATCCTTTCTCACAACTGACATCCAGGGCTTACATGGCAGGCCTGGTCTTGTTCCTTATACCACCATGTGTGAAGTCCTCACCAGCTGGACACGGCAACTGAAGCCCACTGATTCGTTCCAATAAAGGACCCCAATGTTTCATGCTGCACCTCAGAGCCTGAGCAGACGTCAAGCCCCACCCATGGTCCCGATAAGAAAATTGGGGCCTTTGCCTTGCCGGAGCTGGGACCCTCCCATCCTGCCCTCTGTGCACCGAGCCCTGTACCTGCTTGTAGGCTGGCTTCACACCCGGCAGCAGCACACGGTACCGCTCCACAAACTCCACGAAGCTGTAGCGGATGGGGTAGCCGGCTCGGCGGATTCGGATGGTCTCCATCATCCCCGAGTACCGCAGCTGGCGCACGCACAGGTGTCGGTCGAACAGCTGCCGGACACATAGCCAAGGGTGTCAGGGCCAAGGCTTCTGCTGGGAGGCGGCCCTGCTGTGTACTTGACCAGCCCAGACAAAGGCTCAGAAGGCCAAGGCCACATGGCACAGGAGGAGCAAAGCTGGGACCAGCACCTGGATCTGCAGCTCAAACCCACAAAATAGCATAAAGTGAGGCCTGTCGTGGTGGCGCTGGGTGCTTTGGGAGCACAGAGAAGACAGATTAATTCCCCTTGGGACACCCAAGGCGGCGGGGGTGGCTTCATGGAGGAGGCATATTTACCCCCCTAACCCTGATGGGAGGGGGAGTATTACAAGGTTGGAGGAGGTAAGCCTGTGCAAAGGTGTGGAAGCCTGGAAGCACAGGACTTTGTTGGGAACCCTGGGGGAGCTAGAGAGGCTCGTCCAGGCCAAGCTGTGGCTGTACAGGCGAGGGGTGCTCCACACAGCCCCAGGGAGTACCTTCCACGTGCAGCCATTGTACATCTGTAGTTATTCAGACAACTTTCTAGCTGCCTTCAGGAAGAGGCACATTTTTTGAAGGGCCCTGGGGTTTGGGTAGTGTAGGGGCTGGCGAGAAAATGTAGAAGACAGGTGTTGGGCTGTGGGACTATGTTGGGGCCTCATCCATGGATGATGGAATCCAGGGAAGGTTTAGAGCAGGGAGAGACTGGGCCAGGTCTGCATTTGAGAACAATGTTGTTGGGGGCCGGGGGAGGCAGGACAGGAGGCCAGGGAGGCAGGAGAACCTCAAGGAGGCTGTTGCAAGGCCCAGTCCACAGATGCTGAGGACTGGGCTGAGAGAAGATTCCCACTTCAGAGCCAGGGGAGACTGTGCCCAGCCGCCCTGGTCTCAGTCCCCTGAACCCTCTGCAATAAAGGGAGAGCTCACTGGAGCCCTCTGCAACCCTCAGGCCCCTGCACACCTGAGTCCTAAAGGGGACAGGCCTCGTCCACTCTGGGGAATGTTTTCCAGGCAGGGGACAGCGGGAGGGGACAGCACTTGCAGCTGTCAGCTTCCGCAGCCTGTTTCCTCTCCCTCCAGGCCACTTTCCCTGGCCTGCCTTCCCTCCCCCCACCCAGATCCCGAGGTCCCAGCTTCCCCCAGGCTTCCCTGTGGGCCTGGGGTAAACAACCCTCCGAGCCTGTGCTGGGGAAGGAGAAGACTTGCAGCGAGGTGGTCCCAGCCTGAGCCCCTTAACCTCCCTGGCCCCAGTCCCTCATCTCTAACCTGGACCACCAAGCCCCTTTCTCACAGGCTATTTGAGAAGATTGAAGGAGGCTGTGGACTGACAATCCAGCCTATGCCAGGCACACAGAAAGGGCCCACCGAATGTTATTCAGAAAAGTCAAGAATGAGGATATCCCAAGCAGCCAGAGGGATGGGGGAGGCTTCCAGGAAGAGGTGTGGTTGAGCTGGGCCAAAGGAGAAGGGGGCCTTCAAAGAAGAAGCTGCAGCAAGAACCACAGCTGCCAATCACTGGGCACTTGCTGGGTGCGGGCATCTGCAAGCATTATTGCATGGAATAGCCTCAGGAGGCAGGTACAGTCAGTCCCATTTCCATCTATGAGGAAACTGAGGCATAAAAGAAGAAAGTGCCTTGTCTGCAGTCACCACTTGGAAGTGGTAGAGCCTGCATCTGAACCTGCCGCAAACCCTCTGCAGAGTCTAGGCTCTTTCCAAGGCACCCGCTAATTCCAGTAAATAGGGGACCTTGTTTCACAAGTTCCCTGAGTGCTCCCCATTCCCCAAAGGGGCAAAGTCTTACATTATCCACTCCCACCCTACCCCATTTTTGACCCAGCCCCTCCATATCACCCCAGACTCCACCCGCCAACCCCAGGCCAGGGCCACTCACCATGGGCTTCTTGAACTCATTAGGCTTGATGCATCGCACAAAGAAGGGCTGGCAGGCACCCAGCGTGCGCATCAGCAGCTCCAGCGACCGCTTGAACTGGCTGCTGAGTGTGGGTGACCGCTTCCTGGTCTCGGCGCCCTGGGGGGATGGACAGACGACGGCGATAGGAGGGGCTGTGCCTGCCCCAATCCAGCCTCCCAGGAGCCGCCCAGTAGGAAGCGGGAGGGGAGGGCAGCAGGGTCAGGGTTTGAGGGATAGGGCGGCATTCAAAGTTTTCCTGCAAACTGCCTCTCCCCCACAGTCTGGGCTGGAGCATGGACCCCAGACACCCACTCTGGGAAGCCTTCCAGGATTTCCAAAGGTACCACCTCTGGGCCAGGAGGAAGTGAACCCTGCAGGAATATCTCTGCACTGCAAGTCGGGAGCCTGCCCCCACCCCTGGTGCGCTGGATGACTCTGAGCAAGGGGTCGCCCCTGAGTCGCATCTCCCTCTCCCTGTATAAAGGAGTAATCGGACTTGGCCACCTCAGGACCCTGAGGTCATCTCTAGAGACAGGGGTTAGACAAGCCTAGATTCAAGCCCTGGCCCACCACTTTCTAGCAGGCACTGGCTCTTCTAGCTCTGTGCCCTTGGGCAGGTCATTAAGTGGTGTGGAGCCTCAGTTTCCTAAGTGGAGGTGATGCCATCTATCCATCTGACCAGGCTGTGACAAGAATCAGAGGTCAGGGCATGTTTCAGTAAACAACAACCTGGAAAGGTGGTGCCGCCTTCTGGGAACCAGTGGGCAAGCCGGAGGAGGAGGGGCAGGAGCTGCCGTGACCTCTCTTCTCCGGGGCTTAGCCGGCAGCAGCAGACTGGGGGCGGGGCAGGCCTGGCTAATCCTCCTAAGAAGGCACACAAGCTGCTTCCCCACAACCCCTGTCCACTGGCTGTGGCATTGACACGCCCGGGGTACTGTGGTCCAGCAGCTGCAACCTGGGTGATCCCAGCAGCCAGCGAGCCCCCTGCACCTTCCTGCCCTACTGGGGTCCCCTCTGAGAATACTGTGAGATGAGGTCGGGGAAGGCCTGAGCTACAAACAAACGGGAAGCCAAGAGGCAGGACGGATAGGAGCTGGACACAGAGACCAGGTTCTGTTCCAAAGCATCTTGATGATTGTCTTCCTGGCCACTTTCATTTGGTTGAGAATTTCTTATTTTATTTGATTTGACTTCATTTGATTAATATTGTAAGATTTAAGATTTTTAATGTCACCATTTCATCTGATATCCTGCAGCATCAAAAACCAGATGCAGATGTAGATGTGTGAGGTATTTCGGGGGACAAAGGTCTTACGCCCATACTAAATTCAGGTAATATGCCACCAGACTGTGATGAGGCCTTCCAAGAAAGAGCCAGTGCCTGCTATTCTGAAATCGGCACTGCTTTCCAGTTTCGTTTTATTTGGAATATATTCTAGGATTTTGCACAGAGAAGCTGGGGAGTATTTGCACTGCGGTAGGGTGATGGTCAAATCTGTGGCCCCCGGGGTTGCCCTGAACTTGATCCAGCAGCAGCACTGGGTGACCCCAGTCACTGGAGGGGAGCTGTCCAAGTTGGGCTGTACCCAGCCCTGACATGAGTACATGCATGCACGTGCACACATACAACACACACACACCTCAGCATGCACGTACGCACACCACAGGAGTACACGCACACCACCACATGCACACACACACATGCGCACACACACACGCCTGGCTTTGGTCTTGGTCATCACAATGTAACTCCTGCTTTCTGCCTGTCCTCTTTGCCAGGCTGGGAGCCCCATGAGGACAGGTCGGGTCTGCCTTTCTATGGCTGCATGGCCAGGGCCTGCCTGGCACAAGTAACAGTGAACACTTCAATCTACTGAAGTGCTGTTGAACTGGTTCCTAGTGACATCCATGTGTTCACAGAAACTGTCCACCTTCCTGTTGCTTCAGCCAAACATCTAGCAACTGTTTTCTGTCACATCCAATATATCTGCAGATCTTACTGGCTCTACTTTCAAAATATCTCCAGAACTGACCCCTTCTTACCACTTCCTCCACGGTCAGCCTAGTCCCAGCCACCAGCATCGCTCTCAAATTCCTGCAGCAACCCCTCAACTAGTCTCTTTGCTTCCATGCCCCACACTCCATGCCACCCTCCCCTGGGACTGGGGAGCTAGAGAAGAAGAGGAAAGAGTAGAAGAGACCAGAGCCACACCTGCATGGCCACCCTATAGCACAGGGCCTTCAGACAGGGACTCTCCTGGGTGCTGGAGCCTCAAGTGCCTGGGACCCCTCCACCCTCAGTACAGCAGCCCGAGTGAGGCTGCTAAAACAAAATCACATCCCTTACCTACTCAGAACCCTCATTGGCTCCATGATTCACTCTGCATGAAGGCCCAGTGCCCCATAGGAGCCAGTCCCGGGAGCCTCTGGCCTTTACACCACTTGTTCCCTCTCCTCCAGCCCCTCCAGCCTCCTTACCCTGCCTAGAATGTACCTGGGATGCAGGCAGAGGCTTGCAAAGCACCTCGGGGCATCTGCACTTGCTGTCCCCTCTCCCTGCAAAGCCCTTCCTCAGGAATGTGGCTGGGCACATTCTTCCTCACCTCCTGCTCAGCTTCTCAGGCAGGCCTTTCCTGATCCCCCACTGAAAATCACAGAGCCCCACCACCACACTCCTCCCTCCTTAATCTTTCCCCATGTTGCATCTCACCATCTGATATACTGTAGCTTTTATTTATGTATTGACTATCTATTTATTATTATTTTTGAGACAAGGTCTCACTCTGTCACCCAGGCTGAATTACAGCGGCATGATTTTGGCTCACTGCAGCCTCAATTTCCCAGGCTCAAGCCTCCCGCCTCAGCTGGGACTATAGGTGTGTGCCACCGTGCCCAATTTCTATATTTTTGTAGAGATGAGATTTTGCCATGTCGCCTAGGCTGGTCTCGAACTTCTGAGCTCAAGCAATCCACCCACCTTGGCCTCCCAAAAGTGCTGGAATTACAGGTATGCGCTACTGCACCTGGCCTGGGCTTTCTAACTATCCTGTCTTCTGCTGGAACTGAAGTTACATCAAGACAGAGACATTTTCTGTTTTGTTCACTGCTACATCCCCAAGACCCATGACAATGCCTGGCACATAGTAGGTACTCAATAAATGTTTGTAGGTAACCATCTGGGTTTCTGACTTGGTTTTACTTCATTGAGGGGAAAGGCTGTCCTTCCTGGTAATTGCTATTTTCTGGGATAGTCTGCAGATGGGGATGGAGTGAAGGCGGAAGTGAAAAGTCCAAAGGCCAATGTAAAATGCTCCCCAGAAAGGATCTGAGAGGACCTCAGAGGGTGACATGAAAGGGACTGGGAAGTCTCAGGCAGGAGGCCACCTGCATAGAGTGAACATGTGTCCCTCAGACTTGGGGCCCCAGGGTTTGTAACTGGGCTTAGGCATTAATCAGAGGATGCTCAATGTCCTGGAAGAGCTGCCTTTATCACAGCTGGGCTGGGCCCTTCACCAGCAAGGGCTTCTGTGAGGGAAGGCAGATGTAGGAGCTAAAGGATGAAAACTTAAGGAACTGCCCACAGTGGGAGTTCTGATCCCTACAAGAGGTGGCTTGGGCTTCCATCCTGACGGGAGCATGGCTGCTAGCACACTGTCGTTGAATAAACTGTGACTCAATGTCTCACAATTAACCAAGCTGATTTTCATCTTCCTTTTAAAAAGCCATCATATTTCTAGCAGTTATGAAGTATGTTTCCTTTCCTAATATGTGATGTTTATGGAGCCAGCACAGTACATTTTTAAAAATTAAAATTATCTTTTAAAAAGCAAGGACTTGGAAAACATCACTTTAGCCCTCATTTGTATATGACCACGGACAAGCTCCTCTCTGAGGGAGACCTGGGCTTGAATCCCTGCTGTGTCGCAAGTTGTGTGACCTCAGCGAGCAACTCGGCCTCTCTTGGCCCCAGTTTCTCTCTTGTTTTAAATTTTAGAGACAGGATCTCTCTCCATCACCCAGGCTGGAGTGCAGTGGCACAATCATGACTCACTGCAACCTCCAACTCCTGGGCTCAAGGAATCGTCTTTTCTCAGCCCCCCAACTAGCTGTGACTACAAGTCCTCACCACCATGTTCAGCTAATTTTAAATTTTTTTGTAGAGACAGGATCTCATTATGTAGCCCAGGCTGGTCTTGAACTCCTGGCCTTAAGCAATCCTCCTGCCTCAGCCTCCCAAAGTGCTGGGAGCATAACTGCAAGCCACCACTCCCAGCCTGGGCCCCGGTTTCTTCACCTGTAAAGTGGAGTAATAGTCACTATTGTCCAGTTTGCAGTGGGGATTGAATGAGGTGATAAATGTAGGTGCTTAGCTCACAGCCTGGCTCAGAAGAGATGCCCAGTAGATGTAATTGGTACGGATCGGTCACTGCTGTATCCTAATTCTCTGCTCCTAACACTTCTTCTAGAGTGACCCGTTTCTGGAGACTCGGGGCTCCTGCACTTTGACCTCTCCATGATTTCTCAGTAAGAGGGTTCTAGTCCCAGGAGTAGGAAACTTAGAGCAGAAAACATTATGGAGTGTTCCCAGATGCCACCAGGAGCTTTGAAAAGAGAGAGGAGAAGAACGTGTAGGAGGGGAAGATGGGGTTCAACCAGAGTATGACTGAAAGCAGGAGGAATGAGTGGGCCCACCAAGTGGGGCCAGGGGACTGTAGGAGAAGAGGAAAGAGTGGGAGAGGCCAGAGCCATGCTTGTCTCAGCAGTGTGGTCACCTTCCAGCACAGGGCCTTCAGGTGGGGACTCTTCCGGGTGCTGGAGCTTCTAGTGCCTAGGACTCCTCTCTCAGGTCAGCCCTGCGTGCACCCCAGCAGTCGGTCAGCCTACGGTGTTGGTCTTTCAGGGGTGAGTGGGGGTGGCGGCTGTTCCAGGGCTGATCCATGGGCAGAGGGGAGAGGCCACCATCCAGACAAGCTCCTTGCTCCTGACATGCCCTGTCTACTGCCGGTGGTGTGTGGATTGTTTCAGAACTCTGCCAGGCAGGCAGGAAGGAAGAGGGACTCAGCATCAGGCCAAAGTGGAAGGATGTCAGCATTTGGCAGAGGAAATACAGGGCTCAGGAGGGAAAAGGAGGCCAAGGGGTTGGCAGCACAATGCTGTTGCTAAGGGGTGCCTGGCACCTTTGGGATCTAGAGAACCGTGGGAGTCACGGCCTGAACCAGAGCTCAGGACACACCAGGGCTGCTGTTTCAGGCTGAAGGAGGTCTGGGGAAGGGTGTCTCATAGTCCCAGCTCCACGTCAGAATGTTGCCACCTGGAATGAGTCATATCCCCTCTCTCAGCCTCAGTCTCTCATCTGCAAAATGCAGAAAATGCCACCTGTGCCTCCTGCCTTGCAAGGTTATCTGAGGATCTGACCAAGGTGTGGCCGTAGGCACCCACCAGGGCCTGGTGGGAGGATCAGGGATTGATGCTTCCTAGGGGCCTTAGGAGATCTGCTTTCAAGTCCCTGCTCTGCCTCTGGCTCCCAGAGGACCCTGGGCAAGCCTCGCCCCTCTCCTAGGACTCAGTTTCCTCCTTGAAGAAAGAAATGCCTGCAGCACACGTAACTCAAAAACCAAACACAAAAATCACTCCACAAACCACTCCAAACAAAACACACTCCAAATAAAAGAAGAAAAAGCCCTGCCCTTTCCCCAAGCCTCGGCACCATGAGGGCTCAGGACCAAGCCCCACCCAGGCTGCTGAGGCCTCTCCCGCCATCCTCAGCCCTGGGCTGGGATCTTTTACCTTCGCAGCAGCTGCTGAGTGGTGCAGAGTGCCCGATGAATAACCACAGAGAAACTACAACAGGAACCACAGTGGAGGGTGACATGGGGAGAGGAGGGGCAAGGAGAATGTGGCGGGTCACAAAAGCACGAAAAATCCACTACCGAGAGAGGGGGACCCTCAGGGTGAGGTCTGGGGTCCTGGAAGCTCTGTGATGCCTTGGTGGTCCTGAGGGCAGGGGACAGCCAGGCACCTGGACAGGCCTGGAGGGGGTGGGGGCTGTCCTCCCCGAGAGGCCTTCCATGCACCCTCCAGGAAGCCATGGGACAGGAGGAAAATACAAATTAAAAAGGCAGGCAACCCTGCAGGAGAAAATCCACTAGACTTTCACCCTGGGGCCTAAGGAAAGGTGGAGCGGGGAGTTCTCCCACGGTCCGATGGGTTCTGGGGCTGGTGCAGGCATGCCCTCTGTGCCAGCTTCTCTGAGTGCCCACACCCACCCCACATCCTTCAGGCTGCGCGTACTCCTTCTGCCCATGCTCCTTTTAGCAGCTGGATTCCAGGGGGTGGACCCCCGCAGTAAACTGAGCCCTGACCGGTTCTGCTCCATGACCTCTCAGGTGACCCTTCTCTGGGTCTTAACCCCAGCCACATCCCCCAATTAGTACAATAAGAGGACCAGATGGGAGCACTTTTGAGGTCCCTCCTGGAGCCACAGCAAAGCTCCATACCCATTACGTGGCCAGAGGGGCTCAGTTGAAGCTGTTGGGCAAGGGCAGGGCCTAGACCCAGGCCTGGCCTGCGGGGGCCTATCCCAACAGCAGAAACTGCGCCTGGCTTACCATGGCGACATCGGCCTGGAAGATCTGCTTGATAAACTTGTTCCTGGAGGAGTGGACCAACTGGATGATGTCCCCATGCAGGGTGTCTCGGTTCTTTTCCAGGAAGCCTGCAGGCAGTAAACAGCAGTCACACCTCAACAGCTCTGGTGGGCCCTCCCCAAAACCACCACATTAGAGCCAGGAGGACCCTCAATATCCACCTAGTTCAACCACATCCATTTCACGGTGGGGGACACCGAGGGGAGGGGACAGAGACTTGCTCAACATCACAGAGAAAGTGAGGGGCCACCTCCCCAACCACACAGCTCCTCTCTTCCAGGCCTGTTCAAGAAGGACAGTCTCAGTCTCCAGGAGAGAGCGGGACTCCTTCCTGACCAACCACCCCAAAGCCTCCATGAGCCTTCTGAACTAAGATATTAAAAGGCCTTGTCAAGTAAGTGTGTCAGCTGGGAGAGAATGCATGTTGACCTGGTACAAGCTAATAGTAAAGGAATTCATTAAAACCACCTGTGGTTGGACAGTATATTATGTTTTACAAAGTCCCCTCACAGATCCCTCTATGTGGGACAGGTAGGGATTACCTCCCCAACCCCAAAAGGGAGAAAACTGATGCTCAGAGAAGCTCAGTGAGTCGTCTAACGTCACCCAGTAAGCCATGGGCAGAGTTAAGACTTGAACTCGGGACCCTGCTGCAAAGGAGATTCTCTGCACCCAGAACCCAGGACCCCCAGGAGCCTAAGGAGATTCTCCTGCACCACACAGACCCCAGAGGAGGCTGCCACTCCCAGGGACTGAAGAGTTAGAAACTGGTTAATGGGGAGAGATTGCTGGAGTGGAGCAAGAGATGGGGTGCCCTGGGACTGCAGATGCCTGAGGGGGAGTGCCACTGCAGACAGCAGGACATCGGCTGCCCATGAATGGCAGATGGCACAGAGACCCTTTTGAGGTCCCGCCTGGAGCCACAGCAAAGCTCCATACCCATTATGTGGCCAGAGGGGCTCAGTTGAAGCTGTTGGTCAAGGCTGCCCACTTGGCACCTGAGGAGGGGTGAGTTGCAGGGGACACACATGAAGGGAGTGTGGGCTTTACACTTGGGAGGTCATTGGGTTCTCACTAAAGCTCTGACAGACTCACTATGTGATCCTAGAAAGACCCCCATTCTGGGACTCCAGTTTCCTCAACTGTTGGATGGGAAGGAGAGTGCACACAAGCTTGCTTCTCTTCAGAACACCTAATACCACCCACTTCATAACTCCACATCAATAAGGTGCTGTATTGAAACAGTTCTTTGTGAACTAGAAAATGCTGCTAGAAGTCTTTCCAGTCATTCAGTCTTGATTAAAACCTTAGGCAAGCCATTTCCCTTTCTGGGTTTCAGTTTCCAGTTCTGCTAAGGTAGAATTATGTTCCCTGTAGACCTACTGTTCTATAGTTTTATAACTCAGCACAGAGATTCTCAATTTTCACTTCTATCTTCAGCAACAGCATGAAGCCTGGTACATAATAGATTCTAAGAGCATGCTGGTTGGCCTGAACTGAAAAATACAGTCCTCTGTTACTCCAAATGAACAACCAGTTGGTTTGCACTACTGTCCCTCAAACTTAACCTCTGCTTCCTTCTTTCCAACAATAAGGTTGGATCTCACAGTCCAGTATTTCAAGGGAGTCTGAGCCGCCATCAGATTCTACCACTGCAGCATGGCTCACTGATACACTGCTGACTTCTGGACCTGTTCAGCAAGGGAGTAAGAAACAGATGGATTATAGCGTGTTTGCTTTGAATTTTTTTGGCCTTTTTTAAAAAATCAATTTTTAATTTGTTGGGGTACACAGTAGGTGTAGATGTAGTATTTATGGGTTAATTGGCCTTTGACTATGGGTGGGACCCCTTGAGGCTGTATGGCAGGGCTCAGGGTAGACACACCCCGTAACTGATGCCAATTTGAGGTTGCCCCTTTATACCAGGGAAAGTGGGGAGGGATTGGTAAGGGCAGTCTGCAGTCTTTTGACAAACCCTGTAAGAATTCCAAGAGAGATAAGCCTGTGTTCTGACCACTCTTCTTAACTTCCAGCTTTAATAAGAACCCAGCTGCATGTCCCCAGAGGAAAATTCACAGACAGAAAGTAGAACACAGGTGTCGGGGGGGCTGGGGGCAGGGGCAGGACGATAAACTATCGCTCCATGCACGCAGAGCTTCTGTTTGGGGCGGCGAGAAAGCCCTGGAAATAGCAGTATGGACACATGGACTCACAGCACCGTGAAGTACTTAGTGCCACTCAGTCTAACATTTTGCCATTTTAGTAAAGTTTATATATATTTTACCACAACTTAAAAAAATCTTTAAAACTCTGGATGCCTTATTCCTGGGCTGGGGAAGGGGAAGGCAGGGGCACAGGCAGAGAGCGACAGACAGCTGGACAGCCCCTGTACCTTGGGTCTCATAGTAGACAATGCCTGCAAAGTGGTTGATGCCAAACTGGGTCTCGTGATTGTTCTTGGGGGGAATGTAGTTCGTGTTGAGCTTGTGCTGGGAGTTCAGCTTGTGCAGCATGGTGGTGTCTGTGCCCTGCAGGAGCGGAGAGGCAGCTGTGAGCCCACCCTCTCCTCCATGGGCCTCACTGCCTTCCTGCCCATGTCTTTGCATTCTGTCTGTTCTTCAGGAGCTTCCCCTCCTTTATTTCTACCTCACACAGGAGCTCTCTGGCCCCTATTTCCCCATCTGTTAAGTGGATGAATTAGAACTACACAACCTTGAAAGTACATTCCAGTTTAGACAATCTATTTCCCATGATTAAAATCATGGGTGCAATCCCCTCTCTAACTCCCCAACTCTGAGATACATTCTGTGTCCTCAGCACCCATTTTGTGCCAACTGCATGCTTAGATCTTCATTGCCTGGCCCAGGACCCCGTGGACTGTAGGTGATTCCCAAATGGCAGATGACAGTATTTGAATTGGCCCCAGAGCCACCTGGAGAGATGGGTATCCTTTGTTCTATTTTGCAGATGAGAAAAGCTGGGGCTCAGAGCAGGGAAGGAAACTGTGTGCTCCCAAGCTCCTGGGAGGCGGCGGCAGGACCAGGCCCACCTTGGGGAACTTGCTCTCCTCGTCGATGAGGGAGATGATGTTCATGGGCTTGTTGGCGATCATGTCCAGGGCGTCCTGGTTGTCGGTGAACTCGATGTGCAGCCAGTCGATGCTCTCCAGGTCATACTCCTCCTGCTCCAACTTGAACACGTGCCGCACAAAGAACTGCTGCAGATGCTCATTGGCGAAGTTGATGCAGAGCTGCTCGAAGCTGCAGGGGCACAGGGATGGGGTCAGGGTGCTATTCAGGCCCCGCCTTGCTGTTCAGAGCCTGGATCTGCCTCCACCTGCAGCATGGCCTTCTAGCAAGCTGCTTCCATCATGGACTCCAAACTCTAAGGTGAAGGGGAGTGTCAAGTCCACCTCCCTCCAGGTGCAGAGGAGGACATGGAGGCCCAGCAAAAGCAAGGGACTTGCCTAGGGTCACTCTGTGAGCCAGAAGGAGAGTTAAGGCTAGAACCTCGGGCTTAGGATGCCCCCTTTGGAACCCTTTCCCTCGCATGATCAAGCCCTGGGGAGGGCTGGGGATTGGCAGGTGGGCACCCAAACCCCAGGCAGATCGCTTGGGAGAAGAAGAGCCCAGACGCTGGCTGGTGGGCCATACAGGGACATCGAATGTGGCCTCAGGAGGTAGGAAGGGGGCTGACAAGATGTGATAAACAGAACCCTGGCTGCAGACATGGCCAAGCCACATACACAGCCCCGTGTGCTGAGTGTGGGTGTGTTGGTGCTGGAAGAGGACTTTGAGACATCCAAACAGCACAGGAGCTGACATGGCTTGCCAGATCCCACAGCAGGAAGTGGGGCTGCAGGACCCACCTGTGCCTGGTGCCACTCATCAGCCCCTCACACAGCCCCTAAGAGACAGAGAATCCCAAGGGTAGCTGAAACCCCAACACAAGCATGGCGTGGGCCAGGCCTCTCTGCTTTGAGGCACCTTGCAGCCTGGATCTGGGCAGAGCAGTAGTGGTTAGTGGGGACTGGAGACCAGAGGTTGCCTCCCCAAGTGTTCAGGATGCCCACAGCCTCCCACACCACCCTGGCCAGGATCAGCTGACCTTGGAGATGGGAGGGACACGAAGGCATGGGAAAGAAGGGGAGAGGGTCCACCGGGTTGATGGAACAGCCTGGCAGAGTGTGCCAGGAGCCAACTAAATGTGCTTCACAAGGGAAAGATGTGATCTTCCTTATGTCTGTATTGGGGAAGGAAATTCCCACGGAGCAGAGCCCCAAGCGGTACCTGTTCACAGCAAAATTCTCAAACCCAAAGATGTCCAGGAGGCCAATGGACCTGCGAGAGTTCTTCACATCCTGGGAGGGAGGCTTGTAAATCGCTGCATTGATCTTATCCACAATCCACACGAACAGCCGCCCATAGATCCCCTGAAAGGCAGCGAATAGCCACTGGTGCCAGCCACACCCTCCCCCGGGGGACAGGCCAGGCTCCTGGACCCTTAGTGGCCTCTCTCCAGCCCTTGCATGGAACAAGGCTCTGTGTGAAAACTTGAGCTGTTCCCTCTGCCTGGAGCACCCTTTCCTGCTTGAACAGTTCCTACACATTTTTCAAAGCTCTGTTGAGATAACAGCTCCTCTCTGAGAAGCCTTCTGCGACCCTGCAGCAGGGGAAGGAGCCCTCCTTACAGCTCTCATCTCTCTGTCCAACCCTGTTTATCTCTGAGGTCCCCGAGCCCAGCCCAGGGCCCTGGCATGGTGGGTGAAGGCTCGATGAATGGCAAATGCATGGCTATAGAAACAGGAGAGGCTGGAGGCCCTCCTACCTGACCCAGCCCCGCTCTTCTGTGTCTTCTGCAGAGAGACCAAAGAGGGTGTCCCCAGGGCTGGGAGCAGCATGGCTGATCAAAGCAGGCCAAAAGCCAAGGGCCTGGGGTGGCCAGAGCTGGGAAGGCCCTGAAGGAGCACAGGGCCAGCTCTCTCAGGCTGCATGGGCACCTGCCCCTAAGGAAGGCTGACTCCGGACCAGGGCAGGCAGGGGTGGCAGCTCAGATGTCCACCCACCTCGCAGGACTCCTTGGCACCTGCCCGTCAACAGCCCAACCTCCCGAGGGGTGGGGAGAGCAGCGGCCCCTTCCCTTCAGCCCACCTTGACGAAGGCATCGCGTACGTCCAGCGCCTGCTCCCTGCTCAGTGGGGTGGACACCGTCTCCCCGCGGGTGATGAGAGTGCGACTGGTCAAGCAGCTCATCAGGTCTGGGGGGTTCACCTGGTGCAGGTGACACTCCAGGCGCTCACCCACCTGCCTGCACCTCCCTCCACCCACACCCAGACCCCTCCACTCTCCAGCACCAGCCTGGCCCAGACCACCGCCTCCACTAAGCACACCCGCCCCAAGGCCTAGGGACAAATCCTCCCCACCCATGGAAACCTGCCCCAGTCCTGCCTGGAAGGAACTTCCCTCTCCTGGACAGCCCCACTTAACTCCCTCCAGAATGTCACCTGGCCCTTCTAGGACCAGCCCTGACTCTGGCTTTATTCATCCCAGTTTTCCAACCCTAGTAAGTGTTTGCTAAAAGACAGACAGACTTAATGCATTTGACCCATGGACACCAGTACCCTTTGCCCACACGTGGAGACTGAGGCCCAGAGGGCAGGGATGACTCACCCTGGGTCACACAGCCCAGGTCATCACAGGGCCCTCCCCTGCCCCATGACATCCCCAGGGCAGCTCCTCAAGGACCTATGCCTAGAACAGGACCTGCACACAGTTGCTTCTCCATATTGAACAGAACTCTCCCAACTAGAGGGACTCAGCAACATGGTTCCCACATCCCAGCCACCAGGGAGATGGAACTCAACCCTCCAGAGGGACAGAAGCCATGGAAGGGAGAGAGGCCAGGCACTGACCTCAAGCAGGGATGCAGCTGTGGCCAGCGACGGGGAGAAGAGGACCTCACAGGCGTCCAGGTTTTCAAACATGCGGGCTGTTGGCAGCAAGGGGCACAGCATCAGGGAAGGAAAGGTGGGTAACAGGAGCAAGGGGACAGGCTGCCACTCCTGCTGCAGGAGTCCTGCCCTGTCTGGGAAGGGCATCGGCACTGTGATTAAATGTGTCCCTGGGTCAAGGTGTATTTGATGAATGTTCTTACCGTGAGTCTGCAGGCACCATGAGGGTAGGGACCATGTATGCTCCACACATGGCACCATGCCTGGCATTCAAGGAACAGACGCTGGCCATTGCAGCTCTTTCCCCACTTCCAGGGCTCTTGGCAGCAGCCCTGAGTCCCGTTAGACAGGCTTTGAGATCACCTTTCCCGACATGTGCTCTGTTCTCTCAGGCCTCAGGACCTCTGCACAAGCTCTTCCCTCTGCCGGGTTACCCTTCTCTGTATCTTTTAGTCTTTCTAGATTACTAGACTGTGATCTCCTTAGTGCTGGAATCATTCATTGCCTGATTGCATTTCCTGGGGCTCCTACTCTGCCTGGGGACCATGATGGGAAGCAGGGGAAAGAACAGAGTGGGACCCGCCACTTGCCTCAGGGCACCACCTCCCAGCCTGACACATAGTGGGTGTCCAAGAATGAGTGAACATGTTCCCTTCCCTAGCCTTCTCCCTTTCCAAAGATGGCTATCTAGTCATTCACACCTTAGTATGAATTAGTTCAAAGATTTACCCTCTCTCTAAGACATTCGATTTTAAAGAAGAAACCAATTTGAAATGGGTCTTAAAGGGTCCATGGACAACTCCCAATATACTTTAACTCTACATCTCCATGGTGGAATGTCAGCACAGCGACACCACACCCAAAACTGATTTGGGAATTCTTCCCAGCTTTCGTCCCAAAGAGGGTACATGCTGGGACAGAAACTGAGCTGCCAATGCCACATTGGCAGCAAGGTGCTGCGCTGGCCTTGGCACAGGGGTGGGGCAGGGCAAGTGTGGTGCAGCCTCACCCTCATACTGCAGGTTGCCCAGGTGCAGGATGGCGGCCAGGAGCTTCGAGATCTCCCAGTTCTCAGTGTCAGTGAACATGAGCACCTTCATGGCGGAGCGGATGTTGGCGTACTCCTGGCTGTCCACCCGGCCCTCGCAGGTTATGCAGTTACCCTGGTGGGTGTAGTAGGAGGATGGGGTGCAGAAGGACATCAGCGTACCTCCAGAGGGGCAGTGCCTACGTGCATGCCCAAAAGGCCCTTTCTGCCTGACAGGCCAGTCCAGCCCGGGGCCCCAGGCGCTGCTCACCCGGTGAGCACCATAACTCCTCCAGAAAGTCTGCAGTCTAGAAAGCTTTTCCCAGAAGCTCATTCTCCACATCTGGGGGTGCTGGTGCCTCTTCTTCCCATGAAGAAGAGCAGGCAGGTTACTTATGTCAGGCCTGCCCCTGCTACCCACCTGATAGTCACAGCACCTAGGCCCTACTAGGCTCCTGCAGTCCCCCAGGGATACCCACTCTCAGGGACTCAACCCCCTCACCAAGTACAGCCTGGTGTAGACAGAGGAGAGGTAACTGCATATAAGCTGGCATCAACCGGGGGGCACGCCCCATTCTGTGTGTGTCTACAAGATGTGTGTGTGCGTGTGCACATGTGTGTGCCAGCCAGCTACAAGAAAGTCCAGGGAGACCTGTCACATCTACAACACACACACACACACACACACACACACACACACACACACACACGTCCATGTGGCTTGGCCCAGCCCAGCCCAGGCAACCAGACGTGGGCTCTCCCCATGGCTAAAGGAGTGGTGGTTCCCAAGCCAGCCTGCCCTGTGCATGCCCCAAGTTCCCCCACTTGTTGCTTGGTGGCAGCAATGGCCAGAGGCCCACTTCTCCTTGGTGTCCAGACAGCAGCAAGAAACTAGCACCTGAGCCCTGTGACCAGTGAGCCCTCAAGGCTGATCCGCAGCAGCCAGCTCCCTGCAATCCTAGGATGGGTCCCCCCCTACCAGGTGCCCACCTGGGCCTCACCATGGCCAAGTAGTTGTAGTCGGAGGCCTGGCCCAGGCCCAGCTTCTTTTTCTGATCCTCACTCATGCCCTCCAGCATGCAGTAGAACACGTGGTAGTTCCTTTCATCTGGGGCCTGAAAATGTGGCCACAGTGTTGGGGGCCAGGGAAGGAGGGCAGGAGGAGGCCATCAGGAACTAGCCTGGGACGATGGTTTACTATTTTAACAAATAGCTCTCGTGGAGAAATCCATGGGTTTCACAGTGGGATTTCAGGCACGCAGGCAAGCAGCCAGCAACACGGGCAGGTAAGGGAGCATCTGGACCACGCAGACCCCTGAGGCCAGGGGCCTGGATCTACTCCCACCTCCCTGGGGCTTGGACCCACCTGGCGGCAGACGCGCGACTTCTCCAGCAGGTACTGCTCAATCTTGGCACCCTCGATGGCTCCCCGCTTACTGAAGTGGATGTCGATGTACTTTCCGAAACGGCTTGAGTTGTCGTTGCGGATGGTCTTGGCATTCCCGAATGCTACAGAATGAGTAAGGGGTCACGGGCAAGCCCGCCCCCGTCCCACTTCCTGGTCTCGCCTCGGAGCCCCAGTCATACCTTCCAGAATGGGGGTGGCCTCCAAGACCTGCTGCTCAATCCACGAGTGCTGCCCACTGATGGCTGCCAGGAACTGCAGGATCAGCTTCGTGCTCTCCGTCTTCCCGGCCCCAGATTCCCCACTGCAGAGGGAGGGAGTGGCAGGACCTGTCACAGCCCACAGGGACTCCCCACCTAACTGGAACTGAGCCCAGCCTGCCTCCATCCACCAGCTCCCCCATCTGTAATATTGGTGGACAACATGGACCCTCCAGGGCTGGGGCAGGGCTCAAGGGCTCAGTGCATTACCGCACTCTCCTTCACCTTCATTCAGACACAAATGCCCCTGCATCCCTACTTGCCATAGAGCACAGCACAGGTTAGATGCTCAGTTAATGCTTTGTCTTTACCCTCTGCCCAAAAGAAAATAGGAGCCTGAGATGTCAACTGACCATAACTTGACAGGAGCCACCAATAAACAAGGCTGGCCTCAAAAGCTAACATGAGCTTTGGTAGCATAAATAGAGATTCAAGACTCAAGAAAGGGGAAGTGATTCCCTACATTGTTACATAACACTGAGTACATAAGATCTGGTTCCTTAGGAGCTTGATGGCCTTTCCAACAGCACAGGCAATCCCTAGAGGTATTATCAGGAGAGCTGGAGCTCTAGGTCCTAAGCCTGGAGCTCCACCCAGGTGCTGGGCTGCCCACCTGATGATGCAGCACTGGTCACGGCTGTTGCGTTTCATGTTGAAGTAGCAGTTGTCAGCGATGGCAAAGATGTGGGGGGGCATCTCCCCAATCTTCTTGTTGGTATACTGGCGGATGTGCTCTGGTGAGTAGATGGAAAGCAGCTGGTAGGGGTTCACAGCCACCAGGATGGAGCCTGTGTACGTCTGCGGGCAGCAAGAGATAGGGAGCTTGCTGATTCCGTGTGGGAGACTGTGACTGTAGAAAGCTCTTGGGCTCTGCCCTGCTCTGGTGCTCTGGAGGGAAGAGCCCTGGCTTTGGAGTCATGTGGATGGACCTGGGGCCAGAATTCAGCCTCCTTAGGAGCTGGGGCAGGGCTTCCATCCAGCACTGGTTCTGGCTTGGAGTTAGTGCTCAGTGACATTTGATGAAGAGGGAGGTGGAGTCTCTAAGCCTCCTTCTCTTTAACTGTGAAATGAGTGTAACTGTGAAGATTAAAGAAGTGATATCTTCTAAGATTCACAGCACACAGTGGGTACTCTGCAAATGTTGGCTCCCATCATCGCCGCCAGGCTCTGCATCGCAAACTTTTGGAGTGAAATTAATCAGCGGGACCAGTCCAGGGGAGGCCAGGTTGGTGAAAGAGAGGGATGTGGGAAACGAGCTATAAAGAGCTGGGGTAAGTGGTGGGGACTGAGTGGGCCATACTCTCTGCAGCACTGCCCCAGGACAGAGGGAGACGTTGTGCTCTGGGGGACAGAGCACCTCCAGCCATCCTGGGCAGCTCAGGCAAACGGGCCAGGTACACCTCAGAGAGCCTTCAGTGGGGTTCTCTACTTGGGCTCCTCTGTTGTCTGTAGGCAAGGCTTCCTATGTGGGCTTGGGGTCCTGCCACAGGGGACAGCAGCCTGGCCCTCCTGCCACCAGAGCAGGGTGAGGCACTCAGGGTTACTTCTCCCTCCTCCCACCCCATGCCTCAAGCTTAAAAAGTTCAGGCAGGCCTAGACCGTAATTGGCAGTGGATGTATTGATATCTGGGGCCTGGAGAAGCTGAAGAAAAATGTACAGGGGAGGTGACAGCCCACCCTCCCATTCACAGCAGAGCTGCAGGCAGCCCCAGCAGTCTCAACCTACGATGGCCATGCAGGGAGAGTGTGGCTGCAGGCACCGCATGGTGGGGGAAATGGCCACCCTGGGGTCAGGTGGGGCCAAGATGCAGGCTCCAATCCTGGCCTTAGCTGGCCTACACCAGGAGACTTGGCCAGAAATTGCCCTTCTCTGGGCCCAGGAAGACCTTCCTTTCCCACCTAAGCCTCTTCTTCCAAGCAGCCCATGGAGAGAAGCACTCAAGCCTCACTGTGCTGGTCCACTAACTTCCACAAGGGCCAAGCAGGAAGAGCTGGGGTGGGGTGGGGGCGGGAGGCTAGCGGGGAGCAGCCAGGCCAAGTGGACAGCCAAATAAGACCTGAGCTGGAGCCGGCTCTCTGTGCCACACTCACCCACCCTCTGCAGCTTGTCTGAGGTTGCAAAGTGCAGAGCAGAAGAAAAGGAAGCTGGTCAGTGGGGAACAGGGGCAATAGCAGCATTCTCCACGAACAGCACCCACATGGCCCAGTACCAGCGGACCCCTAGCCCCCCAAGCCCTGCCCTAGGACCCCTCAGCCACCATCCCCTAGAGCTCGGCCCTGCCCAGCCCGTGGAAACCGGCTAGATACTAGTGGGAACCTGCACCAGACTAGGAACCAGCCACAAAGAATGTCCCTTTGACAAACCTCAGTTTGCTCATTTGTAAAAGGGGAGGTTAATACCCACCTCCCTCAGCTGTTGTACAGGCTAAAGGGCAAAGGCATAACTTTTACCAGGTGCTTGGTACATTAGCACTACCTTCCTTTCTTTCTTTTGAGGCAGAGTCTCGCTCTGTCACCCAGGCTGGGTGCAGTGGCTCAATCTCGGTTCACTGCAACTTCCATCTCCTGGGTTCATGCGATTCTCCTGCCTCAGCCTCCCGAGTAGCTGGGATTCCAGGCATGTGCCACCACGTCCAGCTAAACTTTCTTTTTGATTTCTTCTTAATAATGTGATGATCAGCCGTCTGGCTGGTGATCCCCACACAGCACAGGCTGATGCTATGCAGTCATCCAATCACCCTTTACTGAGACACCCAGGGTGACTGGGGTGTGAGGTTCCTGACGGAGGCACCTAGATCTCATGTGGTAGGGGTGTAGTGGAGGGAGAGCCAGGCGGCCCACCCATGGGTAGCGAGCATAGATTATGGAAGGGCATGACATTTGGGAGGTTTGCTGGTGAAAGGTCACGCTGGCAGTTGTGGAGGATGAATGGCAGTCACCCAGGCTGGAGGCAGAGGCTGATTCGGACCTAATGAACCAGCCTCCAGGAGGAAGTCAGAGCCCAGTGGAGGGAGGCCCTGGGAGCAGGCTCTGTGGCCATGTTCAGGGCATGGGCAGTCCAGAGAGGGACGTGGGGGATGCTGAGACACTATGAGAAGCTGTCCCAGGGCTGGGGCCAGGCCTGCCCCCACCCATGGCGCCCACGGCCTTCTCCACTCTGCCCACAGCCCAGAGGGCCCTCCTGTGCACAAACCCTTCAGCCCTGAGCCTCCTGATGTCCCCACTTGATGCCACCAGCACGTCCAAACCAGAGCTCCCCATTCCCTCCAACCCTGCTCTCTCCAGCCTTACCTACTCGACCAACAGCACCACCACAGGGCAGGAACCCAGGGAGCCCATGGATGCCCCTCTCTCCTACCATGCCCACTCTCCATCTGCATTCCACCTCCCTGGCCAGGCCACCCTCATTTCTCAGCAGTATACTGCAGGTGCCTCCCCACCAGGCTCCCAGCTTCCACACTCACCCCCCGCAACAATCCTTTCTCCACTTGGAGCCATGCAGGCTTTAAAAATCTAATCATGTCACCCCTTGCTGAAAACCCTCCTTCAGTTTCCCACGGCCTCAGGACAAAGTCCAAATCCTTTTCCTGCCCACGAGGCCCCCAAGCCCTGGTCCCTGTCATCCTCGTCAACCTCATCCCACAACCAAGAGGCTCCGGTCATATGAAACTTTCAGTTAAAAGCATCACACTCAATCCCTGCCATCTCAGACCAGGGACACACTTCCCCTACCCCTTCACCCAGATAATTCCTTCTCATCCTTCAGTTCCAAGCTGAGATGATGCCTCCTCCAGGAAACCAGGCACCTTCCTGTACAATCATCAAACCCACAGGTCTCCTTCAGTGTGCCCACCTGACTCCTCTACAGCCCCAGTTCAAGGCCTCCTTCTCCCAAGGCCTAGCACCATGCATGGCACATAGGAGATGCTCAGCAACGTTTGCTGAGTGGCCAAAAGAGCAACTACCTCCGTGGGCGGGGAAGTACTGGGTGAACAGCATCTACTGGCAGCCACAGCAACCAGCAGAGAAGGCAGTGAGGGGGACAGGTCTGTCCGCAGCACTGAGGCAGCCCCAGCCATGCTGGGGGAGGTGGCCGGGAAGGGTGGCCGGGAGGCAGCCAGTGGAAAATCACAGAGCAGCATGGAGGGATGCTGTCATCTGTGCAGAACAAAATGAATAATTTTGTATATATGTATGTATTTATCTACCTAGCTGCATCGCTAACTACGAAATAAATAATAGAAATGAGGCCTCTTTCCTCAGTGAGGATTCTCTCCAGAAAGAGGGTGAGGTCGAGGGCAAGGGCGAGGGTGAGGGCAAGGGTGAGCCCTCTTGGGTCCCAAACTTTGCAGTTACCACTCTGTCACCCTTTTACTCCTCAGAAGGCCTGTAGAGGTCATATCCCCACTTTGCAGATGAGAGAAGTGAGCCTCCAGGAAGGGGAGAGACTTGCCAAGGTCACATAGCAGATGTATGGGGAGTAGTGAGATGAATGAGAAACCCTGGCACCAGCGCCCCAGCTCTGGCCTCTCCACCTGGGCTTTCCCAAACCCCAGGAATGCACCCACGGGACTGGCAGAGCCAGTAGCAGGGGTCTCCGGAAGAGGAGGCTGGCCACCACTGGCAGCAAGACCCTGGCCCTCTCCAGGTCTCAGTGCCCATTGGTCCTCCAAGGCCTTAGCCCTGCTCCCTGCACCCTCTGGCCTCTCTCTCTGCCTCTAAGGGTTCAGGTTGGTAGAGAATGAATGCCCAGGCCTCTTGTCCAAATCTCTAGTAGTAAAACCTGGCCTGTGGAGCTACAGGTTTGGTGGGGAGAGAGAAGGACTTTCCCCAAAACAGGGATACAGCATATGTGGTCCCTAGGGGTCCCCAGGAGGAGCTCATGGAGCCTCTCTGAGGCCACAGAGATGCAGCAGGAATCAATTTCACCTCCTCCAGGAAGTGCCCAGGCCTGTCAGCTCTGGGGAGTTCATTGGCATTTAGCATGCCATGGAGAACACATCCTGGGATCCACAGGCCTTCCCAGAGTCATAGAGGTGCCCACTCCATGTAGTCTCCCTGCTGTGCTTGAGGAAAGGCTGAGGCCAGAGAGGGACAGGGACATCCCCAAGGCCATATGCTGACTGGACACCAGTCTCCCACCTCCCAGATGAAGGCTCCAGCCTCTGCTCAGCGTTTGGAGCCCTGGGTCCCCGCCAGCCCTGACACCTATGGTGGGGACAGTCCTTGCTCTCTGGGACCATGCAGTGAGGGTTGCTAAGTGTTCTCTGAGAGCCTTTCCCCATTCTGGAGTGCCTGGGGCTGATGTGTGGTCCTGGAGTACTCTCGGGCTCCTGAGGACAGGGAAGTTGGAGGCAGGCGAGCCCAGGACAGACAGTTGGGGACAGAGCATCCACCAGCCCAAGTCTGTGAGCTGGCCATGGTAATCAGAGGAAATCCTGAGTGCACGTGCTGTGCCCAGGGTAACCCAATCCATGAAGGGACATGTGGTTGCCATAGTTAGGGACAGGTACAGTTTCTGGGTGGGACAATGGCCCGGTTGCTTCTTCAAAGCCCTGCTCTAATCCTATCTCCTCCACCAAGTCACAGAATCATGAACTCAGAGTCAAGGAAACCTCTTTGAATCCTGCAGTTCTTGAGCATGGCTCTCCTGTCCAAGAGACACTGAGAATCTAAGGTCTGCAGGCTAATGGAGCTAAGGCCCTTCCAGGTGCCACACAGCTTGGTTTCCTGGCCTGGCATCCTAGACAAGGAGGCAGCTTAGACACCTGACTGGACTCCTACCCCATCCCTCCACAGGGGATGACCCTGCCTCCTCCCTCTCACCCAGAAAAGAAGTCAGAAAGGTTATGGTGAGAACTTCAAATGAGGCAAAGGGTTCAGATTTGGGGGCTTTCTGGAGAACCCATGAATCCCTGAAATTATTTTCTTTGAAACCCTCCCGGAGGATGTAACATCCAAGCCATCCTCTGCTGACCGCCCATGGGTCAGGTCACCACCCTCCTAATTTTACAAACGAGATTCACTGTGCCCATGGTGTCTGAAGCTTTTTCCTCCCCTCTCCCTTATGAATCCTGTTTTTGTCTTTGTTCCTCGATGCAGCTGACCTACCGACTCCCTCGCATGAGGCCGGGCTTACCTGCGCAGTGGCTGACCTGCATGAGCTATGCTGACACACTGGTCTGCAGGGGCCCTGGCGGGACAACTCCCATATTACCCAGCTCCTCCCCTGATACGGGGCCCCCCACCTCCTCCTCCTCCTGATGGGAGAGTGGGCCTTGGGTTCAGGCCTCGGCATCCGGACAATGACAAAGCATCGGCTCTGGTAGTGTCCCACAGGGAGGTGGACAGCCTCCCTGCTCACCTAAGGGTAGCACTGCCCAGGCCTGGGGCAGTGGCCACAGAGAACCCCAGGACCCACCAGTGGCCACTTGTCCTCCAGGGGGAGGAGCAAAAAGGGGTTGCCAAGAAGCGGGGTGCAGACACCAGTGGGTCCTTGTGAGATACAGCAGGTGGGTGTCCCTGCCCTGGCTCAAGTTCTAGCTCTTCCCCGCTGGCTAGGTAATGCTGACATCTGGAGGTACCCTCCATGCCCTGCCCCTCTGAGTGCAGGTGAGGCCTGACTGAGGAACAGAGTGAGAGGGGCTTCATCAGAGCTAGAGGGCTCCCTGCAAAAGTCACTTCCTGTGCCCAAACAATGGATGGCAAGAACCCACATGCAGTCTCTCCTCTGGAGCCTGACCTAGAGTCAGACAGTGGCTGAGGACCTCTCTGGCAGCTGAAGGGCCATAATTCCAGGGCTTCTGAGAGGGACTGGACCTCTGGCCCTGAGAGCTGCTTGCTGTGATTCTTCAGTGACAACACCTGGAGCTCTCTGAGACTTTTCCAGCCTGGGCCCTGGCACCCCTTCATGGTCCTGACAACCTGAGGGACACTGTGTCTGCTGATCACTCTCCAGCATGGCCCTGCCTCCAGCATCTATTCACACAGTGCCTCCTCCTGAATGCCAACTCTACCAGCCAATCTCTCCCACCTCCAGAAGCTTAACCACAACTCCTGCAGACCCCGTATCTCCCCGAGTAATGCCCCTATTACCAGCCTTCCCTGGGCCTGAGCCTGAGACAATCAGGCTGGCCCTGCCTTGGGGGTCCCGCCTGCCCCCTGCTGGGGGCTGCACGTCCTTGGCTGCCTTTGTCCTTAGGCTGCTGGAGAATGGGGCTGGGTCAGAGGCAGGCAATGACCCCAGCACGGCACATCTCTGGGCCTGGCTAAACCTTGTGGAGCCTCAGTTTCCCTGTCTGCAACTGGGCTATTGGGTTAGAGCAGCAGTTCTCAGAGTGTGGACCAAAGACCCCTAGGGGGTCCAAGACCCTTGCAGGAAGTCTGCAAAGACAACTACACATCTGAGGCCAGATTTTCTTCCTACACTTCAGCCAAAACATCACATCAGAATGGACGTGAAGCAGAGATGAGAATCCGGTTGGCTTTATTAGGCCAGACATTAAAGAGATTTGAAAAAACCTGTAAAACAATGCTACTCTCCTCATCATTATTTTTTTATTTTGGGAAATGTAGTCATTTTTAGTAAAAATGTTGTTTATATTATCTTATAACGGATTTATTATGGTTACTCTTAAAAAATTAATAAATATTTCTATATGTCTCTGTTTTAATTTTTAATATGGGAAATATCAATAGATATAACCCAGTATACAAAAGTCCTTTGGGATCCTCAATAATTTTTAAGAACATAAAGGCTTCCTGTGACCAAAAAGTGTGAGAACCTCTAGAGTAAATGATCTCCACAGATCCTTCTTTTTTTGCTCTTCTTTGACCTCAATCTCTTGAAATCTGCTCTGTCCTTTCTGAAGAAGACGTCTTTATTTGTCCTCTTGAGTCTGAAGCGGGAGGATAGTGGTGTGTGTGTGTCTCTAATATCAAGGTTTGGCGGGTGGAGGAACAGAGCATGTTCCCTCCTTTAGCACCCTCCTAAGGATATTCATCTATCCATATCCATCCTCTCTTGGCCCTGAGACCTGATGGCAGATCCCGGTCCCTTAGCAAACACCCAGCCTGTGCCTGGGCAAACACCTGTGCCTGGGCAAAGCATCAAGCCTCTCACTGACTCCTCCCTGGCCTCCCAGTGGTTTCAAGGCCTAGAGAGGCACATGAAAACTGTGTAGTACCAACCGCTCCCCTCCCCAACCACAGACCACACAAGCCACGGCCTAAGAGGACAAGCCCCCTCGCTGGGCGGCTGCGCACAGGTGAGCCTCAGCAGGGGCCCCGGGGTCCAACTGTATAGCGGGCAAAGTCTTAAGAGGCGGGGACCCTGGCAGAGAGGGCGCGGCCGGAGGCGAGGTGGGCGGGGCGGGGGCAGGACAAGCTGGAGGGTGGGGCGGCACTCACGTAAATGAGGTGGTCCCGATAGCGGATGAGCAGGTTACGCAAGATGCCCGCCTCGTTGAGGTCCCCCAGGCGGATCATGTCCTCCACGCCGTGGACCGACGTGGGGTGCATAGGCTTGATGTGTGTGGCGTTTTGCGGGGAGATCCAGTGATCCTGCAGGGAGCCAGCGACCAACGTCAGGGCGCTCACCCGGGGCCCAGGCAGAGCACTGCAGGGGAAGGGGCGGGGTTGGGGGTGCAGATCGGGAGCGCAGGGTCTATGCCAACTCCGGTAAGGGCCTCGTCTATGCCAACCCCGGTAAGGGCCAAACACCATCAATTCTAACAGGGTTAAGTCACCTCCACCCTTCAAGGATGGCTCCTTCTCTTAGGGGAGTCTCTTGAAAATCTAAGAGGTGGGCAGGGCAGGGATTTTGGCCCTACTTGACTGCTGTCAGTAAGGGGATGAGAGTCCCCCAGGCCCTTTGCAAGATGCAAAGGTAGACAGACTTGGTCTCAAATTCAGATTCCAGAAAAAAAAAAAGCCATTAAAAAGTGATTTCAGACAGTGTCAAGAATACCCCAACAAGTGTATGTGGTGGAGAGTCATGGGGCAGCTGCTTGAGATGGGGTGGTCACCATCCCTCCGAGGAGGTGGCATATGAGCTGAGGCACGAAGGAAGAGAAAGAGACCACCGTAAAAAAGATTGGGGGAGGGGGCGGAGGCTCCAGGCCCAGGGAACAGCAAAGCAATGCCTCAGGCTGCAAAGGCTTGGCATGTTCAAGGGAAAGCCAGAAGGCAGAGCAGTAGCAGCGGTGATGGGGAGAAGTGGACCCACCCAGGAGGTATTTCCTGGGGCTTGCTGACGACCTATGGGAGCAAAGGGCATGAACTCTCCAGACCTGTGAGCTGAAGTGGAGGACACAGGTTGGCTGCCTAGCTCTCCCTACTCTGCAGTGTCCCTCAGCTGCCCTGCGGTGGCAGATGGGTGAGCATTTGGGAAGTGCACTGGCTCTTTCAACAAACTGGCAGAGCCCTGGTTTCCTCAGAGCACTGGGAGTCTCCCCACCCCTAGAGGGTCTCTGGCACCTTTGCACAATCTCAGACTCTCAGGGAAGTGTGGCCACACAGCCCTCCCATCCACAAATGCCAGGACCCAGTAGCCTCAGGACCTGCCTTTTGGGGGAAAAGGGGACCTTTCTGCCACCTCCCAGCTCATGCTCTGAGTCTTGCTGGGCAGATGTGATGTACACACCATGTCCCCCACACCTGCCCCTCCTCTGGGTCCCTTCTGGCGTAGCCAACCCCAACAGCTGGACACTAGCACAAATCTGGACATCAGCTCCCCCCAGTACCACCCCAGTTCAACAGGTCACCCAGTCCTGCCCATTCAACCCTCTAAAAGGCTGCTGAGTGGACAGTGCCACCCTCAAGCCCACACCCTGATCGAGACCACTGTCTCACTGGCCCAGCCCCAGCCTCTTGCTGTCCCCACCTTACCTCCACCTCTCCCATTCAACTCCTCATCCCCTGGGCCTTTCCTCAGGCACCCTCTTGACCCTGTCACTCTGGGGCTGTCAGCCCTTCCCTGACTCCCCCGGGTTCCTCATTGGCATCAAGGGCCAGCATGAGCTGGACGAAGGGACCCCCTAGTCTCCATTCCAGCTAGCCCCAGTACTTCCTAATTGGAGAACATGGCTTCCATGCCCCCAGAGGCCTCTGTGACTTCACTCCACTGTTCCCTCTACCTTCTTTCTCCTCAGCCTTTGAGACTTGGCTCAGAGGTTTCCCAGTTTCTGAAGCCTCCCCTGAGATTTCGAGCCACCCTCACACGCCCCACCTGTGTGGTCACCCTGCCCCCAGGGCCACACCTCAGGCCTCACACAGGGGCGGGGCAGGGAGCCTCTGATGGGAAAGACAGCTGCCTGGTGACTGCAGGGGACCAGGTCTGAATGAGAGGCAGAAGTCATTCATGGAGAGATCCCAGAGGTCCCCCATTCCAGCCCCCTCACTTCACAGGAGAAAACAGGCTCAGAGGAGGGTGGCAGCCTGCCCAGGCCCTCGGGGAGATCAAGGGCTGTGCTGAGCAGAGCCCCCACCCCAGTTTCCCTGACACTCCACGGCACTTCTGGACCAGCAGTGCTTTAGCACACGGCAGGCTCTCACGCAGCCTCCCCAGGATAAGGGGGCAGGTGCTGATGTTGGGAAACTTGCCTGGACTTTCCAGTCCTGTGTGGAACATTCCTCCCTCCCAGGCACCCTATTTCTTATACAAGCTGATCCCATTGGAAAATCTACCCCCCCCCCCGAACTGTCCCAGCTCCCTGCCTCTATCCTAGACCCCAGTGTGGACAGGAGGGGACAGAGCCCCTGGGCAGGCTGTCTGCCATCTCCACTTGACCCCAGCCTCAGATCCCCACCTCCCTCCCCATGATAGTTCAGCACACAGGTGGACAGTGCTCAGCTATGGCATGACTCCGGACCCGGAACACATCAGTTTACCCTCCTGAGCCTCCACGCCCTGAGTTGTGAAATGGGAATGAGAGCAAGGATCCCTTCTTCCCAAGGGTGTCGCAAGAATTGATGGATGTGATCACGACCACCCTTTGTGGACAGCTTCCTCCCGCCGCGTCTGTAGAGTGCTGGTGACATGCTCAGCCAGTGCTGGCCATTGTCACTCTACTGCCTTTTGATTTACACTTGCCCCTCCAACATCCCTAGCAGAGAATCACTGACCCCATTTAACAGTGATGAGTCAGACTCAAGAGGTAAAATGACTTGCCCAGTTAGGAGGCAGAGCTGCTCTACCCACTGTTTCCTGCATGGGAAGACTCCCAACAGAGGCCAGCACCCCGCAGGTCAAGGTCCACAGGAACCTACCAGGGGCCAAAGTGTAACCAGGGCGGTAGCTGAGGCCTGGCCCTGAAGGAATGCCAGCAACTGGGGGAGGGGAACACTGTCAATTCAGGGACTAGGGATGCCTTTGGGAAAGAGTTGGCCTTGGATTGAGCAAGGAGAACGTGCTCCCTAGAGGACAGGAAGGAGGGGTTTGTCTGGGAACAGAAATGGCTCAGACAAAGGCAAGATACCGGGGTTCCAGTAGGGACTGGAACCATAATCTTTCATTCATCACTCAGTGAATCTTTGCCAAGAGCCTTCCCAGGGCAGACCCTTTGATGAACTCTGGGAAACCAGATGGGACTGGTCTGGTTTCTGCTCTCAAGTTGCTGGGAGTGTGGGCAGACAGAGGGGTAAGAGACAACAGCCTGGAGTGGGGAAGGAGGGGATAGAATGGGGGTGGGAAAGGCTTGTAAAGGAGGGGTCTGGAAGCCCTGGGGGTCCAATGCCATGGATGCAAACCCCAGCCTCCCAAACTGCCCCTGCCAGCCAGTCATGCCCACCCCTCCTGCAGCTCCTACTCTCAGGGCGTGGGTGGGGGAGAAGCGGGAGGGGAGCCTTGGGATTCGATGACACAGAGTTACGGGACACCATCTGACATGCAATACGACCTAGGTGAAACTCAAGCCTGCAGACAGAGTCCCTGGTCCCCACCCTGGGGGCTCTGGGCAGGTTCACAGGCCGTCTGTGCTGCCAGCCAAGCTGTGCCTCCCCATCTGTGGCTGCACCCTCCCAGAAGCGTCCTAGAGGGCCCTAGAACCGGATCCTCCAGAACGATACAGCCCAGGGGCCAAAAAGGTGGTTAGCAGAACCTGAGCCCCAAAGTCACCACTGAGATAACACTGACACGGGAAATTCGTGCGTAGAAGACAGAGGTCCTGGGTTCTAATCCCAGCACCATCACTTACTAGCTGTGTGACTGGCTCCGTGGTCCCTCTGTGTGCCTTAGTTTCCTCATGGGATAACAATTCTTTCCCTCCCTGTCTTCCACAGATGACATGAGAGTTCCAAGACAGAACTTGGGTCAGAGGGCCTTGCAAACCCTGGGCAGGGGTGCACCTGAGGGCTGCAGGGATATCTGGGATGCTCCTGCCCACTCCACGTTGAGTACCTGGCCTCGAGGGTCCCAAGCTCCCCCCTCATCCCCAACACATCCTTGGTTTCAAGTCCCTGCACCCTCTTTCTCTTGACTCTCCTCCCTCAGTCCGGGAGGCTAAGACAGGGACTTAGTCCAATTCTATGCCTCCAGCCCCTGGCGCACCACTGGGCACAGCCCACATTATGGCAAAGCTGAATCTCCCCAGCTTCTCTGTATCCCTGCTAAGCTGCACCTGCATGCTCTGCACCCCATCTGCATATCCCCAGTGCCACACACACATGTGCACGCATGCTCAGAGGTACCTGGGGTTTCCCCAGGGTTCCTCACACGAACCAGCCACCTTCTCCAGGGCAGGACCCTGACTTCAGACCTCCTCTTCCCTCCCCAAGGCTCTACCATCACTGCCAAGCAAACTTACACTTCCGGAATTCCTTTCCTTCTGGGTCACAGATAAAGGGTTAATCTGTGAGATCAATTTCTGGGGCAGTGTCAAGGTGGACGGTGGATTCATGTGATGCCGGTAACCCAGCACAACAAGGCTGTGGGCATTCATCTAACTTTCAGATTAGCGCTTACTTCATTGAGGTATTCTACACGTGTGATCTCACTTAAGGGTCAACAGCCCTGTGAGATATTTATTATTATCCTCATTTTACAAAGAGGAAACTGAGGCTCAGAAGGGAAGGAGGCTTGGCGAAGGTTGCACAGCTAACTTGGACGAGATAAGATTTGAATGCAGTCCATCTGCCTGCAAAGCACCCCTGTGTCTGAGGAGTTCCTAGACTGCACTCCAACCCACCATACACATCTCTAACACCAGGCAGAGTGGACTGAGGTGTTTATGGAAACAGAACAGGTAGCCTGAGGCAGGCAGGGGGTTCCCTCTTGCTAGGGTGCTGAGGAATCATGGAGAGGAGCATCTGAGAGGCAGAAGTGGGAGCACAGGCACTTCGTCCAAATCCTTGAGATAATTTCCCTGCTTCAAGGCAGCTGTCAGCCTGTATCTTCCCCCAAGGCATGGGGCAGGAGGAAGGAGGACACTACTCACATTGCCTTCATCGTCCACCACCTGGATCTGCCCAGAGTCACAGAGCTTCACCACTGCCCCGATGGGCACATCGAACTCCTGCCCCGATCTCAGGTCCATCCACACATAGTCCCCCTGTGGGCAAGAGAGAATCCCAGGCCAGGTTAGCAGGGAGGGATCAGAGCCCCTTCCAGGCAGCCCTATATTCCTCTGCTACCACCAGAGGCTCTGGGCCAACCACAGAAGGGGGAAGAGAAGGGGACTCACACTTACTAGAAGCCTTCTGGAGCAGGGCAGGCCTTGAGCTGGGCATTTATGCAACGTCCTCAATCCCTCCTCTAGAGCTGCCATGTTCCCATTTTACAGATGAGTTAGCAGAGGCTCAGAGAGAGCCAAGGCCTCTCGAAGCCCAGCTCTTCCCATGGCTCTATAGCTTACATGTGTATGACAGATTCACTGGGGTATAGGCAGAAACGCCAGACCACTCAAACCACTTCCTCCCTGTGTAACATGAGGTGACACCAGAGAGCACCCAGACTGTGGGTGAATGCTGCAGCCTCCTTCACCTCCAGGGCCGATTTTCATCATCATTATGATAACGGGTTCCTCACAGGGACACCACTCCATGTTGGGCCCTAGATAAGAGTTCAGCCATGTTAGCTTCTGGCATGTGGGGAGAGCCCTGACCTTGGGGAAGGAAGTCGCTTTTGTGTCCCCTGCAGCATCTGGCCCAGGGCCTGGGCCTACTCACTCAGTAAGGGCTCATGAGAGCCAAACGTAAAACCCCAAGTCAGAGAAATGGACTGAGAACAACCACGTTCAGCACTGATGGATTCGACAAACATGTATCGACTACCTTCTGAGTACAAAGCACTGATTAATCTAAATGCTGGGGGTGAGCCGTGATTATGGAGTCTACATTCTAGTTAGAGGTGACAAACAACTGAGCAAATAGATCAGCACGATCACTTTGGATACCGGTGAGTGCTGTCAAGGGAACAAAAAAGCCAGTGGTGGAGAATGACGGAGCCAACCAACCTAGACCCAGTAGCCAATAAACCACTCCATGGAGGGAATCTCTGAGCTGACACCTGAAGGGTGACAAGCCACCAGCCTAGAGAAAAGCAGGGGACAGTAACCCTAGCATAGGCAGCAGCACGTGCAAAGGCCCTGCGGCAGGGAGGAACAGCCGGGAAGCAGGGCCTGATGAGCGAGAGGGAGCTCAGAGAAGTAGGCAGGGCCCAGAACACATAGGCCCTTTGTTGGCCGTGGTATACAAGTTTAGATTTTATTCCAATCCTAATAAAAGTATTCTTTTCTGGGTGGTACTCAAACTCCCTAGGGGTGTGGGAGAACTTAGACATTCTAATAAGAATATAACCTAATATCAAGTCACTAATAAAAATGTAGCCACTAATAAAACTGATCACAATGAAGTAAACCCATGGGAAGGTCCGACGGAATCTGTTCTGGGCTAGGAGTCAGGAGACTGGGTTTCAGGCCCTGCCTGGCCTTGGGTGAGTCGCTGAGCTCTTTGAACCTCAATTTCCACATTTCTCAGTGAAGGCTGGACTCAGTGAGTCTAAGACCAACTCATTAGTGTTTCAGCCTCATCTTGTTCCTATCAGAACCAGCTACAGTCATGCATTGTTTAACATCACAGATAAGTTCTGTGCAAACATCATGGAGCCATCGAGTGTCCTTCACAAACCTGGACGGTGCAGCCCACTACACACCTGGGCTGGATGGGGCGGCCGCTTGCTCCTGGGCTACAAACCTGTACAACCTGCTACTGTACTAAATACTACAGGGAACGTATTTGTGTGTAAACATATCTAAACATACACATAAAAGGTACAGTAGAATATGCCACTGTAGGCTTATGGGACCACTGCCATCTTCCAGCCACAGCTGGCCCTGTGGGTGCTCTCTTTATATGAAGAGGAGGTTGGCACATGATAGACTCAGGCTCGTCCCAAACACAAGCTTCCTCCCAGAAAAAGTAAGAAAAATTGGAGAGGCTTGGGAGTGGAAGAGAACTCTTTACTGAGCATTTGATGAGGGCCTGGGCTCCACAGGCTGCACCCCATAAACCGCCCCGTGTAATCCTCACAACTGCTTGAGACCCAAGCCCCAGCTACACTCCCTGACCCTGGGCTTACCCCTGACAGCCACCCCACACTGGGTCTGCTCCCCTTCCCCAATGGTTTGGAGCTCCCCAGGGTGGGGCTTGGTCTGAGTCCCTCATCTGTGGCTCCCCAGAGCCAAGCACAGAGCAGGCAGGCCTCAGTGAGAGAGAAGAGGTGAGGAGCGTGAGGAGCGCATGTGGGCAACAGCGCATGGCCAGGGGACTGTCTCCAATTTCTCTCCTCAAAGAGGTCAAGAAAAGTGCCCAGGGTCATACAGCTATTTTATGGCAGAGCCAGGACCGAAGCCCAGGTCTGACAAACCCCAAATCCAGGGCTTTTTCCTGACATTCCCCAGGCCCAGCCCCACGCGAAGCTCAGTGAGCAAAACAGGAAGCACTGAGAGGGTCCTTGCCCCAGAAGACTGGTGGGTCTCTGAAGCAAGCTGGAAACTTAGGCTGAGGGCAGCTGGAAGGCACGGGTCTCTCTGAGCCACCTGTAATCCCCAGCCCAGTGCAGAGTCTAGCACACAGAAAATGTTTTCCCTGAGAGAACATAAAATAACCAAAATCAAAAAAGCTTCATGTCAGCAGGAAATGGAGATTCTGAGAAGCTGAGTGAGGCCCTCGGGCCATACAGCAAGCAAACGTGACTAGAACTCTTCTTACCTAGGGCTGTCACCAAGAGGGCAGTGACCAAACTATCTCTATTCTAGGTCAGACTTGAGGAAACAGTTTCACAAGGCAGGGGAGAGACTTCAGGGAGAATTCTGGGGTCTTAGGACTTCTCTTAGGACATCGGAATGCAGGCAGGTTGTTAGGATCCTCATTTTACAGATGAGGAAAGTGAGGGGCAAAAAAAACCCAAAAAAAACAAGGAACCTGGCCACAGTTACTCATCAAATCCGTGACTGACAGGATTGTTAGCCTCTGGAGGATACAGCCAGGACCAAAACCAGGGTGGGGTAGGAGTCACTGGCTCAGAGGGAGAAGGAAGAGAGGAAGGAACCCACAAAAGAAGATGAAGCTTCATTTCGGGGCAGGAGGAAGGTAAGGAAGTGGAACCGGGCTCCGGGTAGAACCCCGCCACCCCCATGGCTAGCCCCAGGCAGCCCCTCACTGCATCTGGCCCCATTCCTACACCATGTTCCGTGACAACTGTACACACTGTGAGGGGTGCCTCACTTGGTCTCATTTTGAATGAAGATCTCGTTTGTGACATGGCACATGCCTCAGTGTGGCTGTGTAACATGGGACAAGTCCCAGCTTCTTGCCTGTCAAATATGTGACTGGGACAGAGGGTCTCCCAGGCCCTGCCAGCTATGCAGGCTTCCAGCTCCAGAGTCGTGACTTCCTAGAACAGATCTGTCCAAATGTTCTCAGGGGTACCCCAAAACCCCTGTGGGACCTCCCCCAAAGAAAGTCAGCACACACCCACAGTGAACACATAGGAGATCTAGCTTCTAGTCCCAGCTCTGCCACCAATGCTGTGTGTCTTTGAATGAGGCACTCAATCTCTCTGGGCCTCAGTTTTCAGCAGCCTTGAAATGGAAAGAGTCAGTGCATGCAAAGATGAGAGACCCATGATGTTGTTCCTTCTGTCTCCCCTCCTTCCTCCTAGGCATCAAGCCGGTCTCGGGCCAATGTTAACAATTCCCCATGGGGCCTTAGCCCTTTCTGCCTCTTCCTTTCTCTGGGACCAGGCCTGGGGTCAGTCTCTGTTTGTGGAGTGAAAAGGAATCTGTTTCAAGACATTTTGCCCCTCACTGTTTTCATGATCACTCTGCAACGTTGGTTTTATCCCCCCATTTTCACAGAAGGGAAATGTGAGCCAAGCGCCTTGCCAGTGTCTAGTTGCTAAGCATAGTTTGGGGAGGAGACTGGTGGGCCATGCTTTCCTTCTACCAGCAGTCAGCCAGTCCACAAACCAAGGCTGGGGTTCCTCCGTGCACCTGGAGGTGCTCCCTGCTCTGGACCCCAGCAAATGCAGGAGGCCCCTGCTCAGACCTGGCCTGCCTGGCTTGGGTTTCCCAGATGCAAAACCTCCCCTCCCGGCAAAGGGCAGCCGCGGCTAAGTTCCCACTGGGGGAGGTCAGAGCCGCAGGTGGCATCCTAGGGCCGCAGTCCATGCACACCCTGAAGCTTAGCGACCCTGTCTGTGGCCCACCCAGCTTCTAACAGGCGCGGAAACTGAGCCAGGGGCAGAGCGCCCTCCCCCTCCCCTCTCCCCTCCCTGCCAGGGCCTCACCGGCAGGACGGCGCAGGTCTTGAACGCCTGGTTCAGGCTGCGCACCAGCGCCCACTTGCCGGGCTGCGGGACTCGTGCAGTGTCAGCGGGGTCGGCGGGGGCCTCCATGGCGCGGCGACGGCGATGGCGACACTGCTCCGGCTCCCTAATTCACCTAATCCCGCGCGCGCCGCCCGCCCCGGAACCCTAAACCGGGCCATCTGCCGTAGGCCCATGGCAACCGCGGCTTAGGTGACGCCCGCGGGCGGGACGGCGAGGGGGCACCCGCGCAGCCCGGCCCCCTCTGTCTCGGTGGAACCCCCCACACCCCCACTTGGCGGGAATTCCAGGTGGCTTCCCTGGCACCGCGGTGGGGGCCCGGGATAAAGGTGGCGCCTGGCACCTTACCCCGACGGCAGCTTTGTAGAAAATCGCTGTGTTTTCTATGGAAGGAAACACGAGGATGTTGTGGAATGGAGCACGGTAAACTCAGGGAGTTTTTAAGACTAAACGGGTGATGCACCAAAAATATTTCTGGTTCCCTGGCTGCCTCTGGGGAGTGAGGGCAGATAAAAATTTTTCCTCTGGGCTAAGTTTGGGGAAAAGCCCCTGAAGAGCCTGTGTCCTCCTCCCCCAGCCCCCGAGGTCAAATAGCAGCCTAAGTCTATCCTGCAGAAGAGGCCTCAGAGGCCCTGTGGAGGGTCCCCTGCACTCTCCAGGACAGCTGAAATAACTGGATGACTCGAGCTCTCCCTGTAAAGAGCTGAGCTGCCCTCCTGTGTC